TTATCAAGCAGTAGTAACTCCCTACACGTCATGTTGGATAATAATTGTATTAAGGCCTATAAATATATACTATTAATTCATTATAATGGATCAACGTACAGATACCACAGTGATCAAAGAAAAAATTATTTCAAATTTATCTATATCATCGAAAATAATGGATCAAAATACTGATTTTATACAGCATATTTCTGCTCAACAAACCCAAAATTCTACGCTGGATACTTATAATGGACAAACTTCAAACTCTATGCAAGATAGTCGTATTGAACAAACTCCAAATTCTACGCCGGATAATACTTCTCAACAACCTGAAGAAAATCGATTGATAAACCTTGTGCACGACGATTTCCCAGAAATTCTATGTGTTGATAATCAAACATGGAATTCCAGTGGTAAACATTTTTTATAATTACTTTTCTTCAATTTCTTATAATTTGTAATTTATGTAGGGTATAGTAGATCCAATTAATGATCGTAGAAGAGAGTTTTGGTATATGATGAAAACGTCTGAAATAATGCTGTTCAAAAATGAATTTTTGCTTCATGTCAACTGTCAATTTATTCAATGCACAAATGATTAATTAAGAAGAAAATGTACTTATTTCATTCTGGAAGATATTCCAAAACTTTGAATGAAACGTTAATGCAAACCACTGTTATATATTTTTCTGAATAGTATGTTATTGTACTTTTTAATATTTTAGTTTTTTGTATATTTTTTATAGCTTTAATTTTTAGTATATTTTGTAATATATGCCTATACTTATAATCATCAGAATTCAAATAATTTTATTAATGACCAAATTTGAGTCGCCTGTAGTAGTGAGACGAAAGTTGCAAATCGAATATGGCAACAATATAGCAAGTGAAAGTTGTATTAGAAAAACATTTGAAATTTCTTCTAAAACTAGCGTAGTAGAAAAAAGAGAACATTTCGGTAGACTACTAAAAATTATAAAGAAAAAAGTCGCTTTCTTTTATTAGTCGGATCAAAACAATTTCTATCTTTCTCCAGTTGTACTATTGTTCATTTTTGTGTTATATGATAAAAACGTATTCACAATCATTTATTATTCTTAATTTTTAAACCTATGTACACTATAATTTATCTAAACAAAAATTAAAACCGAAATTTTTTTGTTATAAATTTGATAAAAGAATCGAAATACAAAGAAACATTAACTACATCCATATTTCACGATTATTTAATTCCATTGAAATGTTTGTAATTTGTTAACCAAGGTTTGATGAGTATTACGAATCATGTATAAAAATATACTTTGTCTGTATTAAACAGAACGAAAAAAAAATGTATGATAAGGTTCTGAAATAACTAAATGAATACGAATGGTATTCCATTGAGTTATTTTTGTCGAAGAAAGAAAAATTCAGGAAGTCATTATTATGATACATTATTTTTTCCTACTCCTTAACTGATGGACAATAACCATATGATATACTAAAAGTATATAATACTATTGACTATAATGAAAACTTACAGATACCACAGTGATCACTTATATACAAATCAAAACATTAATCAGTCTTGGTTATATTTAAACTACCGTTAATCACTGGTTTACAAAAAACTATTGCAATTTATTTATATTATCTGGAGTAACTATTGAAATCAATTGTTACAGTTTAATAAAAGGTATGAAATTCGTTTAAAATATCTTACTATTACATTACAAGATACAAAACTAATTTATATTTTTAAAACGTGTAAATATTCTTTTATTTTCGTAGACATATAATTTAAAGTAATGAGTCAAGTTAATGACTGTACCCAATGTAATCTTCCTGAGCAATCTCAGGAATCTGGTATTATGAGTCAGCCGAACGATGAATTACAGCAGGCTTTACTTAGTTATAGCCCTGGTCAACCAATTTATGAACCATACAGACAGTCATTGGATTCTTCTAGTAAAAATACTTCATAGTTACTTTCCATTAATTTCTCGTAATATATAATTTATACAGGGATACAATCAAGGTAGAATTGAAGAAGAAACAATTTTTGTATATGATGACAATGTTGTTACAACATTGTTGTAAATAATATTGATTCAAAAATGAATTTTTGTGACATGCCAATTGTCTATTTATTCAATGCAAGTATGATTAGTTAAGAAGAAAATGTGCTTGTTTCATTCTGGAAGATATTTCAAAACTTTGAACGAAAAGTAAATTCAAACGATCCGATCATATTTTTTAAAATAGTATTTGTAAACGAACATACAGACTATTTGTTTGCTATTAATTCACATATATGATCATATACTATTTTTTTCTTTTTCTTCACGTTTATATATCTATACGGTATTTTCCTCTTTTCCTTCGTATATGATTATATGGGATTTTCTCCTTATTTTTCACATATATGTTCGTTTGGTATTTTTCCTTTTCTGTATTCTAATGCGTTCTTCTTCTATTCTTTTGACTTATATTGAAATGTGTTATTTCCAAGTGATGAACTAAATGATGTCACTTAGGTATTTTTCCTAGAATAGTTTGTATCACAAGGGGTGGGAATAATCAAAGTAACCATTTCTCCTCCTATAAATACTCGTGTTTTTTTTTTAATAAACAAACTATTACCAAGCTTCCAAAACGATCATCTTCTTCTACAAATTACGTCAAGACTAACAATTGGTGCACAAGCCACATTATCGAATTGCAATCATCGGCAAAACGTACGGATCCCACAAGTGTCTTATTATTAATCAGTAGTAGGTGTTGTGACCTAGTCTTTCTCACTTTTGCTATCGAACAAGGACCATTTAAAACAAAACAAACTTACGTCAATCGTCGTATCTATCGCCAAGATAGTATGGCACAACGAATCCATCAATCAAGCACGTCCTGTTTTGATTGCTTATACATATATCATTATACAGTTAACCAGTGTTCGCACACACTTTGTGATAATTGCTTACGTGGAGCAGTTGCGAAGAAAATCGAGCTGCAACTAGAAACATTTATTTGTCCTAGATGCCCTGACTCAGAAGAACGTAAGAACCGTCTTCGAACTATGGTTGATCGGAATACTACAACCATCGTGTATCATCGTACGTCTGAAATCACGTCGAATTCAACTTGGTCCAACGGCACGAATCATGACACTTTCAAGAAATGAAGGTAATTGAATTTCATAATTTAAAATAACTAGTTTTCCACAATATATTATTGATTTCAAAAGTGTCATATGAAGTTTCTGAGCAATGCTAGATTAGAAAACGTAATTTGACGAGAACCTGCAAAGTGTCAAACTTTCACGTTAGACAAAACAGAAGATCATGTAAAATGTATGTCACCACTAATTGATTAAATTAATTTTAAGAAGTAACTTGCCTCTCAGTTCATGCTAAGGAAGAGTAGTGAGAATCTAAAGAATAATGGAATTTACTTTAGCACTTATTTTGTGTGGAAGTTTTTTTGAAGAAGAAATTATTCTTAATTTCGTACGAAAGTTTTACTAGTCCCAGCTCAAAAGATGATTAAATTTTATACTCCATTGCATCGGTTTCCAAATACTTGTTTCAAAATTCTCTTTTTTTTTACAATTTATTACTTTCCGTCAGATAGGGCAGGAAGCGTTGTATGAGAGTAATTAGATGAGCGGATTGACGGAAAATGTCGAAAAGGAAAATGCCGAAAAAAAAATAGGAAAATATCGAAAGTAACAATAGCGAAGGTTTCAATGATAAATAGGAAAATATTGAAAGGTAAACATAGAAAAGTGGAAAACATAGAAACGAGCTTAAGTATGAATGAAGTGAAAGGAAAATGTAGAAAAGATAAAAAGTAATTCTAAAAATATGTCTATATTGGTCGTTATTTTATTGTTGTAATTACTATTAGCGGTGGGGGAGGGTGTGGGTGTAGGAGCGGATGTGAACGTCAGTGTGGGTGTGGCTGTAGGTTCGAGAATCTCTTCCTTTATCAGGCACTCGGACTCTCTCCGTACCTACACCCACACTCACCCATACCCATCCTGTCATATAAAAATAAAAATAAAAAACTTCATTTTCGATATTTTGTCTATCTACATTTTCCTTTCGACCGTTTCCTACTGATTATCTATTCTATTCGACGTTAGTCTTTTCGGTCTTTATACTGTATACTTTTTCCTTTTCGACATTTAACACCAAACCCATTGATCTATAGTGTCTATTATTTGAACACTGGACATTCAGTCTTATCCAACAAAAGCACAAGTCATTATTCCATTAGTTAATGCTTATTGAGATTATCTTCTTAGATTTTAGAAAGTTTATATGGATCAATGGCGACGTAATATTCAACAACGATAATAATATGCAAAACGTCGATATCAATTGATCTGATCCAATATACGATTCACGTTTGGTACAATAATACTTTAACAATTAGGAAATTTTTTCAACATAATGTGTTGAGATGGTGGCAACTCTCCAAATACACATACTGATATACAATATGAAGAATTACAATATGAGAATCATGATATTCAAATGGTAACAATTAAAATGAATGTTTCTCTCATATATATTTTTTTTCTTCTTTAAATTTGATAACTATTAACTTTGAATTATAAAACTTGTTATTTATTTTTTTCTGTTAAAGTTTCACACATTTTCTCCTTTTCTCAACTTTGCCTATTTTTTTTCTTTTTCTCGATGTAGTAAACCATATCTGGCTGAGACGTGGAGGTGTACACAAACATATAGATTATTTGTTCGCTATTCCTTCACGTATATGATCACATGGGATATTCTCCTTATTTTTCACATATATGTTCGTTCTGTATTTTTCCTTTTCGTTATTTTAATGCGTTCTTCTTCTATTCTATTGACTTATATTGAAATGTGTTATTTCCAAGTGATGAACTAAATGATAACACTTTTTCTTCTTAAATAAACGAACTATGACTAAACTTCTAAAACGATTATCTTCTTCTACAAGTTACGATAAGACTGTAACAAAATATGAATGAAATCTTTTAAATTACGTCATTATTGTTTCTCTTAAACAATAAAAAAGGGAAATTTTTGGTACACAGCACTTGTGATTTTTCCAACGACAAATATTATAAAATAAAAGATGCTCGATGAAAATAAGTTGTTTACAACTGTTACATTCAGAGGCACGCAATTATCATTCCAAAAGTATATAAGACTGGAACTGCCGGGCCAGTTTCTACAATATTTAAACTTTCATTAATCGTTGATTTTCAAAGAAAAAATTATTTTGAATTTACCTATATCATCGAAAATAATGGATCAAAATAGCTATTTTATGCCGAATGACCGTGATGAACAAAGTCCCAGTTCTCCGCAGAATGATCGTGCTAGACAAACTCCAAATTCTCCGATTGATAATACTTGCCAACAACCTAAAGAAAGTCGATTGACAAATGAAGTGCACAATGATATAGCAAAAACTCTATGTGATGATAATCAATCATGATATTCCACTGGTAAAAATTCTTTCTAATTATTTCCCTTTAATTTCTTTTAATATATAATTTATACAGGCGTACAGTCCAGATAGAATTGAAGAACAAACAGTTTTTATATATGAACGTATTCCAAACCTTTGAACGAAAAATGGATGTAAGTGATCTGATCATATTTTTTAAAATAGTATGCTAGTCTATTTTCCAATGCTTTAGTTTTTAGTATATTTTCTAATAAATATCTATAATTATAAACATCAGAATTAAAATAATTTTATTAATGATCAAATTTAAATTGCATGAAGTAGTCAGACGAAAGCTGCAAATCGAATTTGGCAGTAATATAGCAAGTGAAAGTTGTATGAGAAAAACATTTAAACTTTATTATGAAACTAGCACAGTAGAAAATAGACAACATTCTAGAAGACTACTAAAATCTACAAAGAAAAAATTCGATGAAGTTCATAATGTTTGTCAAAATGAACTATAACCAAATTTTCGAGCTGACGTAACGGCCTGCTCCATTTCTCGAAAGACATACAAAGTACAATTTACCCAATAACTTGACGATGCCTCAGTTCTTGTTTAGTTTAGAAGTAAAAAGGTTACACAAAATGCGTCCGATAGTTTAGAAATTGCATCGATGTCAAAAACAATGAACTGAAGTATATCAGTCGATGGTAACCATATTGAACATTTATGATCAGCTGTGGTTTTTTTTTAAATAAAATTTTCTTAATAATCATTGATTTTGAAAAAGGCATACGCAATACAAGACTTTCTGAATATTTATTTATATTCAAGTAGGAATAAAAAAAAAATGCAATGTATGAAATAAAATACAAGATATGAGCACACAATTTGTTGAGAGTAAGACAAGAGAGACACTGTTTCAGAATGCATATCAAAAAGAAAAAGAATAAGAGAGAGAGTATATAAAAATCTCTTAAATACTGTATTCTCTTGATGTTGAACTAATAGCTGAAGATGATGTTGTAGAAGAATGTTTTGAATAATTTATATTCGGTGGAGGAGGTGGTGTATCAATTGAATCATATGTTAAATAGGTTGATTGTAGATCTGCTATTGGTCTTCTCGTTAATGATTGTACAGTTTTTTTAAAATTTGAATGACTTGATGAAGTTGATGATGTTGCTGGTGAATGAAATGTTTTTAAATGATGTGGTTGTTGTTGAATATGATCATCGTTACTATCAGTCGATTGATGAATACCTACAATAACTACTGTTGGTGATTTATTATTAAATGAAGATTGATGTCGTTGTGTGGGTACAGCATAATCAACACTTGTTGAACTTAAACTTGATGAACGATGTTGTGCTGTAAGAAGAGGTCGTGCAACAGCATGTGCACTTGAACTTGATCGAGATAAATCATTACTTCCATAACAACTATCTTGTGAACTTCCACCACTACCACCAGCTGAAGTTTTCATATCATCATATGGTTCAATATGATGATGTGTAGCTAATTTCTAAAAAAACAAAACACAAATCAAAGATTATATAATCAATTCAAGTTAATTAACTATAGCCATTGTCATACATCAACAATCTTTACGATACATTTCGCTAATTTCTTACAAGAACAATTATGTAATTCAAAATAATAAATCATAATCAAGTATAGTTCTTTTTATATTGATGATTATTTGTTTTAAAATGTTAAATAGTATTCCTAACCTTTTGACTGGATTTGTCTACATTGGGATTAAAATGATAATATTCACACAGTTAGATTAAAGATGAACTTTCGACAAAAAATTAAAAGACATAAATCTATGACATAACTTACTTTCATAGTTGCTGTCCCAGTAAGAAGTTTGTCAGCATCAGTTGATTGAAGTAATTCACATGGTTTTTTTAATGATGTTCGATGTAAATGTCTACATCGTTTTTGTTTACAAAAAAAAGCTATTAAAATACCCATTGTTATACTAAATACTAATGTAAGTATTGTTGATATAACAACAACAAGAATCATATCACGTGTTAATATTATTTCTTGTTCAGATGATGATGTATCGTCTTTTTCATGAATTTTATCCGATAATTGTTGAGAATTTAATGATGTTGTATAATATAATTTATCACTATATTCTCCTATTTTAATATTAATATTTGTCGTTGAACATTTTGATATTGTTTCACCTTGATCACATACTTTAATTATTAAACGATGATGTCCTTGTGGTAAATTATTTGATTGACTATATATTGTTCCATTAAATTTATTTATTTGAAAATAATCATTTTGATTACCATCAATAATATCATACGTTAAATTTCCATTCATTCCACTATCACGATCATGTGCATTTATTGTTGTAATAAGTATTAATTTTGTTTGATTTATTAATATTAATTCACTTGGAATATAAATAGCTGATGGTAAATCAATAATAGGTGTATTATCATTAATATCAATTAATTCAATTGTTACTAATACACGATCAGAATGACGGTAATCATTATCTTTCGCTGTTATATATAAACGATGTATTGTTTGATTTTCATAATCAAGAAAAGCTTTGGTACGTAATTGTCCATTTAATAAATTGATTTCAAATAAATCTTGATCATCAAGACATGTTAATTCATAATTTATTGTTGTATTTGTATCATTATCATTCGCTTTTATTTGACCAATTAATGTTCCAATAGGAACATTTTCTTGTATACGAAATAAATAGGAATCTTTTTCAAATTTTGGTTTATTATCATTGGTATCATTGATATAAACAATAAATGGATGTAATGTTTCAAGACGTTTTGGATGTGTACCATGATCTGATATATTTAATATTAAATCATACTTGGATTTTAATTCATAATCAAATGAAATATTATCTGCGGTAGAAAGAATTCCATTTGTTGAATTAATTTTAAATAAACGAGAATTATTTGTTAATACAAGAGAATAAGTTAAAAGACTATTCGATGTATTTGGTGCATCGAAATCTTGTGCATGAAATTGAATAAGTTGAATATTAAATTGATTATTTTCATTGATACTTATTGGATTTGGATATGGATCAAGTATTGGAGGTGAATCATTTATATCAAGAAGAACTATTGTAATATCTTTTTGAGTAGTTAATGATGGTCCAGTACCTAAACAAAAAAAATGATATTTAAGAAACAAATTTATATATATATGTGAACCTTGATCTCTAGCTTCAAATGTTAAACGATATTGTTCTTGTTGTTCTCTATCAAGTCTTCCAATAATTGATAAACTGTATAGATCATTAAATTGTTCATTTAATTGAAATAAATTTGTATATGTTGTTAATTTTAATATAATTTTATCATTGATTGAATCTTTATCACTAACACTTAAATGAAATAAACGTGTATTTATTGCTTGTTCTTCTTCAATATAAAATACATGTTTACGTGGATCAATTTTACTTGGATCTGTATCCGGTAAAATAAAATCAATATCAGGTGGACAATCATTAACATCAAGTATATCAATTTGAATTTGTGTATAAACACTAATTGCATCTGGTCCATTGTCACGTGCACGAACATTAAAACGATAATTTGTTTCATGTTCATAATCTAATACTTGTATTAATTTAATAATACCAGTTGTAATATTTATTTCAAATGGAAATGTTGATAATGGATTATCTGTTACAATTGTATAATTAATTAATGAATTTAAACCTTCATCATTATCATATGCATGTATATGAAGAATATCTGACCCAATCGGAATATTTTCTTTTAATTTTATATGATATTGATCATGTTCAAATTTCGGAACATTATCATTTGAATCAAGTATTTGTATATCAAGTAATAAGACTCCAGTTAATTCGCCATCACTTGCAACAATTTTCATTTTATAAAAATTTCTTGTTTCACGATCAAGTGATTTTAATAAACGTAAACCAAGTTGATTTTCTGTATGTAAATTAACAATTGAAAATGTTTTTATAAGATCTTCATCAGTACTTTCATCATACGGTACAATACGATATTCAAGACGATCTTGATAATCAAGATCAGTTGCTGATGGAAATGATGATATATGACTAACATCAGTATTTTCTGATAAACGTATTTGAAATGTTGATACAGGAAATTTTGGTTGATTATCATTGATATTTTCAATAGTTATATCTAATGATAATATATCAATTGTTTGTGATGATGCTATTATTTCTAATGTTAATATACATCGTTCACAATTACATATATGTGTTTGACATAATTCTTCACGATCAATCATACGTTTTATAGATATACGTCCTGTTAGGGAATCAATCATAAAAAATGAATTATGTGGACTTGAATCTGATATAAATGAAAATTTTAATGAATTTGATGATGAAGGATAAACACGATTTAATTCATAAATAGATGTACCAATTGAACTTTGTTCTTTAAGAGATATAGGTGATAATCGTTGAATTGCTGTTGAAATTGGTTTAAGAATAAAGAAAAATAGTACAAATTGAATAACAACATACATTGTTATATTAAATCTAGATAAAGAGAGAAACAAAAAAGTAAATGAAATGAATGAACGAACATCAGCTTCACATATTTAATCCTTGTTCTAATGAGTTAAGACTTGAACAAAGATCAAGCTATACCTTTGTCTCTCTAGTTAATGCTAAAAAAAAGAAAAGCTGATTGTGCTCAAGAGTAGAGAACAACTCAATTGTATACAAAGAGAAAGAAAGAGAAAGAAAAAATGAAGAAGACATTGAGGCGAGAGATAACATAGATGAATATATATGAGCACAAATTTTACTAAGAGTGTGTTTATGACTATAGATTTTAATGAACAACTTGGTCACGCACCAATTTTTTTTTTCTTCTTTGCGCTCGTTACTGATGCTGCTCAGCGAGATTGTATCGATTCAATGTCTATATATGCGTACACAAATCGGTCGCTGAGCGCTCCACCCAATTTTCGAATTAATGACCGATAGCTTACAAGTGTGAATGGTCATCAACTACCATGATGTCTTTCTTTTTCTCATTTGGCGCTTGTAAACAAGTATAAGAACAAAGAAGAAAATGATGTATGTACGTATATATATTTAGAGAAAGATAGATATATATATACAAACTTGTGTACTACTACTACAAAGTGACTTCCTTTCCGGAAGAATGAATGCATGCACATCTGAATCTTCCTGTGAGAGTATGTATGTATGCGTGTGTATGTTCGGTAGTTATGAAGACAAGACAAGGATTAATACGTTGATGATGATGATGATGATGACGATGGCAATGCACTCATGATTGATTTTTATGTAGCCAACGAATGTATGTTGATGGTGACAAATGAAACGTCAAACAGTGTTAAACTCACCATATTACCATTAACAAATTCTTAAATGGGATTGAATTATCGATGGTGTTAATCTTATGACATATAAACTCTGATAGACAGACGGATAGACATTCTCAGTTCGTTTGTATATTTATATACACTCCTGTGGAGTGATTATGCAAAAGATGAATTTAGAGTTCTATTTATTGGAAAGGGAACGGAAGACAATGTTGTAATTGTATACTTAAAAGAGGCATACAATGATCAAGGATACCACACGCACTCTTATAATTACCAGAATAAGTCAATGCCAACACAATGATGCTTGTCTACTCAATGATGTCACCGTCTTCTTCTTTTTTTTTTCTACTTTTTTTTTAATGTTTAATGTGTAGAAGATTTATATATTCAGATGAACAATGCAATTACTATTGCTTATCGCTTGATTAAGAATAGATGATGTAGTCATGTAGGCGCACATACACACGCACACATTCGATATTGTCTAGGCGATATGATGACGTCCGAATTATTAATTTCGAGTTTTATACATGTATTAGATACACACATGTTCCCATAGGTCGAATTAAAGTTCAGGGACAATATGACACATATAGATATAGATATATACATATATATATATATATACACATATACAATGGGGATGAATTATTTCACTTTCACACGAGATACATCTTTCACGCCTAATTTACGCATACACACATAAAGAAACAATAGCACGCGATTACTAACCTAAAGCTGACCTTGAATATACATAGGAGTATATATGTAAAAAAAAAGAGAAATCAACTGATAGATAGACAGTTAGTCATCATACTTTGATTTTCTACCAAACTGAACAGTCCACAATGAAAAGATAGAAAATGAATATTGATGATGATGATTAAGTATGTTTACTGAAAAATACACGCCCTGTGAATCGATCAAAGAATAATTCAATTCCAATTAGAGGGCTGCTGTTCAGTTGGTCAGTCATGCCGTCCTTCTCTCATCCAAATGTTCTTTTACAAAGATTGATCATTATTTTCGACTTGACTAATGCTTGCACGCGTGCACTTTTATTAGATGACAAAATCCGTATGTGCACATACCGATGAAGACAATAATAATGATGATGAGCAATGGCAATTGTTGAGTCGAGGTTCAAATAAGCAGAAGAAAAAACGAGATGAGTGTGTAAGTAAGTGAGACTTCCGGTTGAACGGTCGAACTATGTTCAATAATACACGCCTACTTCGATATAGATAATAGACAAAGAAAAGATTTTGCTAGACCGTACATATACATATATCTATATATATATATCTATCTATCTCTCGCTATATATATTATGACCTAAGGACACGGTTTGATCTTGAATTAACTATCCGTCTATCTCATCTTTTATATTTGTTTTTCTACCTGTAAGTAAAGTAAACAAACGAGAATTGATTTAAAAAGTATACTATTCACTTAAATCATGCTTTTTCATCTTACCATTAAACAAAGTAGTCAAAAAATCATTATCAAAACAATACAAGAATAACAATTAATATTGATCTTATCAATATTTGTGTATATATATATATATTACATAGAAATGGTCTAAGAATACAAGATGTATTCTATTGTCAAGGTCAGTTTTTTTTATGAAAATGGTTTATAACTGCACAATATTAATTATAAGTCAATTTAAAAAAAGAACTATATAAAATAGAAAAGAAAAATCTTACTTACATACTATCATCACATAATATAAATGGCTTCTGACGGAAACAGCCCAACTCTCATACTCGGTTGCTTTTCCCTCGACTATTATTTTTTCTTATGAGATTATGCAGTGAGTTTGAAACAAATGCAGCTGCCGGTGGCGGATGCCAAAGAAAGGACAAGAGCAAGCGGGAATATAAGGAACATAAAAAAAAGTGGCTGGTTCTGACTCGTTTATTAATTTGACATTGAATTATCTACTACATTTCACTTGTGTGTGTGTGTGTGTGGGTATGTATGTATAGTGTATGTCGTCAATGGAACACAGACAACGTGCGGAAAAGACAATGAAACTACAAGGACAATGAAGACGATCGGCTAATCTCGTTGTATGAACGAGCGACAATTACTCTTTCTCCTCATTCTTCCTAGAATTTGAATGACGTGTGTCTCATTTCAAAATTTCTTCTGTTTTTTTTCATTGACAATTATTCTCATATGTATATATTCGAACAGGTACTGCTACATTGAGATTGTACAAATCATACATCAGTTATGAAGGTCAAGTGAATAGGACACAGCAGGTATACGATAGTTTGGGTCAGTGCTCCGTTGTCATTGTATATATATATATACACATATGTATATATGTATTGACTTTGAATCACTGTATGAAGAGTGAAGTGCAAATTGGAGTGAAGGATGGAGAAAGACGAGAAGAGAGACAATAGTGGGGGTGAATGAATGAATGAAAAACAAATTTGACGAAGTTGGTTATTCATATTATTATTATCTGAAGCTCATTCATATATACACAAGGTCATTAAAATGAAAAAAAATAAACGTGACTTAGAAGCCTTATAGATTTGTCTTTCATCAAAACTAAAGCCAAAAATCCGCTTGAAAAATACTAACAACAAAACTATATTAAGAATAACATAATCATTAGTAACATGAGAAGATTATGATGGTTATAATTTCGATCTAACTAATTGTCTCCTTATTTTTCTATGACTATTTGTCTGTCTGATGGTACCCATGTATATAGATGCAGGTGACGCACACTATACAATTGTTCATTTGAGAACATATACTATGAAATACATGGACAGATTGCCATTTAGTTTTTCCGAGTTTTTTTTCAACAAATTGATAATACTAGTAGTTGGTCAATACGTCCGAGTGAGTTGTTCCGGTTGGATGAGGGGCTTCTATGAATATAGAGGTATGATTAGTAAATAGGAAGAGTTAATGCAGTAGATGATGTCTGCTGTATTGTTCTCTTCTTTTTTTTGTTGTTGAAAGAATGGTGATGAAGCGAAAAGGAAATGACTAGCCAACACTGGCTTAGTCGTATGTTCCATATCCGTTATGGTTGTTGATTGACAATGGTGATTGAGCTAGTTGCTAGTAGTAGTGAGTGACATGACATGTTTCTATATATAAGCAAATGTTCGCAGACGCATAATTTATTAATGATGATGGGTATTTGTTGTACAATGAATGATGAGATGTAAAAAAAATCTTGACCGAAATTACGGACATATGACCTCGAAAGAGAGAACGGATAGATATACATAGATACCAAGTCATCTTTAAGAAATTTCCGGTAGTTGTCTTATGACGATTATCCTATATACTCAATATTCATCATCATCTCAATTCAGTTCCGTTCAATGAACTCAATTAGAAGCGTGCATAGCGCATCTCTAATGGTCATCATTTTCTTTTTGAGTGTCTCTTGTTTACTACTCGACTGTGTCGGCTATCAGTCAAGCAAGGCTAAGTGGTCAATATTCTCCTCTTTCAGTTCTATTCTTTTCTTCTACCTCGCAATTTCCTTCTTTATCCTCCAGCAGCATGCCTAACATTTGTCAATGATAAACTTACTTCGATTATGCATGTCCTTCGAAATTGAATAGAATTGAATTTTCTTCTTTCAACCTAACTTCATTTTGTTCTTATCAAAACATATCTGAATATATATGTGCCTTATTACTTTTTACTCCTGCATGTGATTATATTCAGTTTTGCTTACCATCAAACGATCATGTATACGTGCAATTCTCATACTTAGTGAGTGATGCTTTGAAATCAAATATACATATATATATAATATGCATACGACTTAATCAATGTCAACTTCCTACTATTCAATTGATCTCATGAGAAAAAAAGTAACAATCACACGTGTCTCACCTTTGTCTTGTTTTTTTTTATTATTGAAAACGATCGAATAATATGAGAAACAACAATGATGATAACGATGATGATGATGATGATCAGACGCGCCGCCTAAAGTGGCATAGTTCGATCATCATTACTACTAATACATTTATCCAGATATCCATTGCTCTTCTTTCTTTCTCGACCATCGTATGTTCACTATCATAACTCTGACATTTCTCTGTTCTTCTTCTCCTTCTTCTTTGCTTCTTCCTGCTTCTTCTTATTCTCACACCGACTATGCATCATCATGTAAGCTTATATGAAAAGAGAAGCATGAATTTAATAAATTCTCCTTTTCTCTCTTCTGTCCAGCACATAGAATACACACAAATTCTCATTTCCCGTTGAGTGCGAAAGAGAGGGAGGGAGAGAGAGAGAGAAAAGAGACTTCTTCATCATTCTATCTTATAATACAGAAATAATGAAAAAATATGAACAACAAGAGGAAAAAAATGACTAAGAGAGGCATCTCATCAATAGGAACGGTGATGAGTGAAGAGCATCATAATCTAATAGAGAGTAAAGAGGGGAGAAAAAAAAAGAAAACATGGTAACGTCAAAGTGATTACCGTTAATCGATCAAACTTAGAAAGAAGTCGACAACATGAATCTTCGTCTAGGTTAATAACATCACGTCGTCCAGATATCTTTCTCATGTGAAAATGACGCAATGGGTGGATGTACGTATAAAAGTCATCAGTCTCCCGTAGTGTGTTCTCGTGTCTCAGTCAAAAAAAAATTTGACAAAGTAACGGAAGAAACTCATTTTTAACTTACGATTCTTTTTTACTTGAGGAAAAAGAAACTATCAAGTCATTATATTAAACTATCACATATTTCAATATCGTTATTTGCATATGTGACACTAATCTGATCATTTTAGCAATAGATTAAGATAGAGAAAATGAAAAGTAAGAAATTCACTTAATACAAAAAAGAAACCTAAGCTTATTCTTTAATATATAAACACATTTAAAAAAACCTAAGCAATGAAGCACGATATTTATTTCTTCTTTGCGTAATATACACGAACACATACATGAACGATCATTGACTAAGAATAACCTTTATGCATGATGATGTGTTGGCTATGTTGTTATTTAGATATGAAAGAAAAACTAATCGTTCAAGACAATCAAATAATAACAAAAAAAAAAGAACTTGTAATATGTTGTATTAGCTTGCCAAGTGACAACATCTATATAATGAAATTCGTTAAAAGAAATTAACTGACCAACGAAGCAGCATTACAGCGTGTCAATGTAATCAGTAAGATGAGTGTAATACAACAAAGAGAGAACGATGAACATTCTTATGCTGAGAAAAAACTGAATTATTGATATACATACTGACCAGTCTCGAAGACATAACGACAAATAATTTCTTAATGTAATGATCGAGTGTTCTCTTGAGAATTTTGAAAGAATATTTATATTAAACTCTAGAAGAAAATGAACTATCTAGGTGTAATACTGAAAGTCTCTTGTGGGTTTTCATCCATCTAAATGAAGGATAAGAAGTTGTTGATATCATGTTTAGCCTCAAGTATGTATATGTACGAATAACTATCGCTCCTTTCTTCTTATCTTTTCACTAAGAAACCTGTCAAATAACACGCATTCGCGTATGTAGTTTATTTAAACACAACAAATCTAAGAAGTTCTATACATGTCAAGGTTTTTTTCCCTATATAAATCCTCTTAAACACATTGATAATAATAATAATGTGAAAAGATCATCATATAAGATGCAATATAAAAAAAAAAGAAATGAGAGAAGAATGTTTATACCTTTTTCTATGTTGCAAAAGTCTAACACTAATACCATCTAGTTGTGATCAAACGGAATCAGCCGACTGACAACGCGATCTTTTGCATAATAATAATATCCGACGATGTAACAGCTTATCCACTAATTAGCGGTTATCTGTAACTGTTAGGATTGTATTTAGTGATTTGCGCTTCACTTCATTGTGATCACATGCTGAATTAGATTCGAATATAAATGTATATGACTGATTATTACACATTTAGTAAGTATTACATCATTTTTGTTTTTTATTGTTCAATCATCATCATCGACTCGTATTTAGTGGTAGCAATTGCTTTACCACAAACATACACACACACAAAAACGGGAATATGAAAGTACATACTCATAGTTTCCTTTATGTTTATAATAATTAACGACATCATCACTTACTTTTTTTTTTGTAATATTTACTACAAATGAATGTCAGAAATATATATATATACAATCATTGAGATAGCTTTTTTTTCCAATTCATAATGGCCAGTACTTATTCAACCCGAAGGCTAATATAAGTATTCGATGTAATGAAGACATTATGATGGGAAAAGTATTAAAACTTATACATATATACATCTGTTCAAGACTACGAAATAAAAATCAATGATTTTGATATGTCTCAACAATACACTCTTGTATAGCTTTGAAAAATTCCCAATATGATCGGCGGTAGTAGTAAGGTGGAGTAGAAAAGAATATGAATGCAATAAAGATAAGAGTTAAAATCAATTGATTTTTCATCCGACAATGTATACATATACCATTTATGACGTCGGGCATCGGACGAACAACGATCAAGTCAAGAGTACTTGTTGACAGTAAGATTTAAGGTAGGTGTGATAGAAGAAAAAATAAATAAATAATCGATTTCCCCTAGGGTATCTATCATTGATTGATTTTTCGAACAGATGATGAAGAAAGAAGTAGGGTCAAGTGTGCTAAAACTTATTATTTTTTTTACCTAGATAGATTATACTTCTTCTTTTCTTATTTGTATATTCTTCTTTAATTATGTTATTACTATAAAATGTACTATAAATCAGATATATTAGAGGATATGAAATAATTTTAATTATAACATGAAACGAGTTTCTTTTATTTCATATGATTGACAAATGATATATGTATCATCATCGTCATATTTAATCGTATCTCTCATGAGACAGATAATGTCCATCATAAAAGACATAATCTCTAAGGACGTCTTGTAGACAGATCGATCATTGAATACATATGTACTTAAAAAAAAAGAAGAAGTTTTTTTTTCTTCTTGTGTGCATGAAATAATAAGAGAGAAAAAAATGATGTTAGTTGTCAATATTTCAACAGCATGTTCGATTGATTTACTATATTTAGTCAGATCCTAATAATAACACAATCCACATCTGTGTATGAGTATTCTTAGAGAGAGAAGAAGCTCTTTATTATAATCCATCTTGATATACACTTCTTTGCAGCTGTCGAATATATTGTATATATCAGACTGGAATACAAGTAAATGATTCATTATTACAAATGTCGGGAATAAAAAATTCAATCTATGTTTTTCTTTATATCGTAAGACTATTTTAATTGTCTATAAATAGTTTTTAAATATAGATTTCTATCATTAATTATTGAAGAGTATGTGCGTTTTCCAATAAATGCGTACAATCATTGTAACCTGAAGTTCAAGTAATAAATGATGTAATCCTATCAAAATTGATAACTAGTTATTTAGATGGATAGGAGTATTGGGAATTAATTTATAGATAGTATAAAGAGTATTATCTAAGTAAAATCTCTTATTAGGACAGTTAAATATCAATGTTTTTATACATGTTCATATCTATATCATTTTTATCCTTATGATTGAATAGATGTGTCAAGGTTGTATTGAAAGAATTATATCTCCCGAAAGAAAAAAAGGTATAAATATATTATGTGTTTTATAGTTTTTTGATTAACTAAAACGATGATGAAGATGCTATCAAATTATTTTTACTGATTGGTGAAATTCATGAGTCGTCATAGAATTTTTTTTATACTGTTTACTGCAAAACTCTGCAGACTCAGCTTTATATCCCTACTCTCAAATACCATTTAATATAATTATGCTTTCCAATCACTCATCGTCGATGATTTTAACAATAGCACTTGATTAAATATTGTTGTTGTCAATCATTTCATTGACAATATATATAGAAAATAAATTCATTGAATAGAAGAATTAGAATTAAAGTTAATCATTAGTAGTAGTTCCGATTGACAGATGCATTGGATAGAACCAATGAGATAAATTTAGCGTCTACGATAATAGTGACTTATTTTAGTAAACAATAATGAAAAAATAGTCTTTATTTCATTAATGCTATATTAATAAACAGAAAAAAAAAGCTTTTTTTTTATAACAGCGTCTTCACTCATAATGATAATCAAGTTCTTTGTTGTTGTTGTTGTTGTCTCCCTAATTCTATTCGATCATTCGTTTAAGGTCGGTTCTAAATGTCTACATAAATTTGTTTTATCAGAATTTATTTCAATTTTTGTGCTGCTAATTCACACGGTGTTAGTCCTTGTTGTCGAGCTTTTTCTTCTTGTTCATGATGTTCTTTTTCATCATCTTCACACACACGAATTAATCTTGTATTATCGAAAAGCATATAAGGTTTGACAACTAAACCTAATTAAACAAACAAAAAAAATCTATCATAAATCAAAATTAAACTCAAACATACGATAAGTATTTTCATCAGTTTGTATTGTTTGTAATACTTCTCGACGAAGATAGTTATCTGTATCTTTTGCTGCACGAATTAACTAAAAAAATAAAATTTATATTAATAATTCAAATTTTAAAATTTACTTCTTTTATAGTTTTTTCATCAGTTACATTTTTATAATGTGCAAAATTTTCTCGTATGCCTTGTGTCATACCTAAACAAAAATAAATATACAATAGAATCTTACTTGTAGACGAACTTACTGGCTATTCGTGTTGGATCATTTTGAAATACGGCTTGTGAAGTACGGATTAACTTTTTATAATGTTTTAAGACTTGTGAGCGAAGAAGTGATGTTCCCATTATTTACTTTTCTATAGAACAAACAAAAAAAACGAAGTATTTACTGTTTTGTTCATTTTTATTTTAAAAATATTATTTTTTTTCTTTCCGATTTAGAAGTATTAAGCAATAAATATAATACGATATGACATTAAATAAAACAACAATGAAAATAAAAATTAAAACTGTTCTTGTTTAATAGAGATTTATTCATAATTTTATTATTTTTTAACTTTTGTCGTTGCCTTTGATTCTTGTTCAATAGGTGCTTGATGAATAAATGGAATTTTTTCAGAATATTCTACAAGAAAATTAATATTTAATAAAATATTTATAAATTAAATAAACATACTCTTTGGCATAAGTGGCTTAAGAACTTCGGGTACAACAATACCATCGTCAGTTTGATAATTTTCAAGAATAGCACAAATAGTACGTGTTGTTGCACACATTGTTGCATTTAACATATGAACATATTCCGACTAGATTATAAAAAAAAGTATTAGTTTAGTTATTAATGAATTATTTACTTACGGCTTCATTATTTTTCTTCGTTAAGCCATAACGAATTTTAAGACGTCTTGATTGATATTCAAGACAATTCGAACATGAGACAAGTTCACGAAATTTTCCTGAACCAGGAAACCAGGCTTCTAAATCAAATTTCTTTGATGCAGCATTATTTAATTCACCTATAATCGTAATTATACATTATTTATGCTTGTATTTGTTATTTATATTTACTAACCAGAAACAATATTAACAATACGATAAGGAATACCTAATCGTTGATTGAATTCTTCTGCATTTCCAATCATTTCTTCAAACATTTCCCATGATTTATTATCATGTGGAGATGTTATACAGAATTGTTCAATCTAAACACATTCATATAAATCTATGACAAATAAAAATAGCACGAAAAAACCTTTTCAAATTGATGAACACGAAAAATACCACGAGTATCCCGAGTAGATGAACCGGCTTCTTGTCGAAAACAAGTTGAAATACCACCATATCGAATTGGTAATTTTTCAGCTGGAAGCCATTCATCTCTATAAACGACACAATTTCATAAGAATTTAAATAGATAAAAATACTAACCGATGATAAGCAGCAATCGCTTGTTCAGAAGTAGCAATTAAATATTTTTCTTCATCACTTCCTTCATCAGGTTTATCATTTTTACAAACAACCTATGAGAAATAATTTATAATAAATTTCGAAAATATTTTTCTACTTTATAGAGTTCTTCATCAAATTGACTTAATTGTGCTACTTCTTGCATGATTTCTTTTCGCATAAAAAAAGGTGTATAAAGTATTTCGAAATCTTTTTCATGTAAAATACGTAAAGCAAGTTGAATTATTGCTTGTTCAAGAAAAACAGCAGGACCCTGAAATAATCGATATATAAAATAAATTCGTTTTTGTTTGTAATTGTTAAACCTTCATAAAATATCCACGTGATCCAGCAATTGATGCTCCTCGTTCATTATCATAACCATCAATCATATACATTAAATCATAATGAGAATATTTTTTACGTGTTTCAACATCTCCAAAAGTTCGTTCGATTTTATTATTTTCCTAGAATAAAAGAAAAATGTTTCATTACGAGTCATAAAATTCGTCTTCCTTTTGGTTACCTCATCATCGCTAACAGGTACAGATTCATGAACAATATTTCCAACTTCACGTATTGTTGAATTACGTTCATTTTCAATTTCAATTAATTTCTTTTTCGTATTTTCAATTTCATTATCAATTAATCCACTAAGACATTTGATTTGTTTGATAGTTAATGTTCCAATTACTTCACCATTCAATGTTTCATGATTAATTTCTAATGTTTTAGGAAGATCTTCTGTATCACCTTCATTTTCTTTGGCTTGTTTTTTTGTACCAGTTGTACGTCCACAAAGATTCTTTGCTTTATTCCATTGATCAGCTTGATAACGAACTGTACGCCATTGAGAATCAAGTTCAATTACTTTATCAACACGTTCAAGACCTTGGTAACGTTTCTTTTGTGAATCACGTACTAATTGTGGCTGCTGTCGAAATAATTCGATATCCAGTACCATTATTGAAAACAATATACAATAATCTAATAGAAAACATACAGAAATTCAAGCTAAATATAGATTTATTGCGTCAGATTACATCAGCTTTCAAAAATGACGAAAATCTATAATTTTCAAAATACATGATCATAGTATGATAAATTATATAAATAAGAAGATGATATTAATCTTTGATTGTTTTTAATCTAGTTTATATCGACCTAAATCTTCGATCGTACTTCCTTATTTTTGAGTGGATACAAACAACGTCATTTATTATTGCGACTTTGTTTATACTCTAGATGTCGTTATTAATCGATTTATAATTAGTCAAAGTTTTATTTAAAATGCTTTCAATACAAAAAAAGAAAAAGAAATTAACTACCGCACCTTTTACATAGGACAATTATAGAAATATGAGAACTAAGAAGATTTATGAACAACAGTTCGTACAAGTCCATTACTAAATACAAATTCTTTTACTTTATTAATTATGTAAAAAAATGGTATTAAAGCAGTAATATATTGTATCCATGCCCAACGAAATTCTTTCCAATAATTTGGTATATAACGAATTGATTGTAAATCATTGTTAACAATAATTTTAATTGTTAATTGTTGTTGTGTCGAGGGTATTGATGACCATTGAACATATTGTTGATCAAATGTTGTATAATAATTACGAGATGTATAATTATTTAGAATGTCATCAAACGATGGTACAGTTGAATATGTTCCATAATTAATAATTGAACCTTGAATAGATGAATAGTCTGAATTACTTGATAATGGTTGTCGTTGTTGAAGACGAAGTTGTCCATAAATAGTTACCGTACTATTATCCTTTAATGATGATGGAGCTTTAAGTAGAATTACACCGAGTGCTTCCATGTTAAGTAATGGATATCGACTGAGTGCATATTGAAATTGAAGCCAAAGATTAGTAGTTGTACTAGCTATAGATTCTAATAAAATTATATTTAACGTAATTGTAAATTGATCAATAAGACCATCGCCATCTATATCGCGTGGAATACTTGTTCGAAGTGTACTTGATCTATAGCTTGATATTAATTTTCCGTTTAGAAATGCATCAGATGAAGAAAAAAGAGATGTTGAAGAAGAATCAATAAATATCTCATATTTTCCATTAAATGATACACTAGGTTGTTCACTATAGCTTAATTCTTTATAATAAAATCCACTTGTAAAATAACTAGTAAATAATGGTGGTAATATTGTAAAAATAATACAAACTATTTGAAATAGGAATGCACTTGAACATGGACGAGCAAAATAACGAACACGATGTTCTTGAGAATGAACTTTATATAAAACCATTTTAATCTAATAGGGATTATGTTTTATTTTGTCATTTGATATATTTTTTAAACAACATTATGAACTATCATCTAACACTATAACTATGTCAATACCTCTATTTTTGTTTCCTATAGAAAATGATAGATGGAGTTAGTATTCGTTCTTATGAGAACTTGACATATAACTATCAGTTATGCAAAACACATGCCTTTTGAAAGTTTATCTATAAACATTATAGAGAATGGCACTTATTTTCTTCTATGAAACTGTCATCTATTCTGTGTAGATTCACTTTAATCTCTCTAAGTAGTTAGATAATTCTCATATATCAGAGACACACTTATGTCTTCTCTGTTCTTTAGCAAAACTAGGAAAATATTATTTTTATTGTAATATCGATTCATCGACTTACATATACTGATGATTGAGTATCCTATCGATACTATCATCGAACCATTTCCTCATATAGTAGAGATCATTTAGATTAAGAAAACAGAAATGAATATATACGATCAAATGACGTTTGATATATTCATTTTCAAGTGTACTGAAAAACCGAGAAACCGATAATTGTCAACTATGACAGAACAAGAGAAATATTTCCATTGTATCGATTCATTTTCTAATTGACATTTGACTCATTGTGTCGATTGATCATCATTTATATAGTAATACAACCTACGCATTACTGTAATAATCTTCATGACAAGCTAGAGAGAAAGCTTAAGTTATTTTAGGATAGAAAAAAATAAGAATAAATAACATTAACAATAACCGGTCGACGAAGATTACCATGCATACAGTTGTACATATTACTATGTAAGGAAAAAAAATAAGAAATAGAAGAACAAGAAGAATATACTAGAAAAAAGAAGTGCCAATGACTAAAAAATCGCCCGCACATATTAGAGAAGAGAAAAAATAGAGATAAATACGTAGGATATATATTTTTTGCTTTATTTCATTCTATTACGTCTTATTTTGTCAGTGGGCTTTTACGATTTAACACAAACAAACAAACAATAAAAAATGGCTACTGGACCAACAGCAAATCGTCCATTGACAAAAACATTTTGTGCAAGATGTCAACAAGTCTTTACACCAAAAGATGCTATGCAAATATATCAAGAGAAATATTATCATCCAGCTTGTTTTTGTTGTTCAAGTTGTGGAAATACCCTAGCAGGAAAACCTTTCTATCCTAAACCAAATAATCAATTTCAATGTGAAACTTGCAATCATGCACTTGCACCAAAGTATATATTTTCAAATATATAAAGATAAAAAAATATTTCTATTCTACGTAGTTGTTGTGTATGCAATCAAAAGATTCAATCAGGTACTGCAGCAAAACGATATCAAGAACGTCATTATCATAGTAATTGTTTTCGGTAAAGATCTATTTCTTTTTTGTTTTTTTACTAATTCTATTTTTTTTGGTTTTTAGTTGCTGCAAATGTACAGCAGTTATACCTGATGGTAAATAATTTCATATTGAATTTGTGTCATTAGATTTCTATGAAATAAATTTAGGTCATAATTTTGTCGATATGTTAGATGGACGTTTTCAATGTTTAACTTGCTCAAAACATATAACTGGATCATATCAAGGCAAAGAACATGCTCCACATATGGAGAATATATTGGGTGAAATCGAGCCTGTTCAATGTGATCAAGCAGGACGTATACCTATATGTGACAAATGTGCACGACCAGTACCAAGTAATGAAGAAGCATTTCGACTTGAAACACGTTATTATCATCTTGAATGTGCTCGTTGTAATCGATGTCGTAAGAAACTTTTTAAAGTTCCATGCAGAAAACTTGGTTCTGCTTTAGGTAAATTTCGAAAATTAAAAACAAAATATATATATATGCTTATTTTCTTTTAGTTTGTCATACATGCTCATAACTCATCAAATATTTATGTCTTATTCTTTTAATTATATAAAAACAACCTTTTTATGATATTTTCTACCTAAATTTTACATACCCCTGATCATTTTTCATTATTATCTTATGCAATATGAAAATTTGTTTTTTTATTTTAAAAAATAAAATTCAAAGACAAAATAATTTAATTAGCTTTAGCTGTATGTGATTTATGACGTGGTGATGCAGTTGGAGTAGCAGAAGTACGATGAGGTAATAATGGTGATTTTTTATCTGTTTCATCAGCACGACCAATACGTCGTTGAACTTTATGTTTAACAATTTCTTTACTTATTTCAACTTGTTTCATCCATGGTTTATTTTTAAAATGATTCGCTTCTTGTAAACAATTAATAGCTGTTGATCGTGTTGATGCACTTGAATATCGTTCATATGCTTTAATTGTTGATTGATAAACTTCAAGATCAAGATGAGATTTTATTGAACTTGAACCAATACTAACTGGTTGATCAGGTAGCGGTAAACATGCATCAACATCAACAATCGAACTACGAGTAATAGGACGTGAATTACTCAATGGAGTAATTGATTGTGAAATAGATCCTTCAGGAGAATGTTGTTGTTCATGTACTGATTGTTCGATTTGAGTAAGTAGTTCACGTTTTCTAGAGGCATAATACTGTTCCATTTCGCGAGAAAGACGAGCCGATGATAATAAATAAGCATCAGCTGATGACATTGTCTTTTGAAAAGCTTCTTGAGTATTATTAATAACTGATTCTACATCATCTGTTAAATTTGAAAGTGCTGATGAAGCATTTGATGGTAGAGAAGTAATCATAGGTAATGTTTGTTTGTCTTTTTCATTGGTAACTGTAATACGTGATGTTGGTCGAAATATATTTGTTGTTGCCTTAGATTTATCTATTTAGATTTAATAATTATGAAATAAAAAACTTATAAATTCTTTTTTATAGTTTACCTTGTATTTGAATAATATTATTCGCTGTTGGTAATACATTAGTAATTGATGAATTGTCTCCATCTATTGTTAGTTTGTTTGGTCTAGTAATTTGTGTATCATGAGGTACTATGGCTGAATTTTTCCTTATATTTGCTGGTGAACCAATTGGTGATAATGTAGATTGATGAATATGTGCAGCAATTGCTTGTTTAAAATGTCGTCGTTCATCGGAAGTGAATTGTTTCATTAATGCTTTTGTATGAATAAGTTTTTCTCGTTCTTCATCAGTTAAAGTAATATACCGATCACCTCGATCAGATCGTACCAATTGAAGTTGTTCCGATGGTATTTCAAATGTATTATTATAACCATCAATTAATACTTTATAACCAAGTAAACCTTGTTCAGGATAAATTCGTTTAGTTTGTATTACTGTTGAATTTTGTCCACCATATTTTTTCCATGTTTTTTCACGAGCACGTTCACACCAACTAAAATAATGAAATATTCTATGATTATTTTTCATTTATTCTTTTACCTTATAATTCTACAATAGAATGGTAACGAAATATTTACATGATGTGATGATGGACGATAAACAGCATTTGTACTTATTGCTGATGTTAATAAATTTGTAACAAATTCACCATTTGCATTTAAAGGTATTTTAAGATTATATTGTTTATTATATAAATAAAAATAAATTGAATTATAACATCGTTTTTCTTCTGGAGATTTTGCTGATGATGAATAAGTAAGTGCTATTCTATAAGGTAGAAAACCTGTGACAGGATCTCGTGTTTGTGTACATAAAACGGAATTGCGAACTAAAAGATCAACTAATATAACATGTCCACGTTCAATAGCTATATGAATAGGACATTTGAGCATTTCAGGAAACATATTAATCGTAGTACGAGAAGACCATTGTCGAGATGGAGGTTCTCCTACTGGACGATCACTTCGTGCACCTTGCCGTAAAACAGTACTTGTCAATGCCATATGACCTATATCGAGAAGAGAAAAAAATCAAGTTAGAATATATAGTTTATTTTTCTAATTAAAATTCTTACCATAAAAAGCAGCAATATGTAATGCAACTTGTACTTGATAATGTCGAGTAAGATCATCAGGTGAACAAGGTTCTAGAAAACCTTTAACACAAGCAGCAATAAATTTTTCAAATCCATGCCATACTTTCAAATAAATATGTTCATGCATTTTAATATCATAATCATTTAATTTCATATCATCATATAAACGTTGTGTACCTGTATATGTTTCAAGACAAAATGTACTTAATGGTAAACCTAATTTATTTGAAATTATTCGTCGTATTGTACCAATTTTTGTTTCTCCAGTAATCGATGTATCAAATAATTTTAACGTATTTTTAGCATATCCACAATATATATTTAGATCAGGGATTTTTTGTTCTCGATATACACATTGAATAATTGCTCCTGATGGAATACTTAAATCAGAAATGCACCATTTTGGTTTAAGATCAAGACCACGATAACTAAGAACAATTGAGATTTTTGATGTATCACTCCCATGAACTTTAAGACCAAATTTTCTTTTAGCAAATTCAATAACATTATGAACAAGGACATTTTTATCAACATCAATTAATGTTATTGCTTTTTTTGGTGGATGACTAATGTAATAACGCATTTTTTTCTCAGATGCTGATTGACTCTATCAATAGAAATATTTTTAAATGTAACTCAGTATAAAAAATATATTACGTGTAAGTCTGAAAATAATTCTCATAAAAACCTAATTTAATTTTCTTTTAGATATTGATCGGTAATAATTATACCTTATTTTTATTGCATGTGTTAACATAAGAGTTTTTATTTTTGCACGCATATAATTATTTGAAATGTGTTCAAATAATTAGAAAAAAAATATTCAATAACAGTAAATTATGACCGTTAAAATAGTTAAGAAAATAAACAATACATATTTAATCAGTTTATATTTTTAAATAATTCTGTTTTCGATTTAAATGCAGAGAGAGTCATTTTAAGTACCTTGTTTTTGTCGCTATGCACGCTAGACAGCTAAATTTAGAATATGAATGTACTGTGCAAAGTAGATATAATACTTTAAAAGAATATTGAATTAATTATACTAATTTATAAATCATTAAATACGTAACTGACACATTTTAACGGATGATAAAACTCAGTTCATATTATTTTAAATAAAAATAGAAATTTATTCTTACCTTCGCTGATGCATTAGTGGATCGCTTCTCCATTTTAGTTCCTTAAATTGCAGACAAATACCAATATATTATAAGTAGACAAGTATCAACAACAAAAAAAAAATATTCGTATGAATTACAAAAAATCTAACATAATATTTAATTCTTTTACTTTTTTTTCTACGATCTGATTTATTTTCTTTGGCACAAAAAACAAATTTCTCTCTCTCTTATAGAAACTACATTTCATGTATGAGTCGATAGACGTAATCGAATAAAGATAAACACGTCTCGTTCGTTGCATATAAATCTATATTTTGTTATTTTCATTTCGAGATTTTATAGAAAAAAAAATGGTACAGTTGTTGTTTTGATCAAAACACTAACTAATGCACGCACATGAAACTTACATACTTTAATATACCTATAGTAACGTCAACAACTTAATAGACGAATGTTTACGTTGAATTTTTAGAAAGTGAATTCAATAAGAAGCATTATATATGAATAACAAAAACAATTCGAAGAATCATCATCAACTGGAAACTACCAATATATTTTAATAATACGATTCTCTTAAATATGTAAAAAACGAGAATATCACTATGCTTGAAACTTCCTGTATTAATTATAATATAAGAAAAAAATTTTTTACATTAATCAATAACACGAGTTTTATAATTTAATTTAAAGCATCTGCACTCAATTATTCTATATTTTTTTCTATTATTCAATGAAACTAAAGTCGTCGAAACGCTAGTTAATTGTTTCAATCTGTATGTAAGTACTATTTGTATAGTATCAATCTAAACGAGAATGACTATAAAGTATTGTTATCTTTTTTTAATTTTAATAAAATTTACTAATAGTGAAATCTTTCCATTTTTTATTCATGCTGATCAAATATTTATTAAATGTTCGAATGGTAATATCGAATTATTTAACGGTACAACTGATAGTCTTCCTGCTTGTATACAAACAACACATATTGAACGATTCAATCTTTTTCAATTATATATTCAATGTCCTAATGAGCATTTACATCTAGAATATAATCGCTCAGTCACTTTGAATGCTCAAACTTCAGAATCTTCGATCTCCAGTTTTCAACCACATTGTTTCACCGATTATAGAGATGAATATATGAAACAAAATCAATTAATTCCTTATCGAACACGTTATACATCTAATAATGATACATTAACACAAATTATATCATTTCAATGTCAATATAGTATACATTCTAAATCCAATGAAGAATTTTATTTATTTTTTAAATTAATGAATTATGGTCTTTGTCGATATTCAATTCAATTTATGTATTTAAATGGAAAATGTAATAAATTTTATCAACAAATTTATAAAATACAAGCTCGAATTGAACATTCTATATGTTATTATCAATTAGGACTTAATCCATCCGAGATTTCTTTAGAATTTTTCGATCAATTAATCTATAGAAATATGTCATCTAATAAACAATCATTTTATTCAACAAAATCTGTCAATCATACTAATATTATTATTATTACAATATCGGTTACCACCATTTCTCTTATTTTATGTCTTGCTATATCTTTAGTTATATATCGATATGAATTATTTCGATCATCAACAATTTAAACTCCATTTTTTTCCTATAATTAATAGAAATAAATATTTTTTCTGTAATGAAATCTTCTTGTAAGATGATGCAATCTTTTAAAATTTTAATCATATTAATAAGACAAATATATATCTAAACATGCTATATAACTAAGTGCGGTGATTAGAACGATATTTTACCTGTCACTATTTAAAATATAATCGAAATTCGTTAATCAATATTAATATATTTTAGTAAAAGACTTAATGTAATAGATTTAATAACAATAAGTATTAAGATAGTTATTGAAAAACTCGTGACAGAAAGTTACATTCGATGAAATTGATTGTCTGCATTCCAATTCCAAATTGCTTTGTAAATACGAAATAGTACATAACCAAGAAGAAATCCACCAATAGGACCAACCGTATAGATCCATGCTTCGGATTTATATGTATGAGAAAACACAGCTGGACCTAACCATCGCCATGGATTTAATGCAGAACCATCTCGATCAGCACCAAGTAAAAATGATGAAAAGACAACAAGTCCTATTGGAAGAGCTGCTTCTTTCTGTGTATTATATGAAGTAGTAAAAAAAATAACGAATGAAAGTATTGTAGTGCAAATAAATTCAATAAGAAATCCACGCCAAACAGTTACACCTGGTGAAAGTGCTGGTGTACCTAATGTATTATCACTACCATACAACGCAAGAAGTAATGCACCTCCAATTAAAGCACCTATTGCTTGTGAAACAAGATAACCAATAATTTCAACTATTTTCATTTTACCATTGACAGCAAAAGCGATTGTTGCTCCCGCATTAAAATGACCACCAGAAACTGGTCCAAATACATAGACTAACCATACAGTAACAAGTGCATGTGCAAGAGATACAGTTAAAAGATCGTGTCCTTTTGCTGCACATCCTGCACCAAAAAATATGAATAGACAAGTACCTATTAATTCACATAATAGACGAACACGTAATGGTGCAGGTTGGACAAATTCATTTTCTGGACCACCAACTACGAGTTTTGGAAAATGATCAAGAGAACTTGTATCACCTGGATTTATTCTAATCGTACTTAAAGACATCTAGTCTAATAAACTAAAGAAAATAAAATAATTATATGATTTCTATTAAAAATAAATGAATACATATATAACCATCAAAATATTTTGTTAATGCTTACAAAACAAAATGTAATCTCTCGACTTTCTTTTTTTTTGTCAGAAGTAGTTTGTTTATTTGTTAACAAATAAATGACCTTTCTTTTTTTAGTTTAACAGGACTGTCTCTTCATAGTAATAATATTCAGATATCAAAATATTATATTTACTTCTAGATAAATAATAAAATTTAAATGTAACACCTTCGTTTTTTTTGCAACGTGTTATCGTTGTTCTGCTTAAGATATCCTTAGTGAATATATACATTCTAAGAGATATTATTTTGTTGTCTATAATTTTTTCAGTACAGAGATACACATTTTCGTGTGAATACAGACATACTTGAAATACATAGTTTATCATTTCATTCTTTGTAACATACAGTTGTATATAAATTTCAAATTATCAAAAGACGATACAAAATATATACTATGGCATATTATTCTCATAGTGAAAGATCTTTTTGAGAAAAAAATTAGTTTAAGATAAAAGAACTGTCAGTTTCGTAGTTAAATAAACAATCGACTTTCATATTTCAGTAAATTTAATTTCAAATCAAGTTAAAGAGCAAACAAAAATATATTATAATATCACTAAAGATTCGTTTGTTAGGTCGCATGTATTATTCTTTGTAAAATATCAATTTCAATCCGAAAACTTTAGTTTTAAATACTCTTTCTTTTTCATATTACAATATATTTGTATGCTCTTTTTACCATTTATCTCTTATCAAATAAAGCAATTTTTTTCCGTTCTTTGTCTATTGCATATAATCTTTATGTGTGCTTTTAAAAAGTACATTTGTCGATTGAAGATAAGTAAAATCATTACAGTATGTCATCGACAAGTATAGGCGTATTTGATATATATGACGATTCGTTTCTTCGTTTAATTTGTCCTACAGCTACTCTTCATCGATTACACACTGGTTTGACATGGGCTGAAGGTCCAGCATATTTTCCTGCTTTGCGTTTACTCATCTTCTCTGATGTACCAGAAAACCGTCTTTTACGCTATGACGAATGTAATGGTCAAACAAGTATTTTTCGCTCTCCATCTCAACATAGTAATGGTAATACCGTTGATCGTCAAGGTCGTTTAATAACATGTGAACATCAGACAAGACGTGTAACAAGAACTGAACATGATGGTACTATAACTATATTAGCCGATCGTGATAAGGATGGTAAACGTTTTAATAGTCCAAATGATATTGTAGTTAAATCAGATGGATCAGTCTGGTTTACAGATCCTACTTATGGTATTGATTCAGATTATGAAGGTGATAAAGGAGAAAGTGAAACTCAAGGAAATCTTGTTTATTGTTTAAAAAATGGTAAAGTACATGTGGTAGCACGAGATTTTGAACAACCAAATGGTTTAGCTTTCTCTCCTGATGAACGACGTTTATATATTGTTGATACTGGACGAACGCATCGACCAAAAGATGGACCAGCACATATTCGCGTTTTTAATGTTGGAGAAGATGGTATTACATTAACTGGTGGAGAGGTTTTTATTGAATGCTTGACTGGTTTATATGATGGATTCCGTTTTGACTCTACGGGAAATATTTGGACAAGTGCTGGTAATGGAGTATCTTGTTATGATGGAAATACTGGTACTTTACTTGGTAGAATTCGTGTACCAGAAATTGTAGCTAATGTATGTTTTGGTGGTGGTATAAAACGAAATATTCTTTATATTTGTGCTACTACTTCACTTTATTCTATTCGATTAGCCGTCAATGGATGTAAAACTTTTTAATAGGTTTTTTTTTTATATTATCAATTTACTATATTTTATTATTTATTGAATTAGTTTTGTAGTAAAGAAATTATAAAATAATAATATTAACTCTTTAATAATCTTTTTCAAATAGTAAAAACTCGATAATATAATTATCAATTTTTTTAATTAGTTACATAGAATCAGCAATTATCTGTTACATTAAATATATATTCGTATTTTTAACACAAAAATCACTCAATACACATTTATTTTTGTGAATAAAAATGGGCTTTAGCTTTTGTATTCGCTATAAAAAAAAGTAAATTCGATATAATTGTCGTTCTTTTCATTTACATATTGCCAGATTATTCATCCAAACGAGATCAAGATAAATATTTATCTTTAATATTTTTAGCTATGTGATACGTGATACAAATCTGACGAAAAATGTATTTTTCGTTATATATTTAAACGTAATAAGCATGTTATTGCTCAACCATTTACTATTATTAAGAAATACTTTGTTTTTCTCCTTGAAGAAGCGAATATACCTGGTGCTCTCAAAATGTAAAAGAAAAACATAATAATAAAAATAAAGAACTTGCATTTATAATGATCACCTAGAGTAGAAGCTCAAATATTATATTTACACCTGCAATGTCATGATTTCATTGCAAATGTAAAGCGAAAGGCATGTGAAGATACGAAAAAAAACACTTTATTAAAAAATGAGTAACAGAACGTATGTAATAGAATATTCCAATGCATTTAAAGATCACCTTAAAAGCGAACATCAATGGCGTGTTTTTATCATTCACTTATTTATGGGCTACTGGTAACGTAATGTATTTGCATACACAGTCATCGAATTCTATATTGTACATGTATGTTTTATATAGGTTTTTAAACGGACATCAACATTAATATGGAAATGGATTCCAATCGAGGTAATGAATTTGATTCAAGTATACTTTTATTTATTCGAATACGAACTTTCTATATAAATATTGAAATAATAAAGATAATTCAAATATTTCTCACAGATCATAAATTATTTTAATTTGCAAGATTTTAAGATTTATATATAAAACTGAAAATTATTGAAGTATCATCTTTTATTTAGACATCGATGTTGTTGATTTACTTGAAGAATGGGAGAAAGATGGAAATCAAAGTACGGAAAAACTAAATGGTAAATATTAATAATAATAAATTATATTTTATGTTTTGTTGATTTTCATAATTATTTGAGCAGTTCGTGATATTCGAAACAATAATAATTTGACATCTATACCTGATTATCCTGATAGCAGCCAGCTTAATGTCGTACCTAAGATAAGTTTACTATGTGACATGGCTTCAGAAAACAATTCCAATTCATCAAATTATTTACTTGGTAATAATAATCAGAGTCGTATGGTTACTACTACTAGCTTTCTTCATGGTATGAAATCATTTCCTTTTCGAAATTTTGATTAAGCTTTTAGTAATTCAAAGAGTTCCTGTTTTTGAAATATGTTTTTATTTTATTTTTAGCAAATCAGTATCAAGTACCACAGTTACGCGGTAATCAGCATTATCTATCTACACCAATACAATACAATACATTAAATCGAATACCAACGAAGGATGAAAAATCTTTTCGTGAAAATGAACGTCGTTTACTAGGAAGAAATGTTCCACGTTTCATGATTCTTCATAGTGATTGTAAGTTTCTATTATCTGTACATATACATTATTATAAAACTAAAATTTATCTAAATAGTCATCAGTTGTCGTATCAGTTGTATATTGCATATACTATTAAATGCACCAGTATTTCTTCGAATAATGAGTGTATTACAAAGTCGTCTTGAAACCAATCATTTTAATTTAAACTTAAATTCACATATACTACATGAACGAAACTTCTTTTATTCTTTATCAAGTATGGCAAAGGCAGCGTATGAAAAATACCAGAATGATAATACAGATATTTCTCTTGTAAATGAATTATGTTATAAACATGATGAATTATATTCACATATGAAACGATGCGTACAGCAAGATGGTAATGAATTTCTTACTTGTGTGATGCATACTTTACGTATAATTGCCAATCAAGTGAATGAAACAGAATCTTATTTAAAATCATTTGATATTAAATTTCTTGAAAGTGTTAATAATCATCAGTCAGAAATGAAATATTATGATTCCATTCATGTCTTTTCTAATAAATGTGATTTTCAACAATATATCAATGAACATTTCGTCGGTACTGTAATTGAACGCACTAATGAGCTTAGTATTACACGAACATTCGATCTATTACCTGAACAATTATTAATTATTGTTGAAAAACCACAAAATGGTCAATCTATCTATTATCCATATCCAACAGAATTTGAAACACGTCTTAATCAATGTTACTTGTTGACTGGTGCTATTATTCAACAAGCTGTATCTCTTAATTATGATCATTTTATTGCTGTAGTACGTCGACAAGACGTTATATATCTTCTTGATGGTTCTCAAATTATAGATCGGTTTCGTATCAACTGTCTTTCAGAATATTTTGAAAAGGTAATATTAAGTTTTAAAAGAAAGCTAATTATATATCTTAATAATTATGATGATCATATACAGGTGTCTCCACAAATTCTTTTATACAATGAAATCGATCAATCACACAGATCTATCTGCATCTTTGAAGATCCTTTATGTGGAAAACCTGTTAAAAAAGCATTTAATAATAACTCAGTTTCTTACGAAACAAAACCAGTAGCAATACCAATTCCGCCTAGTTTCTGTAAGTATAAAATTATATTTACAGTTTACAAGTAGTTTCAGTTCGTTTAGCTGTCACGCACGATATGAACACTCCAGTAATCATTCGACATCCAATTAAGAGTATCATTCGTTTTCGTATGCCTAGTGATTCTCGAAGAAAAAAAAGAGTTCATGCAGTATCTAAAGTAAAAGATTGTTCAGGTCAAGAACGGTTATATTTTTGGGTAAGTTACCTTTTAAATCGCTTTTGATATTTATGAACATCTTTTTCATTAGCCTCATTACAAGTTTGCCGGCTGCTATCTTGAATGTGCATGGGTATTCATAGCACCTGATGGAAAAATTTATCGAAGTCACTGTCAAACTGTTCGTAATGAAGGTTCGAAACAAAAATTGGAAAATCCGACTTACATCAACATGGATGAAATTAAGCCATCTGATGATCAATGGTTCTCGTACGAATATTATTTATATTTTACAATTCCATTAAGTTTTTTTTCTTTAATAGCCTTAATTTTGACATCATCAAACCAAAACTAGATGTATTAAAAGCAAAAAGAGAAAGAATCAATGAAACAAATGAATACAATCAATATGATGATACATGCCAACTTGTTCGTTATCCTGACGGTAAGTAAAATATTTTAGATTTGTATGATATTGTAGAAGTATACTTGTAGGTCAAGTAGAATATATTGATCAAGATAAATTATTACTACTCAGAACAACTGGGGAAAACAGCAAAAATAAGTCTTCGAAAAAAGCTACTAATAATTCTCAAGATGTAACTCCTGCTGAAGTATCTAAATGCTTCGGTATGAATACTTTACGTCTTGCTATTCGCCGAGTCCGTAAGGACCCTGTTACAGGGGAGTATGTGCCTGATTCAGATGTCTTATTTTATTCAAATCCTTTCAAACTAGGTTAGTTTTAAATGAAATATTTTAATATATTCATATTCATATTTATTATTCTTATCATATTTAAGTTTCTTCAACTTTCAAAGAAACTGATCGTGAATACAATTCAAATTTAGTACAAATTACAGAAATATCTCCATCACAAATTTCATTGCCCAGTGAAACTGATCAATGTACAATTAACTTATTATATACAGTAAGTGATTGTATATGTGATTTCGTCATTGTATTATTTTTATATTTAACAAGATTCCGGAAATGTATGAATGTACATCTCTTAAAGATAAGTATTTGAGAGCAACAATATTAGCTGGTACTGATGAAAAACCAGATTTATATCCTGATTATCAAATGATGGATAATCAAAATCGAGTAAATTACAAAACATTTTCTATTAAGGACTATTCTGATAAGTAAATATCGAAATTTTCCAATATTAGTACTTAAAAATAATTGTTCCTCTAATTATTTTGCAGAATAACAATGATTATTGTTAAACGTTCAATGACTGATTATTATGAAAACTCTAATTTGAATCAAACATCTGACGATTTACGCTTATTTCATAATAGTATGTATAATAATAATAATGAGATTATGTTTCAATAAAATAATATTTCTTATCTCATTATAAAGTGAGTCCAACGGTGACACAAAATAGTTCAACAACGATATCTGCTAATCCAAGTATGAATTGTTTTCGCATACAACTGGAATTGTGCCATTTATCAAATGAGGAATTAATTCCATATCCAAAATTAAAAGTTAAATCAAAAATAATAATTGATGGTAAGTACAATTTCGTTGAGAAGAATTAGTTTTAAATATAATAATATTTATAGAAATTGCTTCTGAAGAGGTACAAGTATTTATTCAATCAGCAGAGTTTGATGATATACAAACCAATGGTAAGATTTTTATATTTTTAGAAAGAATAGATATATTTATATAATTAAAATAGATATAGATGCATTATTCGAGAGTCCCAATGATGTTGTGTCTTCACATTTTAAACGTCAATTGTCCGAGGGAAATAATCCAACTATTGAGTAAGCTTTAATATTTAGTATTATTTAAATATAAAAATATATGTTTTTCTATCTTTAGCACATCAATGGCTACATATCAAAAACATTCACGTATTGACAGTCAAGCTCAAATCGATTTTCGTCAAACGAACTAACATTTTAATTTATGTATTTTAAATACAAAAAAATAGTTATTTTTTTGTAAATACTTTTTTAGAGTAGTTTCTTCAAGAAACTGATTACAATAAAAAATAATAGATAAATATTACAGTTGTTATCTTTTTTTTATATAATATAGATTTATAAAGTAATTCATACTTACTGTAAGACATCAGATCTATCCAGAATGATTTACTTGAAGATCAACTTTTCTTTTTAAAATAAAAAACAGAAGATCTAGATGTTTTCGTTACTGAGAAACAAAATAAAATATATCATTGTGTTATATGCAAGTAAGACTATATATTATTTTCACTTTGAATTCATTTAAAAATTTTGTTTAATTAGTACAATACAATATTATATTTCAGAAAAAGTAAATAAACTCAATATTGATGCAAATTTCAATTATTCTACCGTATCATCATCGCCATCATCATCGTTAGTTTCTTTTCAATATGCTCAGAAGACAATAAACAACAAAACACTGTTTTCACATGACAAACACACGCATTATATACATTAACGTTCAAGGACGAGAGAGAAAGAGATATAGAGTTAGAAAAAAAAACACAATTGTCATAATCAATTATTCATTAGAAAGTAGCAAAGAAAATCGAAATAGAGAAAAAAGAAAACGAACAAGAAATTGAGCACAATATATAAAAGTGCAAAAAGAAAAAGTCTTTTTTTTATAATATAATATTTCTATTTTATTATTTTCTTTTCTAATAAATATGTCATTCAAGAGAACACGAAATAAATAAACAATTTATTAATAATAATATGAAAAAAAGAACGAAAAAATATATATATACATATTCATCATTTTATCTGACCAAATTCGTTACTATATATCTGCTTGATTATCTAGTGTTGTTGAGATGCAGATGTAGTCGAGGTTGGTGGTGCTGTTGGATAATTATATGATGGTGTTCCATTACTATTATATGAAATTGTATTCATACCATTCGTTGCATAAAATGATTGATGTTCTGACGAAGTATTGTAAACTGAATCGGTAGAAGGATAAACTGACGATGAAGGTGCGGGATAATAAGGCAAATAATCCATTGATGTTGGTGATGGATAATAATATGGTTGCATACCATATGCTGGTGCTGGTGGATATGGATATACATATGATGGATTATTAAAATTATAAGTCATATTAGTTGAAGTATTAAAATTATTTATTGTTATGCTTTGCTGTTGTGGTTGTGGTAGTTGTTGTTTACTTCTTGCTGAATAATTATAATGATTTGATTGTGAAATGACCATTGATGTTGGTGATGTTAAACTTGGTGGTGCTTCATCAGAACTTGCTTCAATTGGTTTGATTGTTGTTTCAAATTGATTTATTGGTGAAGCTGAATCTTGTTCGTCTTCTTCGACTTCTTGATTATTATTATTAATTGTATCGATTGTATCTGTTTTCAATTGAGATTCGATACACGCAATTTTTCTTTCGTCATCAGTACCATTGATAGATGGTGAAGTCGATCGAAATGGATTGGCAAGAATATCTGATAGTGACGAAGGTGTTTCAGATGCATTTGTTGTTGCTACACTTATTTCATGATTTAAAATTGGTTGATCAAGTTTAGTCTAAATTAAATTATTTAGAATATGATGTTATTGATAGTAGAAGACAAAATACTAACCTTAGATGGTGAAATTGTATCATCGATTGAAGATTGAACATCTGATGTGGGTAAGGCTTGTTTTCTTTCTGATGATGGTTGATCCATATTCAGTATTGACGATGAAAAAGAAGCTTCTGTTGTCGTTGAACCATCATGAGATGATCCATTTGAAAGACCTTCATCACTTACTTCTCTGACTAACAGTTTTGGTTGATTAACTAGAATTAAATAATACAATTAGATTTATCAAATTCTATATAAAATAAGAATCATGTTATCATTATCAATGACTTTTTAGTCGGAAGGAAACCGTTAGAACCCACAAAATTAATAATTACTATACAAATATGAGCTTCTGTGTTTTATCTACTAACTAATATAGCTGATCTTATCATCATTAATCTCGGATCAATAGCAAAATACTTATTAAGGACTATTTATTGTTAACTTTTTCTTTTGAAACAAAAAGAAAATAAGTTTATTCAATAAATAATATTAATAGATGAACTGATCCAAATATAACTAATAATCTATTTGAAATTTTTCAAAAAAAAACTATTCTACAGCAATTTTTACTTTTATATTTCATATAGAAATATTTTCAGACTGAAAGAGAATGAAATTATTTTATCAATTAAGAAATTCTTTAATATTTACGATCAGATTGATTTGAAGTTTCTGATGAGGTTGTATTTTCATTTTTAATAAGATCAGTTTCAGATGTTGAATGTAAACGAGTATTTCGTGTTATTCTTCTTGTTTGTAAATGAATATCATCATTATCATCATCATTTTTAGTCTCTAAATCTGATGGTAATACATGATTTGATTCAGATTTTACATCATTAAATGAATCTATGGTTGGCGGTTGAACAACTTTAAGAAATTGATCAAGTTTTAATTGTTTCAGTGTTGTTTGTTTGATCGGAATTTTCGGTGGAGATATTACTGGATCAATATTTTTATTTTCTTCTTCTTGTTCTTCTATTTCTTCTTTAATCGATTCATTTATTATTGGTTTTGGTCGGCGTGGTTTATATTCTTGAGAATGTTCATCATCACCACCATTTGTTATTACATCCATTGCACAACTATCATTATGAGTTATCATCGAATCATTTTTCGTCGATTTTTTACTAACTGGTGTTCGACGTTTGACAATAAGTGAACGACGTTTATGTCCAAATTTTCGTCTTCGAATGTAACGAACACCTTCATTAAGATTTGAACCATCAGCTAATTCAGTTGATAATGATGCAGCTCTATAAAATCAAAATACTAAAAACCAAAAAATCTCTAAAAAGAAAAACTAACTCAGCTGCTTCACGACCAATTTCTTTAAAAACAATTTGTATTTCTTTGACTTGTTTTTCTACAGCTTTTTCTTCATTTGTTAATAAAAGATGTGTAAGTACAGGTGTAAAACGAAGATATTCACTATCCACTGAAACCCAATGTGCATGTCTTATTTTTTCAGTTTTTATCATTGTTTCTAATTGTGTTACATCGACAGTAATAGCTGGTCTAATAAAATAAAACAAAACAATTTTTTCTTCATTGGAATAATTTGTAAACTTACTTTTTATTTGATTTCATTGTTAAAACACCTAAATTTTGTAATGTATCAATAATATCATCAACAGCCATTCCTGTTTCATTCATAATTGTTTTTAATAAACATTTCGTATTATTTTCATTATAATAAATAAGTAATTGTTCAATAATTTTTATTTTCCAATATGCTTCATATGTTTGAGCACCAAGTGTTGATAATGGTCTTTCAGGTGTTCCAAATTGTCCTTCTTTTTGTGAAATTAAATAACTTAATTCAATTAAAAAACGTCCATAACCACGACGTTGACAATTAGGTAAAACAGTTATACATGATAGATTATATTTTTGTGGACAATGTTTTTCTTTGGAAAAATATCCAACAAAATGACAACCATAAGCATCATTTTTAGTTAAAACATAGAATAAAAATGGTTCAACATCATAATAAAGTGTTTTATGATCAAGAAATGATTTTGCAAGTAGACATAAATTTTGACAATAATATCGATTGATATTTCCATCAACTTCAAATACAGATAGATCATCTTTATGATAAATTTCATTTGCTGGAGGATGAAAAGCTGTACATGTTTTCTATTATAAAAAAATAATAATAAATAAAGTAATATAAAGAGAAAAAGAAAACTTACACGATGTCGATCGTATACTTGTTCACATTTCATATATTTTAGACAAAATTCACATATATACAAACGTGGTACACGTGCATATTCCTGTGGATATGATGATGAATACCAAGTTTTTAATAAATCTGAACCAAAGACAATATAAGGTGGCCAACGTGTATTTGTTGCATTATCATCAATACATTCACTTGAATGATGAAATTTCTCAGAACACTTTATAACGGAAAAAAAGTTTTATAATTATAATTAAAGAAATAATATAGACTTACATCTGTTATGAGTTTTGCGGAATTTGCACGGGATTCAAGAAATAAATATACATCATGTTCGGTAATATTTTCCGGAAGAGGATCATTGAGAAATCCTGGAGGATTTTTATATTCTAAATTATAAATAAAAATATTATGTAGAGAAAAGTATCCGCAGGGTCAAAGAAACATTTTTAGAGGTATTTTGATGCGGAGACTTTAAATCTGCTTCTTATTCACTCAGACTACTGAAGGGGTGTGATAGAAACCAAGGTTTTGGGTAATGCATTTTTATGGGTATCCAGATGTTCTCCTGCTTGTAGTGCAGAGTGTGGTGATTATAAACTACTGGCTTTCATGCGTATAAGATTATTAACAGTTCACTTATTCGTTAAAGGCTAGTTCGACAAGCTACTGGTGCTTACTGCTCAAATATGTTTTGATCTTGTTAACCTCTGAGTAGGATGCGAGTAAGTCTAAGAGTAAGGTTTTTCCAGTAAATGTGAAAAGGATGTATTTCTACGAGAAAGAGCTAAGCGAGTCTGCAGACGAGTGTAACTTGTATATATACGATCAGAAAATCACAAGAGAGAAGATAATATGCAATATATTTGATTAACTTACTAGATAAATTTAAAGTAATTTTATGTTTATCATTATCTAATAGTTCATCTTCCGTTTGACTTTCTTTTCGTTTTTTATTTTTTAAAGTCGATGAATCTTTTCTTATTCGTTTATTGATAGTTGATGATGTTGTTGAAATAGGTGACATAGAATTAGTTGAATGTGTTCGTTTTGTAATAGATCGAGATGAATTTGTTTTATTTAATTCTTCAATTGAATGATTATCTGATCGACGACTGACTCGATGAGGTGGAGTTATAGGTTCAATAGTTAACAATTTTTTATTTGATAATTGACGTGTTAATAAAGGAGTACTTGTTTGAGGACTAAATCATAAAAAATTAATTTACTTTACAAAATAAAAGATTATTTTATACCTAGAAGATAAATTTTCATTAGAAAATTTTCTTTTTATTCGTTGTGTTTTTGTTAGTAAATCATCTTTATTTTCTTTACTTGATTTAACATCTAATATAGGTGAATGAAGTCTTTTAAGTAATTTTTTCTTTGATGATGTTAGAGTTTTTTTATCACGTAAATATTTCATTGCTTTTTGTACAGATTGTTGTCGTATATGATTTTTTTTGTGATTAGTTGGTAAAAAGAAATTTGATACATTATCATTATGTTGAGCAATAATTGGTGAGGTATTATCATTATTTGAATGATTATTTCTAAGTGAACGTGTTGGTGATAACGATAAAGATTTTTTTGGTGATAACTCGATTTCATCATGACAAAGATGACAAGCAAAATCACCTTTAGGAATTGTATTTAATGGTGGATTACAACATTTTGGATGTATACCAGAATCACAAAAATCACAGAATAATAACTGAAAAAAATATTTAGTTATTAAAAAATAAAATAAATAGATTAGAATTCATACTGAATCATCACTTTTATTGCAAATAATACATCGTTTACAATCGATACATTGCCAACGAATAGTTCGAATTTTTTCAACTAATTTTTCTGAATATTGTAAACATGATGGATGTCCTAGAATAAAATAAATTTCGTTTTCTATTGAGAGAAAAAGAAATAATTTCTACCGGAATTGCCACATTCTGCACAATGTATCATTTCTTCTGGAATACCATTTGCATTTTTAAGATTATCACCCAAACAAAAACCACATATACCAATTGGTTTAGCAATTTTCTAAAGATTTTAAATTAAAAAACTTGGTTAAAGAATGAAATTTATTTTACTTTTTTATCATGACTTGTTGATGATACTCGTCTTTGTTTTGTAGTTGTTGATGTGTTTGTTGCATTTGTTGACGATGATGAACATCGATCACGTGCTCCTTTAGCTACCATTGAATAATTTTTCTATCAAGTCATCTAGGAAAAAACTATTTAATAAAATAGAAAGTTAGCGAACAAAAGTTAACATAGTCGGTCAAAGTTATAGTTGACAAACAGAAAAGAATGATGAGAGAAAAGAATGACTCATTAAAACCGCAAAAATAATAAACACACTTATGCACTTGAAATAATCATAAGAATAAAAAACAAAATTTTTTAGACTATTTATAAGATTTTCTTTCAAAAATAGAATTATTATTTATTTTTTATTCGAAAATAAAACGTCTGTAGTGGAAAAAAACATGTAAAATCAAATATCGAACCACTAGCGACATCCCTTGTTATTATAGATTGGCTGAATATAATAGAAATGAAAATGATTAAATTTACGCTTATGATGATAAATGATTATTAAATTCAATATGAATATTAGTTTTTTATTAAATCTTGATCACCATCATCCTCTCTACTCAATTAATGAAATAAAAGTCTTATAATTTAAACAATACTCTTTAAAATTGGGATCAGCATTTATTGAATGATGGAATTAAAATATTCTTGTGCATCCAAATGAAAAACTCTTTATTTTTTATTATCCATATGTGTTGACAGGGATGGCGCGACCAGGGGGGGTGTAACGCCCCCTCCCCCAATCTTCGCAAATTTCTATTTTTTGCTCAACAAAATCGGCGAATCTTAAGTTTTTTACCAAAGATAATGCTACACCCCCCCTCCTCCCCAGTGCTGGCTGACTCGCGCCACCTCTGAGTATTGATAGAAACTAAAGAGATAACATAATTTTTGTTGCCGAGCAGAAACGCCAAAGAATATATAATAACAAAATCTGAATTGAATACAACCATTTTAATTTTCTTTTTTACTTGATAAAATTCCGAGACAGGAAAATTTAAATATTTTCATTATTGATCGTATCAAATAAATATATTTATTTTCTTTCTACATTTATCATAAAAATTTTCAGTAGAATCTCATTAAAATCTATCAATCGATTTATTTTATAAAAAAATATGACTCATTCTTTTCGACCATATATAATAAATAATTGCCTCTACGCCTTATCAATTCATTAATGCATTTAAATAATTTAAATTTTGAAATAAAATCAATTTTTGAAATTAAAATCTTTAAATATTCTTCAATTTCATTTGATTGTATTATTTATTTTGTATATTAATATATGAAACTAACATATCTCGTTCTATCCAATGAAATCATTGTTTGTTTATTACTCTGATCCACTGAAAAAAAAAGAAACTGGGTATTCTATTCTCTCGTTAACATTTCCATTTTGAGAAGTTCTTTTAAACAAATATTCTAATGGAGTTTTCTTTATCAATTTTAGACAAAACACAACAAAAATCATCTAATTGATCATGCCTTACGAACGATTAGTTCAAGTTGGCCGTGTGGCTTATATTGCCTATGGTCCTGAAAAAGGCAAAACATGTTGTATTACAAATATTATCGATCAGACACGTGTTCTTGTTGATGGTCCATCATCCCATTTACGTCGTCAAGCATTGAATATTAAATCATTACATTTAACTAAATATGTTCTCAAGCTTTTACCTGGAGCTCGTACAAAAACAGTTAAAGCACTTTGGGATAAACATGATATCAACAAGAAATGGCAAGAATCACGTTGGTACAAAAAATTACATGCAAAACATTTACGTGCCACCATGACCGATTTTGATCGTTTTAAATTAGTACATGCTAAACAAGCCTACAATCGTATTGTTAATCATGAATACAATCGTTTGAAAAAGAAAAGTAAAACTGCATTAGCTAAGAAAACACAAAAAGCTAAACCAAGAAAATTTGTTGCTAAATCACAACGTATTGCAAACAAATTCAAAATCTTTGCTGCTGCACCAGCCGCTGCAAAAAAGAAATAAACAACAAATTGAATAAAATCTAAACGCAAACAACAAGCATCATTTGTTTCCGTTATATTTTGTCTTTTCTTTGCTTGTATGTTATTAAAAAAAGAAGAAGAATAAACAAATAAAGAAAAAAAAAAACCATTCAACAAATATGATTTTTGTTTTATTATCGTTTTGATTGATTCTAGATAGCATTGTTCATTTTTGTATAATAAGAGCGTCTCTTGAATATGGGTGATTCAGAATCATGGGATGAAGGAGATGCATCGAAAGCATCTGAGCAAGTTAGTTTCTTTTTTCATACGAGAGAAAATAATCTATTGAAATATGATCTATATGTAGCAATCAACAGTAGTAACAACAACAACAGCGACAGCTCGTTTAGGACTTGGACGTGGAAAGGCACCACCTACGTCAAATAATGATGGTAACAATGACTTGTCTTCTTATCTCTATAGTGATGTATTTATTTCAGAACCACCAGCACCATCTTCAAACTGGAATAGCAATCGTAGTGGTGCGTCTGAAGGTTTTAGTAGTTTTCGTAGTAGTCACAATGATGAAAACAGTAATCCAATGAATGGTGGTGGTGGATTTGGTTCACGAGGTAGCCGCGGTGGTGGTTTTGGCTCACGAAATAATGATAGTGGAGGTGGTGGTTTTAGTGGTAACTATTGTCAGTTTGATATCTACAGTTAAAACGTAAGATTTTCTATTCAGGCCGAGGTGGACGTGGTGGATTCGGCGGCGGCGGTGGCGGAGGAGGATTTGGTTCAAACAATAACGGCGATTCTCGAGGTAAATATAGTTCACATATCCCAGATAATATAAAAGAGATTTATCAAACATTAGTTTACATTTTTTTCCCTATTTTAAAGGATGCTTTAATTGTGGTCAAAGTGGCCATATGAGTCGAGAGTGTCCGGAACCACGAAAAGAAAATCGTGGTGGCGGTGGTGGTGGTCGTGGCGGCGGCTTTAGTTCAGGTGGCAGTCGTGGTGGATTTCATTCCGGTGGTGGTGGTGATCGTAATATTAATTTCTCGTCAGGATCGAATGGTGGATCTGAATCTATGTCTATCACAGTTGGTAATTCAAGAAATCAAAATAACAATGATCAATATGATAACAATGATTCAAAACCATCATTTGGTAATTGGCGAAAGTCTGCAACAAATAATAGTAATGATTCTGAAGATGTCAATAATCGCTCAACATTCGGTAACTCAGAAAGTCGTGGTGGCTTCAATAGTGGAGGAGGAGGAGGCTTTCGAGGTAAATAATATTTTTTATTTTTAATAGAAATAAAAGTTATTTATTATAGGCGGTCGAGGCGGTGGTGGTGGTGGATTTAGTTCAGGTGATCGTGGTGGTCGTGGCGGTGATGGCGGTGGTGGTGGTGGTAATAGTGGAAGTAAGTGTTGATTTTATTTTAATTCCATTGCTTAATATAATCTTCTTTTTCATTCAGAATGTTACAATTGGTATGTTTGTCTTGAAAATGTATTTTCATCTTTATTGATTGATTTATTCTAAATAGTGATCAATTCGGTCATCAATCTCGTGATTGTCCCGAAGAAAAAAAACCTCGTGGTATTATTGTTTTCTTTCATCTCCATTTTTATTTTTATAATATCATTTAGAAGGTGGCAGTTCTAGCTTCTTTAGTGCCGGTGGTGGTGGTGGTGGTGGTGGTCGAAGAAATGATCGAGTAAGTTCTTATTCAGTATAAAATCCTCAAAAGATATATATCCATTTAATTAGGTGTCTGATGATATTTTCGATCAAGGTAAGTCTATATATATATATATACAAGTTAGAATAATAAATTTAATAATTTCTATTAGCGGGTGGTCGTGCTAATGGTCAACCTATGGAGCGTTATATTCCACCGCCTGCACCAACATCAGAAGATGATATTTTTGGTGAAGCAGTAGCAAAAGGTGAAAATTTTGGAAAATATCATCGAACACAAGTACAATGTACACCTGAAGGTAACTAATCATTCATTCTTTAACTTTAATAAATAACAATAGTAACAATTGTATTTTTATCAAGGCAAATTCAAACCAATAGAATTATATGAAGAAGCTAATCTTAGTACACAAATATTATCTAATATTCGTCGTGCTCATTTTGAAGAACCAACACCTATTCAACGTTATACTATACCATGTATACAACAACGAGATGACATTATGGCCTGTGCTCAAACTGGATCTGGTAAAACAGTATGTTTTAATTCTAATTGTTTTTATCTATAAAATAAATTAATTATAAATTGAAATAATTATTTTAGGCTGCTTTTCTTTTACCAATTATTTCCAATTTACTTGAATGTCATTCGGATGAATTAATGGAAAAAGCTCATCCACCAGCACCTCTCTGCCTTATTCTTTCACCTACACGTGAACTTGCTCTACAAACTGAACGTGAAGCGAGAAAATTTTCATATCAAACTGCTGTGATACCTTGTATGTTCTATCATAACTAAACGAATTTTCGCTAATAAATTCTTTATTTAATAGGTTCTGCTGTTGGTGGTCATGATATGTATACTGTTTCTGATCGTCTTAAAGAAGGTTGTCATATCTTATCAGCTACAACTGGCCGTCTTAAAGACATGGTCGAAAAAGGACGAGTAAGTTTAAATTTCTATTTTTTCTAAATATCAATTTCTTCATTATATTTACTTCAGGTTTCATTGAAACAAGTCAAATATTTTGTCCTTGATGAAGCTGATCGGTAAAGAATTTTAAGAAAAACTTGTCTCTTCTAATTTCTTTTCTTTTTCTATTTTAAAGAATGTTAGATACAGGCTTTGAACCTGATATTCGTAAGCTAGAAGAACTTGGCTTACCAGCAAAAGACGAACGTTGTACATCTATGTTTTCTGCAACATTTCCTGATGAAGTACAAAAATTAGCTAAATACTTTCTACGTGATAATTATATATTTCTTGCTGTTGGTACATTGGGTGGTGCTAATGAAGATATAGCACAAACAATCGAAGAAGTTCGACAAGGCGATAAAAAAGATCGTCTTCTTCAATTACTTGAACAAAATCTCAGTATATAATACACAAAATTATATTAAAATACATATTTATTTTTTTGTTTTTGACATTTTCAGAAGATGAACGTTGTTTAATATTTGTTGAAACAAAACGACAAGCTGATTATATAGGTGCATTACTTTCACAAAAGAAATTAATGAGTACAACTATGCATGGTGATCGAACACAAAGACAACGTACTGAAGCTGTACAACAGTTTACTAATGGAAAATGTCCTATTCTTGTTGCAACATCAGTTGCTGCTCGTGGTTTAGATTTTCCTTTAATTGGTTATGTTGTTAATTATGATTTACCTGATTCAAGTGATTTTTATATTCATCGAATTGGTCGAACAGGTCTGAATTAATTCGAAACAAAAAAAATATATGACAAAAAAACTTTTGTTTTAGGTCGAGCTGGTCATTTAGGTAAATCAATATCATTTTTTGATCCAGAACGTGATTCTGATCGCAGAATTGCTCCTGAACTTATATTAAAATTAGTTGAAGTATGAAAAAAACTTTTTTAAATAATTTTAACTTAATTATTTTCGTAGGCTGGACAAGAAGTACCAGAATTTCTTCAACAATATTCTGAATCAAATAGTGGTTTTAGTCGTGGTGGTTATAGCGGTCGAAATACTGATGTAAAATTAATGATATGATTTTTTTATAATTAACGAAATCTTTTCTTTTGTAGATGCGATCGGGAGGAAATAGTTTTGGTAATCGAAATCAAGCAGCTAATGTGAGTGGTGGAACAGCTACTGCTGGTTCAGCTGCAGTTGAAGAATGGGATTAAGAAGACATGTTGCTATATAAATATTATATCAAGTTTTTGTGATTTCAATACCAAACCTTTCGATCAAATACAGAAAAAAAAATAAACATTTTCAGAGTGAACAGTTGATTTGTTTGTTTGTAAATTAATTGTCTTTTGTTTCTTTCTCTTTTATACTAACTTACAGATAACTGTGTAATTCTCATCAGAACTACTCACGCTTTATACATCGTTAAGAAGAAAATAAGTTTAAGTTCTTTTCTTTGTTTTTTTGTTGATATCACACTTTTTTCTTTTCGATGTTTTTTCTTTCAACTTATGTATAAAAAAAAAAACAAGGATCAACATGATGATAATCAAGAAGAAAAAAAAGCTAGTATGAATGTGGATTTCAAATCAGATATTTGTTATGTTTTGTTTTGTTTTTCCTTGTTAATCATCAGTGTAAGTGTGTACGTTACTATTCAAGAAGCACGAGACTGTGGTATATTTCAAGATTTTGTTTTTCTTTTTGCAAAATAAAACGCATAAAGATAGTAGGAATTTTAAGTTCTCATCTCTTTTTATTCCGATGTTATGTAGCATTGATGGGATATACACACATACATATTCATTTAATTATAAATTCAAAGAAAGAATCTCTTTCAATAACATGACAATTGAAAGTCTTCTATTTTTCCTATTTCATAAATACCGGATTTCTTATTCGTATTACCGTGTGACTATTGATTAATATAGTTGTTATTTAAACAAAAAAGTTTGACTATACTGTTAAAGAGTTTGACTCTTCAATACGTATGTGTTGATTGTTTTACACAAATGAATACAATAATTATCAATTAGTGTTTCTCGTTCAACATACGAACGCGTTAAATAATCACATTTCTCATCGGATGTCAATTTGATTGGTATACGAAAGTGAAGTAGAGAAAGAAAAGATATGAGTATATATAAATATGTATGAATTCGAGAGAGAAAAAAATATAATCAGTCATTTATTTAAAAAGAAAAACAATTAAATATGACATCTTCATTTGATGGAAATGCTTCAGCTTATTGGTCGTATTCACCATATTCTTATTGTAATAGTTATGATACATCATCATCAAATTCATCCTATTTTGAATCACCGATATCTTCATCGTCACCACGCATGATTATGTTTCCAGTTTATGATCAACAACAATCTTGTTGCTATTATACAGAACCAACTATTCCTTATAATCAATTTGCACCACCATCACCACCAATTATACCACCATCTCAAGTAAGAAAAACTTCACAAAAAAAATATCTATAGAAATTTTCTTATATTTTTTAGATTACTTATGCTCCATCACCTCCAGTAGCGCGTCCATCAACTAATCTTCCAAATCGTTTACAATATACACTTCGTCAACGTTGGTTACTTAATGAAATATTTGAATATGTACCTTATCCTAATAGTGTTCAAAAGAATGTTATTGCCGATCGAATTGGAGCTACACGTGAACAAATTCGTATGTTTTTTTTGATATAATTATTAAATTCATTAATAAAATAACTTTCTATTCTATAGGTATTTGGTTTCAAAATCGTCGACGAATAGCTGTACAAAGTCACCGTTCATCATCTCAACGTTCGAATCCATTACCTATTGATCATAGTCATACAATTCAATTGGAATTAGAAAATATTGTAAAAGATCTTGATTTACATAAAAATGCTCCACAACGAATGCCCATTGGACAAGGTACATCGTCTCGACGTGTTCGATCAGTGAAAAAATAAATTTTTGTTTCTTTTTTTTTTCTATATTTCATTAAAATAAAGCTAATAACAATTATGTCAATAATAATAATAATTCTTTATCTGCACTATTATTAAATCAACCTTTTCATATGTTGAGTTTTCTTTTTGCTAATATTAATATATCATAGTTCTTTGAACGTGCTTGTTTCACTAAACATTTTGTTCTCTTCCGGTTGATTTATCAATAAAACGATCAACAAAACTCTACAGATGCACACGCGCATACAGACACGTAAGACAAGGTCTAAAATAGTTCTTATAACGGAAAAGAGAGAAAAAAAAAGGACGAGAACGAGAGGAATTTTGTAAGACCTTCATTGACTCGTTTTGAGCGTTTACAGACAGTCAACGGTAGTGATTAACATCTTTATTTCTCTCTTTTGTTTTACTTTTCTAACCTCTACTTGTCTGACAGATCAAATGAGTCGAGGAAACGATAGATAGAGAGAACAGAAGAAGAAAAAAAAAGAAGAAGAAGATTTTTGACGGATGATAAGAGCCAGATTAAATATAAACGAGAGAAATCAAATATGAAAAATTTGTGATAGGTAAAATCGCAGAAACACTTTTACAAATGGCAGCGTCATCAACAATTGAACACGACAAGGTGAATAAATATTTTGTTTTATCTGGATATATATATTCTATATGTTTTATTAGTTACCTAATCCAAATCTCGATTGGATATTACTTGATAAAATTGGTGAAGGTACTTATGGACAAGTTTATCGAATTAAATCTAAAGAATCAAATGAAAATACAGCAGCAGCAAAAATTATTCGTATTGAAAATGATGAAGTTTCGAGTGAACTCGAAAATGAATTGAATATTTTAAGAAAGATTTCTAAACAAGATGAGAATTTACCTGATTTTATTGGTATATTTGGTGATTATGATTCATCAAAATCAGCACGTATATGGTTTATTATGGAACTTTGTCATTTGGGTCCAATTACACGTTTAATAAAACAAATTGAAAAGAAAACTCAATTAAATAAATTTGATAAAGAAAAATTAATTGCTTATTCATTACGAAGTACTCTAAAAGCATTGAAATATCTTCATCAATCAGGTATTATGCATCGTGGTAAGTCTGAATATTTTTTATTTCAAAAATTTTATTTATTTTTTGTATTTTAAAGATGTTAAAGGTAGTCATATATTAGTAACAGAACATTATACAATAAAATTAATTGATTTTGGTGTTGCTGCTGTATTTAATACAGAACGTCCAAAACGTAATTCAAGTGTTGGTACTTCATTATGGATGGCTCCTGTAAGTTACGATCTGTTTAAATATTTATATATGTATTCTTTCAATTATAGGAAGTTATTGCATGTGCACATCAACTTGATTATGTATTTGATGAAAGATGTGATATATGGTCACTCGGTATAACATCTATTGAATTGGCTGATGGTGAAGCACCATTAGCTAATCTTCATCCAACAAAAGTTTTATTTGAAGTTCCACGTCGTCCACCACCAACAGTCAATGATGTCACACAATGGTCAGAGAAATTTTCCAAGTTTATTTCAGCTTGTTTAATTAAAGATTATGAACATCGACCAAGTGCTGAACAATTATTAACAGATAATATATTTGTTAGTTTTAATGATGAAATATCGAATTCATATAAAGATTTATTAAAAATGTATCATCAGAAAATTTCATTTTTAAATACTACAGATAAAACAATTGAAAATGAACGATCAACAGTAATCAATGATGATAATGATATTATGAATAACAATTCTTGGATTGCAAATATAAGTAAACCAGCACATTTAATTGATCCGGAAAATAATCTAGCTGAAATGACTTATCTTGATCAACAACATTTAATTGATTCCATACGAAGACGTTTTAATAAAATATTAATTTATACATATATCGGTGATGTTTTATTAGCTATTAATCCTAAACAATTTTTACCAATTGATAATCTGAATTTTCAAATAAAATATCTTAAAATTCGACAAGATTTATTACCACATATTTTTGCTATAGCTACGAAAGTTTACAATCAAATGATGATTAATCGACAACCACAATGTATTATTCTCTCAGGAGAATCTGGTTCAGGTTAAATATCTCATTTGCTTACAAAATAGAATAAAATCTATATTATTATTCTTCTAGGTAAAACTCATGCAGCACAAAATTTAATTAGCGAATTAGCTCTACTTGGTTTTGGTGAACAACGTGCATTAGAAAATCGTCTTGTTACAATGAATTTATTACTTGAATCATTTGGTAATGCACAGACAGTATTAAATAATAATTCTTCACGTTTTGGTAAACTTCTTGATATATTCTTTTCGGAATATGGTACAATTGTTTATGTCCAATTATCCGAATTTCTTCTTGAAAAAACTCGTGTTGTACTTGCAAGTGGTAATAAAAAAAATTTTCATATATTTTATTCAATTTATTCACATTTTTCACAAAAACAAAGCAATCCATGTCATTTAACTGATCAAGAATCATTTGATTTATTTCAAACAATTAAATATTATACATATCTTGGAAATAATTCCGATGAACATATATCATTAATGAATTTATTTGAAATTTTAAAAGAATTAAATGTTACGGATAATGAACAATCATCAATATTAGCTATTTTAACATCGATTATACATTTAGGTAATGTTTCATTTCAAGCTGAAACTGAAATCAATGAACCTGGTTGTTCAATTGATCAACAATGTATTTTACATGCAAATGCAGTTTATCGTTTATTAAAAATTGATAATGAACAATTTATTCAATCATTATGTCAATCAAGTTTAATGACACGCGGTGAAACAGTTACGAAATTAAATACAATTGCTGAAGCACAACAAGCACGTGATGCGATGGCAAAATCTCTTTATTCACGTTTATTTGATTGGATTATATTTGCATTAAATCGTTATTTTCGTACTGAACTTGAATATCAACCCAAATCAATAATTGATATTTGTAAACGATATGAAAAAGATACATTTAATAATAGATTTTCTATTCGACCTAAGACAAGTGAAGAATTAAATAAAATAAAACGTGATAATGATCTATGTTCAATATCAATACTTGATTTATTTGGTTTTGAAACATTTGATTATAATTCATATGAACAATTATGTATTAATATTGCTAATGAACAATTACAATATTTCTTTCGACAACATACATTTGCTTGGGAATTGAAAGAATATGAAAATGAAGGAATTCAACAAACAAGTTCGTGAGAAAATTATTTTGTTTTTAAGTTAGAATTTCACAGAAAAAATACATAGCGATGAGGTAAATAATATATGGCATGATAGCCAAGATACCGTGAAGTAGCTTGATTAAACTCTGTAAGTCTCGGGTGTCTCCGCCGGAACTGAAAAGGTTAAAGATTGGGGACGTGACCATTGATAATATTTATATAAAAAAAACAATTAGTACTCAAGTGCTCATGCGTCATTATAATTTCTCATTAGTTTTGTTTTTACTAATAGTATCCGGGATACTTGGGACAATTGTATTGTGTATGAAGAGTAGAATTTCGATTGTTGCTTATGACATATGAGTGGCATTTGACGTGAACTTGCTATTTTGATCAGAGGTACTGGATGGTAGTAAACATATGCATATAAGATTATTGAGAACAATTCCATCACAACTGTAAGAAAATAAACATGTTTGTACAGACTTGCTATTTTATTAAGATATACATAGGAATGATGCAAATCTTACGTTATCCGGTTTTTGACCATTTTGACCCCTTCCCTCCCCCAAATAATCAAATGTCAACTTTCTGAAATCTCTCTCTACCCTGATTATATTATCACTACGAATTTGTTCATGATAGACAAATCTGTAAACATCATCCTTGAGCGACCCCTCCCCTCCCTACAATACTCAATTGTCATTATTGACTGACCCCTCCTACCCTAAACTTGCTAAAGTAATACTTGCATCGCCCCATACGTCAAATTAGATTAATTGAACTACGTATCTATATTTATTCTATAATTTTAGTTAATTCAAATAATTTTGATTTTCCAAATAATCGATCAATTCTTGATATGTGTTTATCAAAACCAATTGGTTTATTAGCATTACTTGATGAAGAATCTCGTTTTCCTCAATCAACAGAATTTACTCTTGTTAATAAATGGTGTGAAAATTTAAATTCACCACATTTTATAGCTAATACACCATCATCGTCATTATCACGTAAATCAGTAAGACGTCAAAAACAATTATTACTTGATCAGCAACCATTATTTACTATTCATCATTATGCTGGAAAGATCGAATACACAGCAAAAGATTTTCTTGAAAAAAATCGTGATTATGTACCTATGGAAATAACTGATTTACTTTTACAAAGTGAAGATGACCTTGTTAATTTACTTTTTCGTAGTCGTCTTCGTAAAACCGGTAGTGTGATTTATAATGAACAAGATAAACAAGATAAAGCAGCATCTTTATTTCGTTCAATAAATCAAAAAACTACAACTGCAAATCGTACACAAGGTACTGTATCAACATATTTTCGTTATTCATTAATGGAATTAGTTAGTACAATGGCATCCGCACAACCAACATTTATTCGTTGTCTTGTACCAAATCGTTTACCATGTCAAATATCACATGTAACATATGATCATACAAGTTATTTTCCACAAAATTTTACATTTGATACAAGTCAATTTGATGAAAATGTTGTACTTGAACAAATACGATACAGTGGTTTACTTGAAACAATTGAAATACGTCGACATGGTTATTCACATCGAATAATTTTTGATGATTTTATATCGGTTTATTCATGTCTTATTAATTTTAAAGATCAAAAAATTAATAATAAACAATTGTGTGAATTAATATTAAAAAAATTTCATTTTAATGATTATGCTATTGGTAAAACAAAAATATTTTTAAAATTTCATCATATTGAACAATTAAATATTGCATATAAAGATTTAATAACAAAAATTATTCGTTTACAATCACGTATACGAATGTATTTAATAAGAAAACAAAATCAAGTTACGAACGTCAATATTATTAAATCCGATTATGATAAATCAGTAGCACGTGTTCAAGCTATGGTACGTGGTTTTCTTGTTCGTACTGCATTAAAAAAATCGTCAACAGCTACTCTAACTATTCAAAGTTATTGGAGAATGTGGTATGAACAAACACAATTTAAACGTCGTCTGCTTCATTATCGTAATCAACAAATTCAACTATCTTATTTTCTAAAACAAATTGAATTATTCGGTAGTCATTTATATCAACAATTAACAAATCTTGAAAAAAGTAATTCAAATTCAATTAAAAAAGAAAAAAATATTCATAAATATCAATCAGTATCAAAAACACACAATTTGAAACTTCAATCACAAAATACATTGAAATTAAATGGAAAGAAACGTAATGTTGTTCGTTTATGTCAATATTATGATACAATTTATAAAGAATTTATCGATATGAAAAATAAAAAAATTCTTGAAAAAAAACAAGAGGAAGTAATTGATAAAACAATTCCACCTCGACCATCAACAGCTCCACCGATAACTAATATACCACAAGCTCCACCTTTTCCACCACCGGAAGTTTTGAAACAAACTAGTAATAAAGTTCAGATTTTTGAACGAATGGAATCAGCACCAGCTACTATGATAAGTCCAGTTGTAGAATTAAAACAGATATCACCACCAGTTACAGTAAAAACTCCGGTAGACGAATTAAAACAAATGTTTGCTACGAAACAGTAAGAATTTTTTTCTGGTTTATATATGATAATTTCTTTTTTTCTAGAGCAAAATCTACAAATCCAGTATTTTCTAATTTATTTCGACCCGTCTCTCCACCACCTAATATAACAGAAATAGACGATAATTCATCGTCATTAACCTTTCGTCATATCAATCATTCTAACCATAACGTACGACAAAATGATTCTCAGTCCAGACATCGTCTATCCTTATCATCAAGTCTAAATAAAAATAAAGCAGCTGGTCTATTGACATCAAGTGCATCAAGTCTCGTCGGAGAAGTAGTATTAACATCCGATGATGTTAGTAAACTTAAAAATAATCTACGTAAAACTGGTTTTGGTGATAGAAATCAAACATTACGACGAAAATTACCAACCGAAACAGTTCAAGTTGATTTTCGTAATGTTCTTCGTTCATCAAAAACGCATTCAACTCCAAATATTAATAAATAACTAGAGTTAATTGACAAATAATATATTTTTCTTGTTTTAAATCATCTGTATTTTGTTTTTGACATTTCATAAATATTACTAATTGTTTATGTGTTTCCTCTAGAGAGAGAAATCAATCATTGTCTCTCAAATTCTATCGCTGCATGACACGTATATGCTATATTCTTATCATTTTTCACTCATCAATAAAAAAGAAAATCTTGCAGTCATCTATAGAAATATTTTTGTTTGAATTTTTCTAAGAAATATATTATTTTCTTGAACATCTGTCGTATAGATAATTACAATAGATGATTATTTATTTCTATCAACAAGATCTTTGTCAATAGATAGATAAGGATAACAGTAAATCGAAGCCAGCTGGAAATGACCTATAATGACAAAAAAATATTCTTTCATAAGGTTATACAACAATTGTTTTACATATGACGACGTTAATATTTAGTTGAAAGAAATAAATTAAACAAAAGAAAAGAAATAGGTTTTTCTTCTTTTTTTTGTATTACTTACATATATAATTAATTTATAAATGATAACGAATAGATCCATAATTATTTTATATGAAAACATTTAATTATTTTTTCTTCCTCTCGGTCGTTTTTTTATTACATGTTTTTAACAAAAATAATATTTTTAATTGTTAAGTAAGAAGCTATTCAATGAAGCATAGGATAATTATATTTACCTAGAAGTAAAATTTTCTTTTTTTAGGATTAAATTGATACATCAAATTCTATTTATTAAAGTATATACTAAAGTCAATATAAGATCGTGTCTTTGTCATAATGACTATATCATGTCTTTTCAACGACAATCATGTTTGTCTATCATCATCATCATTATAGCCGCCGTCTAGTTGATCGATTCCATCTCCCATGATTCTAAAAATTAGCTAGTATGTTTCGTTAATATCGTTGCACTAGTTTGTCTCTTGCGTATTTATATGTTCTGTTCTATTTCTCGGGAATTGTAAAGAGAGATATACCAGTTCTCTCTTTTTCTTTCTTTTCTTATCTATTCGTCCTTCTTCTTCTTTTCTATCGATGTGTATGACATCATTCTTGCAATCCTTTTCTCATATAGTGTTCCTGGCGGGAAAACATTTCTTCTAACAGAGAAACGTTTGTATGTAACCAAACACATTGGGAAGCACTATCATCTTTTTTTTTCTTCTTATATTTCTCTTCTTGTTCTTCTTTTCTTTTTTGTTCTTATTCTCGACATTCGTCGTCGTTTATATGGAGAAAACTAACGTTCAAACAAAACCAGTATTCTAACTTGTTGGTGATCGACCATATACAAAATCATAGTAATAAACAAGTTAAATTAAATACAAAAAACAAAAAAAATGGTTATTTTTATGCCATACTATCGTCAACATGGACAAATATTTCATTCACATCCACGTACTCGTCCATCGTCAACACCACCAAATGGACAACATCATCATACAACAACACATCATACACTTCATATGAGTACTTGTAAATTTGTATCAAATATATTATGTCGTTTTATATTTTCGTTTTTTCTATTTACTATTGCATTTATTTTATTTAAATTCTCGATAAATAATATACCAAACAAGAAAGAAGGCTCAAATGTTATTGCTGCTATTCTATTAACTGTTGCTATTGTATCATTTTTACGTACATGTCAAACATTACGACGTTATTTTACAATAATGAGAACTAGGCGTCGATTAATTCAAGTAAGTAAATAAATTAATCATAATTTTTTATATCTATGGAAAAAAAATTATTCTTAATTCAGAGATTACGTGAACGACAACAAGCTTATGATTCAGTATTAGCTGCAAATAGTGATCTTCATTCTACGTATGTTTTTTTCTGTTTAAACAGAAATGTAAATATGTACATTGATTTTTCTTTAAGTTTTATCATGGGCGATAACACTGATTTACCATCATATAAAGAATTGTTTCCTTCTCATCCAGATATAAGCATCGTTGGTAATGATCCATCATCAACATTACCACCTCCATCTTATGACGATTTTGTAAAAACGCTTGGCGTTCGTCAGCCGATTACTAGACTTCCAATAGCGTCATTACGTCCTCATGCATTATCATTACCAACAACAAGTTTATCAACATCAACAACTCAATCTCAAACTAGTCCAACACAATGTATATGGATAACTGATCATCAGGCACGAGGAACTGTTTGTATACGTGGAAATGTAACTTATGTATAGAAAAGACAGAAAAAAAGTGTGGAAATTTTTTTAATAAAATTTGAGTAAATATGTGTTTATTTATTTTTTTTTTGAAAATTTGAAATTTGCACGAAAAAAAAAACTTTTTTTTTATTATTATTTATAACTCATTAAATGAAAATTTTCTTTCTTTTCACACCATGTTTTGTGCACGTCGATCACGATATTCACGATCATCAATACCAGAATCTACATCATCAGATCGATTTTCTGCACTACCACCTCGTCCATCATTACTTCTTGCGGTTTTTAAATCTGGTATAATATCTCCTTTAAGATCACTTATATCCCAAACTTTTACTGTAGCATCAACAGAACCAGTAAATAATCGTTCATTAGCAATCTAAATAAAAAAAAATTCTTTTTTGAAAAGAAATTAAAATAAAAAACAAATGACATATACCTGCATACAACTAATACCGAGTGCATGTGATTTAAATGTACGTTTTATAGCACCAGAACGTGCATCAAAACATCGTCCTAAAGCATCACCACAACCAGTATAAACTATTAAAACAAGTGAATTTTCATCAAAAAGAAAATGAAATAGTATAGTGTAACATACCAAGGCCATTATCAACTTGAATACAAGAAACAGTATGTTTATGTCCTTTATAAATCCGTGTACAATCACCAACATCCGTAACCCAACAACGTGCTGTATGATCCGCACTAATTGAAAATAGTAATTTGTTAAAACACTAAAAAAAAATTTTTGTATAGAAATTTTCAATCTTTTTTTCTTACAAGAAGATTTATTATTGCTGCTTGATGTTGATCAAAAACATGTAATTCTGTTCCACGATAAATATCCCATGCACGAATTGTATTATCACCTGATCCTGTAAATAATGTTTTTCCAAGTGGATCACTTGTTAAACAGAGTATGGCTCCCGTATGACCACGAAATGTTTTTAAACATTCACCAGTTTCGAATGACCATGTTTTAGCTGTTGAATCTTGTGAACCAGTTATTATAATATCTTTTTTATACATATCTGTCTCATCTTCATTATCTTCTTCACCGCCATCTTGATCTGCTGGAATAAATAATATGGGTAATATACCATGTTTATGGCCGCGAAATACACGTACACATGCGCCAGTATCGAAATCCCAACAACGAGCTGTTCGATCATATGATGTTGAAAAGAGAAAATCTCCTACAAAATAAAAAATAAAAATTTTTAAACACATTTTTATTTTTTGTCAAAAAGAGAAAAAGAAAAGAATTTAATTAGTAATAGAAATAAAAGGGTATATAGATATAGGAAAACAATTCATTTTTTATGCATCAATTAACATATTTATTTCAGTAGAACTTCTTGAATGTTTACTGTTATTCATCATTAAATTATTCTTTTAGTTGAATTTTCGAGAGAGAGAAATATTCTACTTACCAGTACAAACAATTCGATTTATAAGGGATGTATGACCAGAGTAGACAAATACACACTGCGCATTAGTCATATCCCATTTTCGCATAGTACGATCGGCACTAGCACTGACTAAAAAAGTTTCATCAATAAGAACATGTGTGATATAATCTCCATGACCAGTTAATACACTTAAACATTCAATTGGTGTTGTTTTAGCACTCCATAAACGAATATTATGATCATCGGAGCCTGTAGCTAGTACACTTCCATCACTACTTAATGCCATACAATTGACAGCACTTTCATGTTCATCTAATGTTTGTATAAGCGAATCATTATCACGTTCAGCGCGACGTTTTGATGCTGCACTACCCATAGTTTAGAAAAGACTTCAAGTAAAGTCTAAAGTTAAATTACAAAAAAAAAAAGGGTGAAAAGATGTTGTCAGTAAAATAAAAGAAAAAAAGAAAATGATCATCGTCTTTTGTTTTTCAGCAAAAATATTTAATTTCTCGTCTAAGTATTGTTGCACTTCCCACGACAGTAACAACAAAAAAAAGAGAGAAAAACTTGAAGTTTCCGACGAGTAAAATTTTTTTTTTAAAAAAAACAATCAAGCGAGAGTGTAGTTTAAATAGAAAAATGAATTTTAGAAAAAAATAATAACTTGTCTGAAAGTCAACGTAAACATCACCTTTTTCCTACCATATACATGTCTCTTTTTAATAAGTGTCTTTTACAGCAAGAAAAAATGTCTATCGTGTATTAAAATTCATCATATTATGTCAAATATTGAACAAGACAATAAAATTTTTTTGTGAATAGAAATAAGATAGACCTTGAATATGTCTTTTGAGTAAAATTTAAGAATATAGAACAATCAATATAGTTTTTTTCTGTAGTTTTATATTTAGATGCTATACGTTCAATTAATTCTTCGTGCACAGAATCAATAATAGATCTTATATAATGAACTATTCATTTGTCTTCATCAGCTTTTTTTTGTAAATCATATGAACACGTACTATAGTGTAATAAAATAATATAGAACTTTCTATTTTGTCGTTCTTTTTAAGCATAGGTAGCTTATGCTTTCTCTTCTTCTTCTTCTTTTTTTTCTGCATTTACCGTTCGCATTGTGTACCAACTTTTTTCTGGTTCCACTCGTTCATTTCCTGTTTAACAACCAGTTCTAGTAACGAACGACAAATGAAGAGAAAGAAAACTATGTAATAATTTTGACAGTATGTTTGAAAAGCTGTATAATGATTTATGAGAAAGAAGAAAAAAAATGTTTAAATTCATATATATGTATTACTACTTGATTTCTTTTTATCATGAATATTCCAGTAGTATTGAGTAATATGACCATAGGTGTATATTACTTGTGATGTCATGAAAAGAGACACTTTTAATCTTATGAGTTAGTAAAAAAGAAATATTCATTGAATTTTGATTATTGGTATAACTCTCTCTCATCGTTCTATTTCGATGTTTAGTTTGTAAACCAAAAAAAAAAAAGGTAGGTGTGTGTTACTTCTCATTCAATTTTCTTTTTATTTCTAATATAAATATAAAAATTCTGACTAATATATTAACAACCTTCTCATATATAAATATCAATAGAAGAATCGATGTTCTCATTCCCTGACATTTTTAATGACGTATGTAATACATATATCGGGGGAGAGAGAGAGAGAAAAAATGGTAGGCTAGTGAAATAAAAGTATATTATTCTGTTTATTAACAATCATCATCTACTTGGTATTCATTCTCATCTTCTCTTAATGTCCTATTTCCTTTACTTTATAACTGTATAAGTAGAGACGAGTGTCAATATTAGTCTATATTACAAGAAAATAATACTGTATATAAGGTAATAGTCGTCAACTCATATTACACACATTATCCTATCGATATGAAATATAAAGGTGTCTTAGTTACTCTTGATTTATTTATTTATTCATAGCTTTCTTTAGAATAGAAACACGTTTGATTCAATTTAAGTTTTAAAGAAAATTCTTTATTTGACATGTATTGATCTTCAATAACAAGAATTAATTCAGACATGACAAACTGCTTTTATTAGATCAAACTGGTTGGTTTATCAATGTTTGCTTAACCTCGGCTATAGCTTATACCGTATGATTCAGTTAATTTTTATAAATGCGAAAAACTTCCTTTTTTTTATTCTATAATATTCTACTAGTGTTAATAGAAAGAAAAAAGAGAGGAAGCATACATTTTTTTTCTTAACGACTCAGGTAAAGACTATTATAACTGAATATATATATATATATATAAGGGATTTTAATAAGAAAAAAAAGTACACTTCGATTAAGTAAAAGAGGATTGATTTTTTCAGCTTTTTTATTCTTTTTCACCTAGTAATATGCAATCATATTTGTGTAGTATGGAATATTTTAACAGTCTACAATTTCACATATAAAAAAAGAATAATAATCCGATATTAATATTTGTTTGACATATATCTCGTTAGAAGGTTCATTTCCTTCTGAAGCCATAATCCTTTCTATTCAAATAGATAGTTTTCTACTAATTAGTTCTATTTCAAAACTAGGATCATATAATTATTCATTTTTTTTTCTTCTCTTGACGAGTATGTGAGAAAAAAAACCTGATGCGCATTTGTCTGTTAGTCATGACATTTTTTTATTATTTGACGCATTTACAAATAAATAAAAATTTATTTTAGAAGTAACATTTTTCAGATTATATACGAAAATGGGACACGGTGGTATGAGTTGTGGAATGAAAACAATGCGATTTGTGATGGTTGCATTTAATATCATCTTTTTCGTAAGTGTTTGTTTAATTTGATTTAATAATATAAAAATTTTATTCTTAATTATTAGTTAATTGGTCTTGCACTTATCGCAGTTGGAATATATGTCTTAGCTGATCCATCACTTCAAAAAATAAAGAAAATATTTCCAATTGATGGCAGTAAATATTAAAATAAAAATAAATAAATAGATAATTTTTCTATTATTCATTTAGATCCTGAACTTGAGCAAGGTTTATCATATCTTACAGTAATTGCAATTGTTATTCTTGTTCTTGGTGGTGTGCTTTTAATAATTGGATTTCTTGGATGTTGTGGTGCTATGAAACAAGTGAAAATATTTTTAATACTTGTAAGTTTACCTTTTTTCCTTATTGTATTTTATCTATTTTTTTTTCTAAGTATGGTATTATTATTGGAATAATCATACTTTTCGAAGTAGCAATAACAATTTATTTTGTTGCTTTTAAATCGAAATTTGAAGATCAAATAAAACCAAAATTAAAAGACGCTCTTCAAAATACATATGAAGGTCCATTGGGTTTAATAAGTAATACAAATGTATCAAAACCATCAGGAATTTCAATTGCGTGGGATTTTATTATGTATAATGTAAGTAATCATTTTTAATTATGTATAATTTAGTTTTTTTTATTTCTTTCTTTTTGTATAGTTTCAATGTTGTGGTGTTTATAATAGAAGTGATTTTGATGGAACAAAAAAATGGAATCGAACAAATATATGGGCAAATGCATCATTAGGAAATTCAACGAATTTCAAATATCCATTAACATGCTGTAATATGGGTAATGTTTTTACAACGAATTGGAATGATTTTAATTCTGCTCAATTACAATCGGCTGCTACTTGTGCTATGACGGGAAATAATACTTATACAATAGTGAGTTTATTTAATTTATATATGTTTCGATATTTATTTTATTTTAGGGTTGTTATGATAAATTTATGGATTTAATAAATACTGCCAAGACATGGATTATTATCGGAGCAGTTCTTATTCTTGTTATTGAAGTAAATTTTTTTTCATGTTTACTTATTTATGTGTATATATATATATTTTTAGTTAGCGGCATTTATCTTTGCAATGGCTTTATGTTGTCGTAAGAGAAAGGATACGATGTATTATTCAAATTAAATATGTTTTTTTTGGTCAATGAAAACAATTTCTAATTCAAATCAACATTGATTTTATTTGTTCTTTATTGTTGCTTTTACCTTTTAAGTTCTGTCTTTTTTCAATTGTATGAATATGATGCCAGATATCTTCATTCGCTTGATAATCTTATTGATTAACGTATTTAATTTGCTTTATCTTGCTATTTTATCATAAAAATACTCTCACATCTTTTTCTACCTATTCTCTTACAATAATGATTATCATTGCTATTCTAAACTTCTATTTGCATTATGTTCTCTCTCTTTTTTTTCTCTATCTATCATTTATCTCTCAAAATATGTGTTATCAAATCACTTCATTTTGTCTATTGTATTCAACTCGATTACATTTGCCATGTAATTTTGAGAAATAACCGAATAAAAATAAAGTAATATTGGCGGCAAAAGTAAATACTCATTTTTACTATGAAAATTATCATTATCTACATGATTATATGTATAAATTCTATTAATGCAGGTAAAAGAAACTTCATATTTCGATCTAAATGTAGAATAGGGGCTCCGGTTCCGCACATCTCTACTGTAGAATCAATATCTCTGAATTAATTTTTATTCGATATGGTTTGCTTGAATATACATACAATATTTACATAAAACATTAAAACTTATTCATTTTTATGTGTAACAGTATTTCGTCGAGTTTTAGTTGGTTTCGTTTCATATGTTGTTCGATGTTTAGTAGCCATTTCTTTATATAAATCATTATCTTTTGCTTCGAACCATTTTTGTTTAAAAATTTCAGCTGATCGAGCTTTTTCATTTGTCATGTGGGTTTCTTCTTGTGGTAATATATCATACGTTGTTTGATCATATTTTGTTCCACTAGCATGATTTGCATAACGTCTTGAACGAGTAAAACCCATTTGTAAATATTTTCGTGCCATATCAGCACCGACGAAATCATTTTGTTTAAGATAATTTAAAAACATTTCATGAATTTTATTCGATGATTCAATAGCTTCAGGTACAGTTTTAAAACGCCAATGTGGACATATTTCACCTTTATAGGGTTGACATGTTAATACACCTTGTTCTCCACGGCCTATTCGATAGAGTTCAGGATGTTCACGATAATCAATATTTGCTTTCCAACCATAAGAGTCATGGTCAAAATCAAGATAAGATGGAAGTCGTTTTTTTGCTTTATTTGATGTTGATGAAACAGTTCGTTTTCGAGGCATAATTTCTAATTGACGAAATATCTATAACGAAAAAAAAACATCATTGTTTTCATATAGAACTTATTACTTGGAAATTTAAACCAAAACAATTCCTACAACTAGGTACAGATTTCGAACGAACATGTGAAACAAATAGACCATTAACAAAAGATGAATATATTTCATGGATAGTATATGATCATGATGGTCGAATAAATATTATTAATAAATCTAATTTAGTAATAAATTCATTTGCAGAAATTAACGAAGGAATTGCTATTTGTCAAATAAAAGATTCGAATGGAAAGATTATTGATGAAAAACATTTTTTTCTTACTAATGATCGTAAGTTTACAATAAAAAGGAAACTTTTACTTCGGATGATTCATTTGTTTTTTAGCTACAGAATTAATCGATTATCGATTTGAAGGTTATGATCAAGTATTTATTGATACTCATATTAACAATACAGAAAGATATTGTGGCCCTGATGAAAATATTGCATATACAAAAGACGATATAGCTGATTTTCATATTGATTTTGTTCAGCATTTTGAACATATACGACAACATTCAAATTATATTCAATTTCAAAATATAAAACATGAAAATGAAGGATATTATGAATGTATAGTTCGATTAAATAATGGTCTAGTAGGTGTTCGAGTTTATTTTCTTAGTGGTAAGTTTATCTATTAGAAAACTAAATCTACCATACAGATTTTTCTTAGTTGGTGGTAATCCACGTGAAATATCTAATCGAGAATTACATATCTATTCAGAACTAACTAATACAATAACATTACTATGTCCAATATTCTCGGCATCACCTGCTTGGTTTACATTTATTATACCAAAAGATTCTTCACACGGTGTCTCGTCACTAACAGGATATGATTATTTACGGATTAAAAATATTTCGAATATTCATTCAGGAATATACACATGTCGAGTAACAACGACGGATGATAATCAAGGTTATTCATTAACATCTAATATTTATCTAGATGTTTATGGTATGTTCTGTTTACCTTATAAAAAACTATCTTGAATGGTATATTAATTAATTAGGTCCACCTTATTATATAGAACCTAACAATAATGAACACGTATTGATTAAAATTAAAAGAAATATAGAGAATATTTTACGTTGTTCAATAAATGGAAATCCAATACCTAGTCATCAATGGTTTTTAGGTGATATTAAAATATTAAACAAAGAAAAAATTATCTCGAATACAATCGATTATAAAATCATACCAATGATAAATGACGAATCTGAATTAAACCAGACAGTAACATGTATAGCAGAAAATAATCGAGGCACTCTACGACAAGTTTTTACTCTGGAATTTATTAACTGAAATATATATGAAAAATCGTTTGAATAAGTAAACAATATATGATGAGTCATTTAATTTCTCCGTATTGGTTTTCTAGACTATAAAATAATACATCAGAGGGCGTATATATCAGCATTCATTCTTTATTAGAATTTTTATTCATAAGCCAGATTGAAGTATTTTGATAACAGCTGCGCTTATTTTCTTTTTAAATATTTATATAACAGAATTTACCTTTAATAAGTAACATATATAATTATACTCAAATTTTGCCGTGAAAATAGAGTGTTTAATGTTCAAACAAAGTGAAGCATATTTTATCAAAATATATTAATTCCAGTATAATAAATTCATACAAAATAACAATGATTTCCTAAGTTGAATAGATCATTACACGTCATCGTTATTTTTTAGAAGAAAAAACTTTTCTTTTTTGTTATTTATATGATGTAATACAGTAACGTGAAGTTATTTTGTTTTATCTATACACTTAAAATCGGTACTTAACAATTTTTATGTTCGTCTGATAATATCTGTATTATTTTATAAGTTTAAAAGCATGGGTAATTGTCAATAGAATTCTATTTTTATAAACTTGTTTGTTTTAAATTTTATAACAAGAATAAAAAAAAAAGCAGGAAGATGATAATTCTCTAGTTTCATCAAGTCAGACGGCTGTCGTTTTTATATGGTAAGCATGAATTCTCTTGTTTCCAAAGTTACCGCAATATGTCAAAGAAACCCTATTTATGAATGATAAGTATGTTAACTTTCTTAATCACAACCGAATATTTAATGATTAATGAATTTTTTACACAATCTAAAAGTATGTCTTATCATTTCACATAAATCTCTAGAATAGTTCGATTTAAAACTCATACTGTCAGTAAATGCATCGTTAGATTTTTTTCGAATAACAACCTATGTTATCATCAGCTTATTTTTTCTTTATCTATAAAGTATATTTTTTTTTACTTCGTGAGATATCTCGTCAGTAGATTTTTCTCCGTAATATTGATTTTTATCAAAAGAAGTAATATGAATATATAAGTATGGAATTTATTAGATACGTTGAATGAAAGAATTTCCTATTGAATCATTTTCTTCCCACTAAAATGAATACGTGCTTGTTATTTCAAATTGATACTGCGTCATTCAATGTTTTTTTTCTTCTTATTAATAATAATCATATATAAATATCTAGAAAAAACATGTTGATAAATTAGTTTTAGATTTTCGAACATGGGTCATGGTGGTATGAATTGTCAATTAAAAACTGTTCGTTTAATTCTAATAATTATCAATGTGATATTTTTTGTAAATATATTATTGTTAATTTGAATAAAAGAGGTTTTAGGTTACTTTTTTAGTTAATCGGTGCAACGTTATTCGGTGAAGGTATTGATCTTCTAATTACTCGACGTTTTCATAGTTTTACAGAATTTTTATTTAATATTGAAAGTATGTTAATTATTTGAAAAGTAAAATATTCAAATTGAATTTTTCATAGATGGAAAAATAACGAAGAATATCATATTTTCAAATGAAATTTTATATATATTCAAGATTATTCCAGGTTTTATTTTTATATTTACGGGTTTTTTTGGTTGTTCCGGTGCAATAACTCAAATGCAATCTCTTTTATTTTGTGTTAGTATTCGAATCTATTAGAAAAGAATGCGTATGTAGATGAATTATCTTTCGAATTTAGTATTTTTCGTTCGTTGGAATTATTTTAATTTTTCAAACAATAATTATTCTATCTTTGATTGCTTTTCGAATTTATACGAAACAACAATTAATATCAATAGTACAATTATTTATTCGTGATAAATACAAAGGACCATTAGAAAAAGATTTCCAATTAAAATCATTTCTATTAGATTCGATGATGTATCATGTAAGTTAATTGTTTTTTTTTGAGAAATATTTTAAATTCGTTTTATTTTGAAGTTCAAATGTTGTGGTATAGATGGTAAACATGATTTTAATATAACAAATTCTTGGAATCGTACAAATCCATGGTGGAATACATCAATGTTAATTGAAAATAGAGATTTTAAATATCCATTAACATGTTGTCCTATGAATGATACTTTTAATAATATTCTTTCATGTGCTATGAATGGAACTTCTATTCATGAACTAGTAAATAAAAATTTCGAAAATATTCAAAAAAAAATTTTTTTAAATTTTTAGAGTTGTTATGAAAAAATAACTGATATATTTTATTCAATGAAAGAAATAATATTATTTGGTACTGTATTTATTATTACTATTGAGGTATAAAAGATTTCTTTAGAAAATATTTAATAGATTCATTTTATTTAGATGTTGGCTTTAATATTTGTATTAATTATTCATAATCGAAATCAAGTACATAGAATTGATTGTGCAATGGAAGAATTACCGCCCGCATATTCTTCAAGAACACGGATTAATAACTCAAATTTGTATTTTCAGATATAATTTCAGATATATTTTTGTAATAAATGTGTTATGTATTTTAATATCGAATTTCTTATTTTCTTTACAAAAATCCTAGTAAAAAGATTTAATAGATTTTTATTTCTTAAAAAAATACATCGTTTATCAACAATTTGTAAAAATTAATTAATCAGAAAAATACTAATTGAAATGCAAAATGAATATTTTTTTAATAATATATCACAATAGATATTAATCAATGTAATAAAATGAGTCCTTTCTTTTGATTATTTCATAGACGAAAGAACTCAAACAGACACATTATATATACCGTGTCTATTAGTGACAATGAATATATAACCTTCAAATATATACGCATTCTTTTTTTTTCTTCTTCTTCTTCTTCCTTGTATATGTACCTTTCTATTTTTTTTTATCGTTTTACTCACAGTATGACGAATGTCCTTCGACAGACTATACGAGATGTAAGTATGTGTTCTTTCATCAATAATAAAAAAAGAAACGTTTTTTTTTCTGTTACGATTTTTAGTAAAACATTTTCACTGTAGAATATGATGTTATATATTTTTCTATTTAATCTTATTACTTCTGGTTTATGGTGTCAAGATATCGAACGAGTTATTGTAGAACAAGGACAACCATTTTCATTTGATTGTCAACTAGATGACTTAGTATATTTTGGTAGAAAAATAAATGAATGGTCAGAAATACAAGAAAATAATGAAAATTATTTATATTTAAATATAAATTTTAATTATATAACTAAAGATAATATTTTACGGATTAAATCAGATTCTGCTCAATCAAAACATATTGGATTTTATGCATGTCGAAAACCAACATGGATAAGTACATCGATGAATAGTATTTATCAATTGATTTTAGCTGGTAAAATTCTACTTTTATTTTTCTTTATGATAGAATTTTAATTTTTAGATGTACAATCATTCTATTGGAATCATATATGCTACGCTCCTACTGGGTCATGTGAACGTTTAGATGATGTATATGATGAAAATTTAAGTAAATTTGAAGTTATTGATCAAACTAATGTTGAATTATTTTGTTGTGCATCTGTAACGGGTTATAAAAATGTTAATGTATATATGAATCCAATAGGAGATATTCGTGGTAATGTTGAAATTAATAGAAAACAAGAAATTGATGGTTCATGGGTTGTTTGTGCTAATCAACGTACAATATTAAAACGAACGCCATATTTAAATCAACAAACATTAACATGTGAATTATTGATAGACGATCGACGTCATTCAATACTTTCAAGTGTTATTATAATCAAAGGTCATTAGGAAATTTAAAAATCGAAATTAAATCAAGATAGTTTATTTATTATAATAGATCCAATTCGTACAGATTCAACATTTGAACATAGTTTTTCTAAAGAAGGAAATCAAAATGATGGATATTTTAATAAATATACGTCAGGTATAGGTCGATCAAGAAGAAGAATGACAACCGGTAAAAGATTGTGATTATCTTTATTATAATAAAAAATTGTATTAATATATTTATTTAGGAAAGAAAATTGCAATTATTATTGGTTCTATTCTCGCTGGTCTTTTTCTGTTAGGATTAATAATCTTCGTAATTGTTTTTATATATCGTAGTAAAAAAAGTACGAATACTGAATTTAATTTATTATATAACTAACCTTTTCTTTACGTTCTATTTTAGCTTCATCAAGGTAAGTTCAATAATTCACATAATTGTGTGAAGGTAATTCTATCGTATTTCTTTTTTGCTTTTATATTTAATCTATTCAAGAACAACTACGAAAAGTATGTATGAAGTCAATGTGTTTTTTGTACTATTTTTCTCTTTTTATGATAGTTCAAAAACATTATTCATCAGTTAGAACATCCGAACCACCAAGATATTTAAATGAAAGAAATATAAATGGTAAATGAGATGATTATTTACTTATCTTTTTTTAATCCATAACCTTTAGGTGAAGAACCTATTTATGAAGAGCCAACACAATTGTCTGTAAAAACACCTGTATTTATGCGATGTTAAACGATCATAGATTGATCATGTTATAATTTTTGTCTTTCATAAAATGAATGATTATATTTGACTTCTTCTTTTTTTTGTAATTATTTAATGTATATATTAATTAAGATATATTTTATTATTTGAACAGTAAAACAATAATATATAATTTGAATTATATCTTTGTTTACTTTTCGTGATGAATATTTTTTTTATTGTATAAAAAAATGAAATATATGTGAGTGCATATCATGCACAAATTTTCATATGTATTCTTTCAATCGAATTAGTCGACAGATGAATAGTCATATGTATTATACTATGATGCTTAAAAAACTCAAGGATTTTTTCATATAGTCATAAGAATGATTGAGTATCTAAACTAGTATTGTATGTGTAAATCAATTTATTTTAATTAATAAAGGATAAAGCGTGTTTATTAAATATTTAATGTACAGAAAAGAAAAGAACATAAGGTTAATTATATTAATAATAATTTCTTGTCGTAAGAGAGATTTCTTTTAACCACTAAAATTGAAACGATCTGAAATACTTGTTCCAAATTGTTTCATTTTTTCTCTCATACGATCAAACATTTCCATCAATTTTTGTCTAAGATAAACACCATATCGTTGTATCTCATCGCGAACATTATTAAAGAAATTATTATCTACAGCAACAACAGGAACTTCTTCAATACTTCCGATATTTGTTGGTAATGTTGGTCGAGAAGCTGAAAAATATAAATAATCTCTAGAGATTTTGTTTTTTCTCATATCAAATTACTAATTTACCAAGACTTTGACAAACATCACAGGCTTCCATACTAACACTGTCTTCATTTTCATCTTGAACAAAACACCATGGTCCATTTATATTCATGCTTGGATTACGACAATAATTTTTTGCTTGTTTTACTGATGGATCATTGAAAAAATTCGCTTCATTTATTATATCAGGATGGATTATTTGTAAATCAGTCCATGGTAAACATTCATGTTCAAATTTTGTAAATGAATGTTTACCTTGATAATGAAGAATTTTATCTTCAGTTATACTACAATCTATACAGAAGACAATATTCAGGTTTTTTTTCGTAAGAAATAATCTTTGGAAAACTTACCAGATACATTCCGGATTATAACTGGTTTACCTTCAAGATTACCACATATAGCAATAATTGTAAGCAATTGTAAGAGCATAGCTATTCTTTTTGTCTAGTATAAGATGATTGTATATCAATGCAAAGTTCTGGAAGTAATAATAATAGTCGATAGAAAAAGAGAAAGAAAGAAATAATACGTAGGATGGAAAAAGAAGAAAAGGAACAATCTAAAATAGATAATACTATACTTATGTGTCTTATATTAAATTGTTTCCAGTCGTATCTAGATGTCACTAGTAAACGATTTAATCAATCCTGCTTTCATAATTTTTAAATAAAATAAAATTTCTACAATATAAATTTCTATTATTTTACTCAATAGAAATACTTCATTTGAATGTTTTGATTCTGAGTTTTATCTGATAGGTTAATAATTTGCACCTGTATCGAATCATTCCATTTCATACCATCATCTGTGACGCGATGATGTTTCCTATTAATTTATACAACATATCTCGTTAAAACGTTTAATGATTTAAAAAAAAATAAACAATAAAAAGTAATTCATGTTTTCCTTTAATAATTTTTTATATGTATTATGAGCCGTTCATTCGGTAATACAAATCTGTCTTCAATACAACCATCATCACTTTCACGAATGCCTTCAACACCAGGTACGGATTGGGAGGATTTACGTAAACAAGCTCGTCTACATGAAAATGAAATTGATACAAAATTAATCTCTTTTTCGAAATTATGTTCAAATTATGTTGCACATGAACAAAATGATCCAGCATCAGCGACTACAACTACTCCATCATCCTCATTCGAAACTATGTCTATTGAAATAGAAAAACTTCTCGAACGTTTATCTGATATAAATAAACGTATGGCTGATGTTGTTCCATCATTACACGGCCCTAATTCAGCTGCAACACATACATTACAACGTCATCATGAAATTCTACAAGATTATCGTCGTGAATTTGAACGTACAAAAGCCAATATAAGAAATTTTAAAAGTCGTGAAGATCTATTAATAAATAATACTTCAACAAATTCCGATGTAATAACAGCTGGTTTAAGTAGTCGTCGACAAGATTATTATTTACGTGAAATGGGTCATTTAAATAGTTCACATAAATTAATGGATACAAATATCGAAATGGCATCAATGATTAAAAAAGATTTATCAGATCAAAAAAGATTTTTATTAAATATCACAACTAAAGTTAATACTCTTGCTAATCGTTTTCCATTGGTTAATAATATTTTACAAAAAATAAAATTAAAAAAACGTAAAGATTCACTTGTGCTTGGTGTTGTTATTGCAATTTGTCTTATTATTCTACTTCTTTATATGTTTCGGTAGAAGAAAAAAATGAAGACATACATATTTTTTTTCCTTTTATTAGTTCCTTCTTCTCTCTTTTGTTTATTTGGTTCTATCTTTCTTTTTTTTGTTTATTCTTAATAAACCAAAGGGGAAAAACAAAGCAAAATTTCATTTTTAGATATGGTTAGGAATTTATCGTTTGGTAGATCGATCAACATGATTAAGTAGAGATTAACATCCCAGTGATTTATTTTATCGTATAGGAGTGAATCAATTGATTCTATTTTCAGATATTTAAAATAATGCGTTTATCGTTTATCCTTCAAGCTGCTGCGAAAAGTGGAAGACAATTACTTGTTAATTGTGAATCTCAAGCAACTGGTCATCGTGTAATGCGTATACGTGAACGAACACAAGATAAACTTGAATTTTTACATAAAGATCCATGGCTTGATCAAGAAGTTTTATACAAAGAAACAAGAAAAATAAAGACATTAGAAAAACAAAAAATTCGTGAAATACATCTTAGTCGATTAACATGATTTATTTCGTATTTTCATTTTATAATAAAAACAAAAATATATAGATTCATAGTTTTGAATATTAGTTTCTAGATGAATTCAGCAAAACAACCAGCGATTATTTTATATAGACAATTACTTCGTGAATGTCATAAATTTTCACTTTATAATTATCGGTAAATTTCCTATTATTCTATATATACGATTAAATTAATCCGATATTATTAGTGATTATTTTCTCCGACGTGTACGTGAAGAATTTCATCAAAATCGTAATGTAAAAGATTCGTCAAAGACAGCTGAATTATTAAAACGTGGCCAAGAAAATCTTGAAATAATCCGAAGACAGGTATGATATAAAAGGATAATTTAGAATTGAAAATATCGAAAAAAATTTTCTTTTAGGTTATCATTGGAAATCTTTATACACCTCACCAACGTTCAATTTGTGATAATCATGAACATTCATTTATTGCTTCAAGATAAAACAAACGAATGATTATTTGTTGTTGTTATAGTAGTTTTCCTTATTTTATTTTTTTTTAATCAAAAAATTAACTTGAAAAAATAACTTTTCTTGTATCCTTTTATTAACAACAGTCTCTTAAATAATTCAATCTGACTCAAAAAATATAGTTCTTCTATCCACATTAACTGGATAACATCCATTTCGAAATACAATAAAGAAGAGATTCTAAAAAACAAATCTCATTGAACTTGTACGATATCAAATGGCTTGTATAAGATAAATAAAAGGAAATTATTTTGTAATATCAGAAATTAAGCCGGATTCAATTTCAAATAAAGAATACTGTTTTTGTAAAACAAACAAATGTTGACTAACTGAACTTTAACCGAATTAATTTCGCATTTTTTTTGCTTTGTTCTGTTATTTATTATCAATAAAAAAGACCTTCATATCATCATGATTCTATTACATATTTATCTTTATCTTTTTTGTTTATTAACCCTGACTCGGTTACATTTTCATTTATTTGTCTTTTTCTCAAGATGATAAATACGACTATTTTTAAAATTTGTTTTCTTCTGGTTTTAATACAAATATCATCGGCAAAATGGACTAAACCACGTCGTTTAAATATTCTAAAACATTCATCAAATCATATTCGTGATGATCGATGTAGACAATTTAAAACATTTACACAAAAAGTCGATCATTTTGGTTATGTTAATATGGATACATATCAACAACGATATACATTAAATACAGATTATTGGCAGAGTGGAAAACCAATTTTCTTCTATGCTGGAAATGAAGGTTTGATTAAAAGATTTTTAGAAAGAAATATATATATATCATTATTTTAGGTGATATCGATCTTTTCTGTGATAATACCGGTTTTAGTAAGTTATTCAAATTTTAACTATTTTAAGCTATCAAATATATATTTTAGTGTGGGATATTGCACCATTATTTGATGCAATGGTTGTTTTTGCTGAACATCGTTATTATGGTCAATCATTACCATATGGAAATCAATCTTATTCCAAACCGGAATATAGTAAAATAAGACTGTTTATTAGAATTAATTTTATATATATATTTATTTTGTATAGCAAGATATTTAACCAGTGGCCAAGCACTTGCTGACTATGCATATTTATTAGATAATATTCGTAGTTCAATAAAAGGTGCTGAACAAAGTCCAACAGTAGTTTTTGGTGGATCATATGGTGGAATGTTAGCCGCTTATTTTCGAATGAAATATCCACATGTTGTAGTTGGTGCACATGCAGCATCAGCACCTATTCTTCAAATGACAACACCATGTGAATCATTCTCTCGTGTAAGATATTTCTATTTAAATAATTCTTAGATTTATTTTTTGTTTTGAAGATTGTTACACAAGATTTTCAACAAGAAAGTCCACAATGTGTTGATATTATTCGATCATCATGGGATGCAATAAATCGTATTGCAGCAGCAGCTGGTGGTCTAAGACGTCTTAGTGCTTTATTTAAACTTTGCCGTCCATTACAATCAGCTGATGAATTAAAAAATTGGTTACTTGATATGTATGGAAATATAGCTATGGTTGATTATCCATATGCAACATCATTCTTAGCTGATTTACCTGCTTTTCCAGCACGAGTATTCTGTGCAAATGTAACGGCATCATCATTCGATACAATCAATGATGATGAAGATATTGTTCGAAGAATTGTTAAAGGAACAAACGTTTTTTTTAATTATACTGGTCAAACAGATTGTTTTGATACTGGTTCACAAGGTAAAAACAACAAACAAATTTATTATATCTATAAAATTATTATTTAGGTTCACCAAGTCTTGGTGATTTAGGTTGGTCTTATCAATCATGTTCAGAATTTGTTATGCCAATGTGTTCCGATGGTGTCAATGATATGTTTGAAAAACAAGATTGGGATTTTCAAGCATTTTCTGATATGTGTTTTGCTGCATGGAGTGTTCGACCACGTCTTGAATGGCCATATATTGAATATGGTGGTAAAAATGTAACAGATTTACGTTATTATTCAAATATTGCTTTTACAAATGGAAATCTTGATCCATGGTCATCAGGTGGTCTTCGTGTAACTGTTGCACCAACTCTTCCAGCTATATTAGTTACTGGTGGTGCTCATCATCTTGATTTACGTGCAGCAAATAAAGCTGATCCACCAAGTGTTTTACAAGTACGTCAACAAATCGTTGCACTTATTGAAACATGGATTTCATAAACTTCGTCTTTTCTTTTCTTTTCATTTCATTTCTCTTTTTTTTACCAAATATAAACACGTATTAAACAAAAAATAAATATGACGAGTAAAGGATTGATTTTTGTTGTAACAAATTTATAAAAATATAATCTAAGGTTTATTACATACAAATTGCGTATTTATTAATATGAAGCAGAAAGGTTTGAAGGATTATATGATTTAGATCTAGGGTGTGCTAAGCTGAACTGTTGGACCCATTTCAGAAGGTTGATAAAGATTAGGACGTGCTTTAAAACGTTTTGTTGCTATGTCAATTTCATATGTTGCTCCGCGTATATAATTCGTTGTGATTTTTTCACCATTTTGTGCATGAACATAACCCAAACATACCTAAAAAAAAGAAAAAATAATTAACAAAAATAAATAAAATTTAATTCTATATATACTTGTTTTCCAAGTGTAAAACCATAAGCTGTCGAAGTAACATAACCACAAAATTCACCATTACGATAAATAGGTTCACCACTCCATGGCCTTAAAAAACGAGTAGAATGGATAATTAATTATATATATATGTTTACCATGGATCACGATCTATATCATGATCTTCAAGAAGAAATTGTATAAATCTCTTTTGTATACCATCACTTTTTTGTTTTATCAAAGCTGCTTTACCAACAAATTCTTTCTAAAAAAAATATTTAAATAAAATCTTAAAATTTTCATTATTTTGTTTTACATCAAATGAAACACGAAATTCACGATTTAAATCAAAGGGTGTTGTCTTTTTATCGATATCTTGTCCCCAAAATGCATACATTCGTTCTATTCGAAGAGTTCGTTGAGCAAAATAACTAAAAATAAAAAAATATCATACAAACTTATTTATATCCTTATAATCTACTTACCCAGCATTAATTATTCCATAATCTTTTCCTTGTTCCATCAATTGTTCGTACACACATAATGCATACTAAATAATCAATAGTGTATTTATTTTTAATCTTTTTTTTTCATACTTCGGACGGAATATAAAGCATAAAACCATCTTCACCAGTATGTGTTAATCTCATAGCATAAATATGACTGACAAAGCCAACATCAATTTCCTTGAAAAGACAAAATTTTGATTTTGAAATAAATTATTGTTATTCAGCTACTTACTTTACACGTCATTCGTGCAAAATCATTAAAATTTTCATCACTTAATTCAGATAATAAATATTTTGCTTTTGGTCCAATAAGATTCAATGCTGTATAAAGTGATGTAACATCCGATAGAAAAACTGAACCATCTTCAGGCACATGAGATTTTAACCATTTCATGCTTCGTGTTGATTGAGATGTTGGACTTATGAGCATAAAACTAAAAACAAGAAAAGAAAGTCAAATAAATTCCTTTTATTTTGCAAAATCTTACTGAAATTCATCAAGACGTATAACAGAACAATCATTTTCATAACCACCTTGTTCATTTAACATACCGGTATGCATAACAGTACCAATAGGTTTATCAATATTATTCGAACAAAGCTTTTGAAGAAAATCCACAACACTTCGATTAGCTGATTTAAGTTCATATTTTGTAAATGATGTCATATCAATAACTGCAACACCTTTTCGACAAGCATTATATTCACGTTTAACAATATTAAACCAACGTGCTTTACCAAATGTACCTTGTTTACTTAAATCATCCTGATTTTCTCCTAAACAAAAAAAAAAGTCTTAAGAAAAAAATGAAAATTTCTTTTTAAATACTTTTTTCAAATTCATCTAAATTAAAAAATAATGGACGTTCATATCCAAGTACTTCACCAAATACAGCACCAGCTGCTTGTAATTTTGGATGTAATGGTGAAACACGTAGTTTTCTTCCTGTTCGATATAATGACATACCATAAGTTGGATATTTCAATGAATATTGTTTGCCTAAATAAATAATTAAAATTTAATATTAAAATAAAAAACGAATTTACCAGGAATTTCACGTAAACGATCTTTTAAAAATCGTTTATTTGTATGTAAACGCATAAAACGACGTATATCTATTGGCCATGTACTTAAATCTGTATTTCCTGTATGTATTAATTCTGCAATATATTTTCCAATTCCACCAGCAACTGCAATACCATTTCCATTAGCACCTGATGCAACAAAGTAATTATCAATCTAAATAAATTAGTTTTAATTTTAAAATATCAAAAAATAAAACAAACTTCAGCAGATTCATTCATAATTAATCGGCCATCAGGTGTAAAACTATCAGCACCTGTTATCAACGTTTCATATTCACTTTCTCCTAATATTGGAAGTCGTTTAATAGCATTATTTAATATCCAATCTAGAGAATATTTGATAGATGAATGTATATGATAGGGAAAGATAACTTACGAAAATCATCCCAATTATCAGGTAGAAGCGTATAATTGAATGTTTCAGGAACACCATTTGAAAAAATAGGTTTTGATTCACGAAGAAAACCACCAATTAATACACTACGATCAACTAATGGTTGAATATAAAAACGTTGATCTGGATTATGAACGATGGGTATATCCTTTGGAAAATTTGGTATTGGTTTTGTTTTTAAACATATGTATTCTAAATAAATTACATTATAACTATGAAATGTCAAACTCTTAACTTACCGCATGCTTGTGTTGGAATACGTACACCTGGTGAAGATCGATATCCAAGCTCTCGGGCCCACTAGAAATATAGACGGTCTTTTGATATTTTTTTACTATAAGATAAACTGTTCATACCAATCCTGTACAATTGATAAAAACATCACATTTAACATCTCCTTGAGATGTAACAACGCTCGTTACACGATCATATTGTCCAGCGCGTTGTTTTTCTGTTCGAATTTCTTTAGCAGAACAGTCTTCAATTATTTTCACTCCTTAATTATCAATCAAATATGTATACAAAATAAAATCATTCGTATATATATATACCATTATCAATTGCTAATTTAGCGAATGTTAAAGCAAGTGGTACAGGATCAACCATAAAATCATTCTCAATCCAAAGACCACCCTGCAAATAGAATTCAATTAAATTAAAATCTAAATTTTATTATTTACCCAAATTTCATGTGGATCAATGATAGGAATTTTCTCTTTGATTTTTTCTACATTTAATATGTCACAATTAATTCCCAAAGATTTTATAATTGCATATTGTCGTTTTAATGTATGTAAACGATCAGATGTTTGTGCTACCCATACACTACCTTTTTCAATGAAACCTAAAATAATTTCTCATATATTTATTCCATCGTTCTTCGTTTTCCAAGAATAAAATTTACCAATATTATGTCCTTCTTTATGTAATTTTTCATATAACTGTCTAGAATATTTCGTCAAATGTGTTTGAATTAATGTATCCTGTAAATGCAATCCTTGTCCTGAACTTTGCCATGTAGCACCCGATGCTAATCTATCAATTAAAAATAATTTATGTTAATTATATTTGTTCTGTTAAATAATTACTTTGATTTTTCAATTAATACCACATCTTTAACGCCAATTTCACTTAGATGATAAGCAACTGATTGTCCAATAATTCCTCCACCAGCAATAAGAATATGACATGATGATGGTATTTGTTTTGTCAATGGTAAAACTGGTATTGGATGAGTATCATGTGGAACTGTAGGTGATTCATGTTGTTCATGTGAAACTAAACGACGAAGAATGAATGATATTCGATCATGTGATTTGTTTTTAAATAAATAATGTCCATTTAAGAATATTTTATGCTGCAGCATGTATGCTTGCAAGCATTCAAAGAGAGAAAATCTAAATCATCCCATCAAAACGAAAACTTAAACTAGTTTAAAGAGGAAACGATGTTCATTTATTTATGATGATGACAAAAAGAAAACAAACGAACAGTAGCAAGAAAGGAATAATCTATGAGGAATAAAACTGGACAGTCTTTTTTTCAATTGGAAGAGAATTAATGTTCAGCTTTTTTGCCAGATTGTTTCTTATCAGCTTTGGCTGTTTTCTTCTTTGCAAATGAACGATTTGAACCATTGTAGCTTTGTAAATTTGACATGATATATATTGGATAAAGCATTGGTACAGTAAGAAACAAACCTAATGCAATTAATTTTTCCTAAAATTATTCGAAATAATAAAGACAATAAACATTTTTTCTTCATACTTTGCTTGTCACTTTATTTACTGGTGGACCAGCTAAATAAACGGCACTTTCCATACGACGAGGTATCATCGTTAATGCCTGACGACGAATTACTTGTGTTAAAAGTCCTGACATTTTTCTTTTTTTAGAACACTTCGGAAGTTAATAAAATCTAGAATAATAAGTTAAATTTTAGGTACATGTATTCTATTAATTATCTTAGATAGTTTATTTTCAATATTTCTTTAATGTCAAATCATGTCAGTTGAAACTATGCATACCATGTTTTCTCAATAGTAATAAATAAATATCCAAAAGGTAATTATTGGATTGAGAAAAATTTTTATATTTATTTTTTTAGAAATCTTAAATAGTTTTTTTTCGTAATAACTCTTATTTTTTATTGATTAAAAAATATTTTTATTGTAAACTACTAGCGCTGTATTTCTATTGGTTAGAAATATGTAAAAACTAACAATAAAAGTTTATTACGAAAGACATATTTTCTTTCTTACTCAATAGTTGATTATACAAAATATTTCGGGTTTTCAAAAGGTGATATTCTAAAAGACAAAAACACACACACACATCATGGCAAGAGATTCAAATATTCTTGGTTCATGGGGAAATAAAGAATCAATGAATTTAAATTCACTCGTACTTAATAATATAATGGCATCACAGTATTTCAAGAATGCATTGTACGAAAAAAAAACTTATCATGAAGTTGTCGATGAAATTTATTATCAAGTAAATACTTCATTAATTAAACATCATTTGATTTTATTTCTGTATAGGTTAAACATTTAGAACCATGGGAAAAAGGTAGCCGAAAAACATCAGGTTTAACAGGCATGTGTGGTGGGGTAAGTTGAAAATATGTATATACATTAAAATAAATTATATTGCAGGAAAGTTTTCTTCGTCAGATTTAAGAATCAATGAATGATCAGTACAGAGAAGATGACATAGTATGTCAATCTGATGTTTCCCTTGAGTCTAAATTTTAATAATTATATCACAATTGATTAAATTAAAAGAATTTTGATTTTATTTATTTAGGTTCGCGGTGTCGGTGGTGGTGGAATTGTATCAACGGCATATTGTTTATTATATAAACTATATACATTAAAATTAACACGAAAACAAGTTATTAGTTTAACGACTCATACTGATTCACCATATATACGTGCACTTGGTTTTATGTATATTCGGTAAATTAATAATAATTCATTTAAATAATCATATTTTTCTAATTATTAGATATACACAACCGCCAAATGAATTATTTGAATGGTTTGAAGAATATCTCGATGATACTGAGGTTTGTTAAAATATTTTAAATTGAAATAATTTTTTTGTTTTGTTTCATAGACTTTAGATGTGAAAGCTGGTGGCGGTTGTATGATGTCAATAGGACAAATGCTACGTCAATGGTTGATACGTATTGAGTATGTAAATTCATTCTAGTTTTCCTCACTTTTTCATATATTTATTTTTAAGATGGTATGACACATTATTTCCTCGAATACCAGTTCCAACACAAAAAGATATCATGGAAAAACTGCATGCTCATGGTCCATATAAAGGCGATAATTATGGTGCACATTCAAGGTACGTGTGGTGTAAAGTAAGCACGAATGTTATTTTTTACAGCTTATTATTTATGATATATATATTTTATTTTTTGTTTTATTTCGTATAGATATGGATATGATGAATATGAAGAAGAAGAACAATATCAATCGAAAACATCGAATGCTATTGATATGCCTGAAACATTTGGTAATGTTGCTTCATCATCCAATGATCGTAATGGATCTTATAATAAACATTATTCATCAACATCAGATTCTTATCGTGATAAAAAATATAGGTAAATTTCACAAAAATATTTAATCATAATTAAATTCATTTTCTTTTTATTTCAGTAGATCATCACGTGATGATCGTTCTCGTTCTCGTTCTCGATCACGTTCACCTGATCGTCGACGCCATCATCATCATCATCGAGATAGCAGTTCTGAACGTTATAAATCACATAAACATCATCATCGTCGTAGTTCTGAACGTGACGATCGTCGACGACGAGATCATTATCGATCAAAATCACGAACACCACCACCTGATAGTCGTTATCGTAATGATAAACGTGATCGTTCATAAATATATACATATATATAAACTTTTTCAATGTATTCAAGAAAAAAAAACGAGTAGTTCTATTATTATTATTATTGTTGTTGTTGTTTTTCTTTGTATGTAAATACAAAACATTATTCATTACAGAACGATCATGAATTGATTATTTTTTCTTCAGATGTCTATACTTAATTTTAATGTTGGTATACTTGGACATGTCGATTCTGGAAAGACAAGTCTTGCTAAAGCTTTGAGTACTATTGCTAGGTAGATAATTCACCATATGAGATTGATATGTTAATCAATATATATTTTTAGTACAAATGCTTTTGATAAAAATCCTCAAAGTCAAGAACGTGGAATAACACTTGATCTTGGATTTTCATCATTTACAATGGATATACCCGAACATTTGAGCAATAGTAATTATAAACAATTACAAATAACATTAGTCGATTGTCCAGGACATGCATCATTGATACGAACAATTATTGGAGGTAGATTATTTATCTTAAAAAAGATAAATCTAATTCATTGATGTTTAGGTGCTCAAATAATTGACTTAATGTTATTAGTAGTTGACATAACAAAAGGTATGCAGACGCAAACAGCTGAATGTTTAATAATTGGTGAAATAACCTGTGATATAATGTTAGTTGTATTAAATAAAATCGATCTTGTTGAAGAATCTCAACGACAGTCAACAATAGATAAGGTATACACATAAACAAAAGAGAATATTCTATTCATTCTGTATCGTACAACTCATTTGTCTTAGTTGATTAGATGACAAAACGATTACGTAAAACATTTGAATCAACAAAATTCCCACAAGTACCTATTGTATCTTGTTCAGCATTATCATCCTTGAATTTAAATGAACTTATATCAACACTTCAATCACATGTTTATATTCCACGACGATCACCTGATGGTCCATTTATATTTTCTGTTGATCATTGTTTTTCAATTCGTGGTCAAGGAACAATTATGACTGGCACTGTTTTATCTGGTTCAGTTAAAATCAATGATGTAAATTCATTCTATTTCTTAATCGAAGAAAAAACTTATTTTTTCTTCTTTGTAGTCAATTGAAATAGCAGTACTGAAAGAAATTCGTAAAGTTAAATCCATGCAAATGTTTCGTAAACCAGTTGATAAAGCTATGCAAGGTGATCGTATTGGTTTATGTGTAACTCAATTTGATCCTGATCAACTTGAACGAGGATTAATCTGTAAGAAATTTTTGTCTTCTTCAAAATTTCTTCTATTTAAATTTATCTATTTTAGCAACACCGGGTATAATAAAAGTTTTTCATGGATTAATTATTCAAATAAATAAAGTCAAATATTTTAAACATGACATTGAAAATCGTACTAAATTTCATATAACTTGTGGTCATTCAACTGTTATGGGAAAAATTCTATTATTTGCTAATCATTCAGTTGATACAACTAACACGAATCAATTTCATTTCGATAAAGAATATGAAGCTATTGATCAATATCCAACAGAAGATTCTACGGAAAACCAACAAATATTTGTATATTATCAAATTTTTGTTTTATTTTAAATTATATTTTCGCTATATTAAGGCATTAGTTGAACTGGAATCAACAATACCGTGTCAATTAGGATCGATTTTAATTGGTTCACGTTTAGATACAGATATTCATACAAATACATGTCGTCTTGCTTTTTATGGTCATGTACTTAATGGTTTTACTGATAGTGATTATTTAAATAAAGATTTACCAACTAAACTTCGTATTTATAAACGAAAAGAAAAAATTGGTTTTATCGATCGATTAGTTGATGATCAAACAATAATTGGAAAAGATTTATTTCAAAAAGAAACAAATCTAAATTTATTTGTTAATTTTAAAGTTGAATTAAATCCAACTGGTGAACAAGGTTTTATTGAATCACCATTTGGACAAAGTGGAAAATTTAAAGTTCGATTTATGAGTAAGACATACATTATTTAATCTCTTATCTAAAAAAATAATATTTACATATAGATGGTCTATCCAATGAAACAAAACAATTATTAAGTACTACAAAAGGCCGAAAACAAAAAACAGCAAGCAACGAAACAAATGAAGAATCAACTGAACCACAACAACGTATTCGAATTGTATTAAAATTTAAAAAATATTTATTTCAAGAAAAAACAATTATAGCACAATAAATACTTTTTTTTGTTTTGCTCTAAATATGTTCTCTCTGTGATGTTATGTTTTTACAACAATAAACCAGCCATGCAAGCTTTTAAATAAAACTAATTTCGAACATTCCGCATCTTTCGTATACCTCAAGACTTACGATTTATAGTTATCTATTGAATGAATCATATGAGTAAATTTCGTGTCAAGTTTAGTTGAAAATCTTATTAGTAAAAAATTGTTTTATCTTGATCGATTATCTGAGAGTATCCGAATACACACCTTTCAATCCAATAAATATAGATTGGATAAAGAAAAAGATACAAACTGTAGGTGTTACAAAGTGAAGCCGTTAGTAATTTTTCTAAATTGAAAAAGAAGATTCACAACGGTTGTCGTCTGTTTGTCAACAACTATGCCGATAACAATTGTCTAAGAGTAACAGCTTGTTCGAAAAATAGAATGATGTTAGTTTGTGTTAGATGACTAGTTCGTTCGTTCGTTGTCACTGTTCAGATATACCGATGATGCTTCTAATTGATCACACATGTTTCATAAATTGAACAACAGCTTGTAAAGAAACATCTTGAAAATTCTTATTAATAAAAATCTTCTGTTTTTCAGAAGTACAATCAATGATCAATATCTCAATTTTGTTTATGTTTTTTGATCTTTTGACTCTTGATGATATATTTCTATATATTTTAAGAAATGAAAAATAATTTATTTTATGTGACTATCAAGTATATGCGAATAGGTGATGATATGTTATATACGATATCTATTTTTTCCTTTCCCACCGCATCATTTTATGTTTTCTAAAAGAATATTATCATTCAATTGTTAAGTGTGATGATATATGTGTATACATAGCCGTGTTCAATGGGCTTTAAGTAATTGAATTATCGGAAAACAGCAGGTTAGACTAAATTGCTTATCTAAATAATACAATTAGTTTATGTCATTGAACATGAGAATAGTTATGTTGTGCGTTCGATCAATTGAATATGTGTGATGGAAGTTTCACGAATCGATAGATCTTTTCTACTCAAATAAATGTGATAAAGATTAGATTTTTATCTTGTACATAAGATTTGAATTAGAATATCAACACTGACTTCACTGAAAATCTTAATACATCTTATCGAAGTTATTTCAAAAGATTAAAAAATAAGAATAACCGAAATTTTTCCCCATTTGAAAATATGTGATATTATAGAATAGTCTGGTGTTATTGCGTGAAATGATCATCAGAACTATCTTTAACCAGTTTTCAGACATGTGACAAGTGAATTTGTTTTGGTTGCCAATTTGTTTCGATGAAAATTGGTACAAGCTGTTTATTGCGTCATGCAGTTCTGTCTATATTATGACCAATTAATTCATTCGTCATCCTTGACCAATTGGTTATTCTTCTTTCTTGTTACCAATTGAAAAAGTGTGAAATGATTATTTTTCTCTTAAAGAAAAGATGTAACATACAGAAAGATAGAGAGAGAGAGAATTATGACGATATTTCTTTTTCTCTCTTTCTCTCTTCAGATTGGCTATTTAAATTTAGCATTGTAACCGATTTAGAGTATAAATACAGATGATTTTAAATTATGAATCAGTATTCAAATTATATAAAATTTGAACATGCTCACATGTATTATTCCGTAAAGGTAGGTTTATTTTCATTACTATATTTGTCTCTTTGACTTATGGCACTTCAATTCACGGCTACGATAAAATGTTTGCCGTGTATGACTGTGTCATGCATCGAGAGATGAATTAACGACGATATTTGAATTTGTTTTTTTTGAAAACTTATATTGAATATCATTTTATCTAACAATAGAAAAACGGTTCAGGTTCGGTCAATGGCACATAATTTGAAGACGGTTGAATTTTATTAAATCCGTGTTTATCTGTGTGCCACAAATCGATCTGAAGACAAATAACAATGATCAGGAATTGATTTCCAGACATTTTCTATACAATATTCAATTTGTTAAATCTAATATTTTATAATAAAAGAAATGACTAGTAAGAATATCATAACTTGAATTTCTAACGTGCACTTTTCAAGGTTTACAAAATATGATTATTTTTAATTGGATTCGTTGTGCTAGTTTTCTCGAGTTATAATTATACAGGCCAGACAGATCTACTTTTAGATAGGATTCTTTAACATGTACGTCTAGCGTGAAAACTAATGTGAGTACATTTTCAAGTACTGGCTGGATTTTTATAGAACAATAATGACTGAATATGACATATGATGATAAAAATGCTTTTCTAATTGAAAAAGTTAGTACTTGCAATGATCGAGATATATATAGAATATATATGTACAAGTTTTGTGTAATACTGACATCTGACGTTATAAGTAATATAACCAATGAATCGAAAGCAAATGAATCATATTGTTGTAGTGAATTGAATATAAGCTAAATAATATTTTTTGGTGCAAAGACTATTCTTTTGTAATCAAGAGTATCGTTTAATTGATAAACAATGTTTCAACTTGCAAAATATAACTTAAGATCATTTCGTTTGTCAAATATTACTACGACATATGTGCGTTTTTCAACATCGAATTATAATTCTTTATCAGAATCTGAATTAAAATCAATTCCTATTCAAGGTGTTATTAAACAGCCAGTTAATTCTTCTATCTTTCAACCTTATGATGTCGTTGTTGTTGGTGGCGGTCATGCCGGTTGTGAAGGTACATGATTCGAATTGGAAATTATAAGTATTCATATGAATTTTGATTTAGCTGCACATGCTGCTGCACGAATGGGTGTTCGGACACTTCTAGTAAGAACAGATATTCAAAAAAAAAGAACAAGCTTTATTTCTCATTGTTAAATTTATAGATAACTCATAAATTAGAAACAATTGGTGAGATGTCTTGTAATCCATCGTTTGGTGGTATTGGTAAAGGACATTTAATGCGTGAAATTGATGCTCTTGAGTATATTTAATTTTTTTGTTGCATAAATATATTCTATTATTGACAAAATTGAAATTTCTTGTTTCTAGTGGATTATGTGCTCGTCTTTGTGATAAAACAGGTGTTCATTATAAAGTTCTTAATCGAAGTAAAGGTCGAGCTGTATGGGGATATCGAGCACAAATTGATCGGAAATTATATAAACAAGCTATGCAAAATGAAATACTTAATACACAAAATTTACATGTTATGGCTGCAGCTGTACGTGATATTGTTATTGATAAAGAACAATCACGTATAACTGGTATCACACTTGATAATCATTGTTTAATTCCTACTCAATCCGTCATTATAACAACTGGAACATTTTTACGTGGATGTATTAATCTTGGTATGGATGAACAAAAACCAGCTGGAAGAATTAATGATCAACCAGCCATTGATTTAGCTAAATCAATCGAAGAACTTGGATTTAAAATGGGTCGATTAAAAACCGGTAGAAATTTTGTTCTTTTTAATATTATTTTTTTTATTATTAAAAATTTTCAGGTACACCAGCTCGATTAGAAACAAAAACAATAGATTTTAGTAAAACTATAACACATAAAGGTGATAATCCACCATTACCATTTTCATTTCTAAATAAACATGTTTGGATAAAACCTGATGAACAATTAAATTGTCATTTAACAATGACAACATCTCAATTAGCTGATATTGTTCGTAAAAATGCTCATTTAAGTCGACATGTTACACAAGATACTCAAGGTCCACGTTATTGTCCATCAATTGAATCAAAAATTCTTCGTTTTAAAAATCAAACACATCCAGTTTGGCTTGAACCTGGTTAATTAAAATGTTTTTGCTTTCTATAAAAATAGTTTTTGTTCTGTTTTCAGAAGGTTTTGATTCTGATTTAACTTATCCACAAGGTTTAAGTTGTACATTACCTATTGATATTCAATTACGTATGCTTCGTACAATACCATCTCTTGAAAATGTGAATATGGTTCGACCAGGTTATGGAGTTGAATATGATTATATTGATCCAAGAGAAGTTAAACCAAGTTTAGAAACAAAACGTGTTACGAATCTTTTCTTTGCTGGACAAATTAATGGGTAATAATTTTATAATTCAAATAAAAGATAGTCTATATTTTTTATATTATTCTAGAACAACTGGATATGAAGAAGCTGCAGCACAAGGAATCATTGCTGGAATTAATAGTGCATGTAAAGTATTGAATAAACCAATGTTTACAATTAGTCGAGGTGAAGGATATATTGGTGTTATGATTGATGATTTAACATTGCATGGTACAAGTGAACCATATAGAATGTTTACAGCACGAAGTGAATATCGTTTATCTCTTCGGTAAAAAAATATTTTCATTCTGTTTAAAATAATAAAGAGAAATATTTTGTTTTTAGTGCAGATAATGCTGATCTTCGTTTGACACAATCTGGATATGATATTGGTTGTGTAAGTGAGCAACGTTATAATCAATTTCAATCGTTTAAAAAAAATTATGATCAAGCAAAAGAATGTTTACAAAATCTTAAAAAACCAATACATGTTTGGCGCCATTTATTAACTTCACCACCAGAATTAAATCCAAGTCGAGATGAAACAATTAAATCACTTTATTCACTTGTTCATCAAGCACCTTACATGATGGATAATGAAAAATGGCTTGCTCTCGTACCTGATGATCAAAATGTACGTTCAATGCTTTTATCTGATAATGAATTATGTGAACGTTTATGTCTTGATGCTGTTTATGAACATTTAACAAAAAGACAAAAAAATGAGATTGATGAAGTTAAACGAGATGAATCATTTATTATTCCAGATTCATTTGATTATCAAATATTACAAATATCAAATGAAGCGAAACAAAGATTAGAAGAAGTACGACCAACAACATTAGGTTCAGCTAGTCGAATACCAGGTATTACACCAGCAACAATATTTAGTTTATTAAGAGCATTAAAACGACAATCACAAACATCTATTTTTAATGTTTAGAATTTTGTTGTTGTTGTTTTTTTTGTACAATTTATTTTGTTATAGTTTTAATAAACAAAAAACTACAATCGATTGTATATCAAAGAAAGTTTTTAGGTTATACAAATAATATACGAGTGATAATCGCAGCCATTGTACCGTTCGATGAAAAAAATCGAGAAAAGTAAATTTTACAATCTGAAAGAGCTGAATGTTGCGCTTGATAGAGTGACCTAAAGTGTTTATGAAAATAATATTTTCCCTACACTTTCTCGTGAAATCGTGGAGATCCGCAACTATAAGTCAGAATAGTCATAAATAGCTATTTTTTTAAAACAGCAATGTTATTGAAAACCTTTCAAAAAATGTCCACTAAATATATTTAACTGTGGGGATATCGACAAGATTCGCTTTGTTAGGTGTCGTGAGACTATGATGATACGAGTGAATGCTCTGTTTCTTTCTCTTTTTCGTTGATTATGCCCATAATGAATCATAAGTATTTTTGTTTCGCATAGATTAATGAAAAATTTTGTGACACATCTTTTATTCTTCTTTGGATACGATAAACATGCAAAAGTGTTAGCATTATAAAACTGTTATCGATGCACACCCAGTCTCAACTTACTGCCTCCATAAATCGATCAGTTAATACGTATAATCCCAACAGTCAATGTCGCTCTACATTTTCTTAGAAAGGTTGAATTTTTTCTCAATCGGAAAGGATTTTTTTCTTGATTTTTCTAAGAGATAACACCACTCGTTGAGATGCAAAAACTATAAAATTTCTATAGCAAACGGTTCATTTTTCACAGGATCGTAGAAATTATAAAGTATAAAATGTCGCTCTACATTTTGTGTGAAAATCGTGTTTCCTAGTAATTTGAATAATTTTTTATAATGATAGGACTTCAAAGACTAATATCGTTTAACTGTCAAATTGTTTTCCCTTGCTTCCTCTTTCACTCTGAATCAAATTCGTTCCAAACGAATTTCGTAAAATGACAAGCCAGTCATTTTAATGTCGCTCTACACGAAAAATTAGAAGTGTCTTCATCTCTTCTATCAATGATTTCTATTAAAAAAAATTCATTTTAAACAAATATTGAGGAAGTATTCTGAAAGGTGATGCCGAGTGCTACAAATTTTGATTAAATAATAGTTTACAAAAGCCAAAACTAGATTTCGAAAAAAAACGTTTTTCATCGGTATATACTGTGAAAAGCTGTATATTTGGTACTGTTGCATTGATATCTCCTAAACTAAGACAGATAAAAACTTGATTTTTTCAGAAGTGAATGTTCGTATACAGACTAATAAAACAAAAAGGAATTATTAAAATCGGTCGAGTAGAACCTCACTTATAAGCATTTTCGTTTCGGGGGTACAATGGCTGCGATTATCACTCATACAGATCAATAAATAAACTGAAAGGTGTCGTATGTTGAAGGAGTATATCTACGTAATGTGATCGTAGCTCTTCATTAATCATAGACAAGTGAAGAGAAAGGTACATATTATACAATGAAAAGACAACTATTATTTCCTCTTAGAGTAGTGTAATGAATGATGACGTTAGCATAAAATCATTTCACTATGGATTAAGAAAACGAAGTTGATTAACAAATAAATACAATAGAAATGATTGATGTGTAAAGATAGTAGATTAATATTTAAATTGATTTTCTACTGATCGTCATGGTCGTTCAAATCTGTCTTGGTATTTGAAGTATGTATGAATAAATATCTTGTATATTCTATCTCTTTCTTTCTTTCTTTCTTTCTATTAGTATTGTTATGCAGACAAATAGGTAACCTTGAGATGTTCCATATATATACATTGTTCTATATGAATGGAAAAATGGCACTAAGCATTTTTATTACTATAGACTGGCATTTTTTTAGTATATGCCTTTTGAATAAACTAGAATAATGATAAAAAAGAAAAAAAGATATCTATTGTTAGTCATGTATATAAAAATATTTTTCTCTAACAAAGATATAAAGAATACAACGATAAAATAAATTACTTTAATCAAATCCTTCATTTCTCTTTATATTTATACACAGAGGTAAATATTTATTCTATCTAATGAGTGTGAAAAGTTTACATAATTATATCCATGCATAAATTAAATGTAAATAGTATTTGAATTTTTATGATGAGAGATTCTATTGGGAATTTATATTCTCTATAGGATTCATCAACTTTATCAAGATTTTTGCGCAAACTCAAGATTGTGTAGGATAAGTCCTGACAGCTGCTGGTCATGATATGCAAATCAATTTCTCTTATTGGTTTTTCAATCGACAATGAGGTAAATATAAGACATATATTCTTATTTATTAATAATCGTTAGAAACGACATTGAAATATGATCGCAAACAAATGAATAGAAGAAAGAAAAAAAGTTAATAATGATATAGAATTTGAGCTAGCATATATATCTCTATATCATAACGGTGAGATTAATTCTTATTTTGTTGAAATAAAATATCAGTTAGTTGTTCAATAATATCATGTAATGATATATCTTCTACATTGCTTAATAGAATAATACATGCATTATCATTTGGAAAACGAGCTAAACAACTTGTAAAACCAAATATTTCACCAGTATGTTGTTGTTTGATTCTTCTATGTTTTAATCGATAAATTTCCCAACTTAAATTTACAATTAGAACAAACAAATATATGTATGTATATAATAAAATAATAATAATAAATATTTTTACCCAAGTGCATAATGTTCTCTCACAGGTTTAAACATCATATTTTTTGTTCGTTTATTTAAGATTGTTTCTCCATATAAATATCGATCAAGTCGATATAAATCTTCAACAGTCGAATAAATTCCTCCTGCACTACGAGCTGTTGACATATTTATAAAACGACATGATTCAAAACCATTTGAATCTGTACTACAAACATAACCATCTGCTCGTTTATTATTATTATCCGATTGTAATGCTGGATTACAATCACATTCATAACCGGTATCTTTCATTTGACATGGTTGAAGAATAAATTCTTGAAGATTTAATTCGTATGATTTTCCAGTTACTTTTTCAATAATTAAACCTAATAAAATATACTAAAGAAGAAGAATTTTTAGTAAATGAAAATTTCTATGTTAATTTTACATTTGAATTTGAATAACGATATTTTGATCCTGGTTTAAATTGTAATGGTTCGTCTTTAAACATCTCAATAACTTGATCAATTGTTAAACTTTCATGACATTTATTTTCAAATACTTCCAAATCTGTATAATCTTCAATACCAGATGTATTTGAAAGTAAATGTTTTATTGTTATTTGATTACCATGAGGATAATCAGGACAATAAATTGATAACTTATTATCAAGATTTAATTGTTTTCTTTCGTATAATTTAAGAATTATTATTGCTGTAAATGGTTTTGTTACACTACCAGTACGAAAAATTGTTTGACTAGTATTTTTTTCTTGACAAATATATTCTGCACATCCATAACCTTTAATAAGTAAGATTTGATTATTTTGAGCTATAAGTATTGATCCACTGAATAATTTACGGTTGGCAAGTGATTCTAAATAATCATCAGCTAATTGCGTAATTAAATCTTGCTTTTCTGTTGAATTGACTGATGATTCTAGAAGGAAAAAAAATGAGTAATTTTTTTTCTGTATAATGAGATGGAATTATTACTTTTTCTTAATCCACAGAGTCTTGAAACATTTGATTTGTTATTGTTTGTTTTTGAATTAGATTCCATCTCCTGCTTGTGAAATGACCTTGTTAGTAATATGTTGTTTTCTTTTTTTCTTGTTTCTACACGAGAGAAGAAAAAAAAAAGAAGAAGGAAAGAACAACGTGGATACGAAGGAGAAGAACAGAAGAAAAAAAAAAAAAGAAGTTTAGTTTTGTTCTGTCATTACTCGTTATGAAAAGATCAGTATAATGTGACATAAGACATATAAACACAGAGTTCTTTTCTATGTTTCAGATGAATTGTTGTAATATTATATTGTCGAGTGATTCAAGAGATAATCTTCCGGGAGAAGAATTCTGTTGATTTAGACAGATGAATATTGTATTCATTATAATCTCATTTATTGTTTCTAGATTGATTAATCTTGTAAATAATCATAAATTTTAATTTCTCATGTCATCTGATGTTATCCTTCGTATGTCACCTACTATGCGTCGAGGACGAGTACGTAAAACTAATATTGAAAATTTTTAATGTACGTATATTTAACTAGATTTATCCAAGTAAAACTGTTTCCTATTTTGGTTCATGTTGGACATATAAATCTTGGTATGCAATTGTCCTTGTTGTTAGTTTACTCTTAGTTTTATCTGGAATACATATTGGTTGGGAGTAAGTTTAATTCAATTATTTAATGTTCAATTTTTGTTTTGAATAAAAATAGATTTCCTATACTTGTAACAAATGGTCATTATTATTTTCCAATTCTATTTGCTTTTGCACTTTTTCATACATTGTCGAATTATTTATTTGCATCATTACATGATCCGGGTGTTGTTCCACGACCAAGTGCTGATGAAGTTCTTCAAACAGAAAAAGAAAATAATGTTCAAACTGATTTGTATATTAAAATATGTTTTAGTTTAATTTAAAAATTTTATTTTTTAATTGAGAAATGGAAATTATTTTCCTTCAATTCCGCCTCCAAGAACAATACTTGTTCGAAATTTTCCTTATGCATCATCGTATTGTTATACATGTCGTGTTTATCGTTTACCACGTGTGTCACATTGTTCAATGTGTAATGTATGTATTCAAAATTTCGATCATCATTGTCCATGGAGTAAGTTTATGAAGAAGAAAAAAAAAGCCAAATATCAAAATTTATTTATTTTAGTTAATAATTGTGTTGGTTTATTAAATTATCGTTATTTTTGTAATTTTATTCTTTCATGTTCATTACTATGTTTAATATCATTTGCTGGTTGTGTCGTTGCTGCTTATCTTCGATGGGATAAATACAAAAATGAGCCAGGACTATATCTCGCTTATAATATTCCAAGTTTTTTTATTGGTTTTCTTAGTATAATGCTTTTCTTTACGCTTCTATCCTTCTGGTGCTATCATTGCGGTTTAGCAATGAGTGGTGCGACGACAAGAGAGGATATTAAATTTCAAAGACATTCAAAAGAAAGTGGCATTCCACAAGGTTCAAAATGGAAGAATTTAATAGTTTCTTGGTGTGGACCGTTACAACCTTCGTTAGTTTTATTTTGTATGAAAATAATTTTATTTTATTTTGAATTTGATATTTTAGAGTTGATTGGAATAAATTATATGATAAAGATCATTATAAGAATCAAGAAATTATCTATAAACGTATACGTCCAACATTATTAAGTAATACGTTAGTTGTACCATCACAAAAAATTCGAGAACATATTCGAGATTTGGCAGCAAATGATTATTTTGCTTTAAAACAACAAATTGAAGCATTTCATCGAACGATGAATATAAATACATCCGAACATCAATCATCAGTAATTCATACTGAAACTACTAATCATTTACAATCATATACTATCGAAGTAATAATAATAGACATATAGTTTTCTAATTGTTTATTTTCTATCTATAGATCAAGAATATTGGAAATAATCAAATTGATGCTCGTTATCTATTAATAGAAGGTACAGTCTAATACAAAACTCTTGAACTTATATATCTATAAGTCAATTTCCGGAGAGATTTTTCGAGAAGAAAGCAATAACTTGAAAAATGTCAGTTGAGTGATGAAGTAGTTTCTAGGGAGTGAAGTACATAAAATAATCAACTAAGTGTAAAACATATGATCGATCGTCAAACATACTTTTTATAGCTGTTCATCGAACGAATGTGTTAACATTTTGGGATACAATATGGTCACGACATGTATCATCAATTGTTATGCTTTATGATATAACAGAAAATGTAAATTTAATTTCATATTGGCCCGATGAACATAATCCTTCAATAAAAATTGATGAGACTTATCAAATAAATTTTATTGGAAAAATGAAACGATTAGATATTGAAACAATTCAATTCAAAATCGAAAAAGTTTGATAATAATAAAACTATTAATTTCGAAATAGAATTTTTTTTTTCTATAAATTAGATTAGTGAAAATGCAACTCGTATTATTGAACATTTTCAAATTAAAGGTTGGAATGAAACTGAATTTAAAATTGATCCAATAACATTATTACGTCTTCAATATACAGTTAGTCAAAAAGATAAAGAAGAAGAACTTCATAATGTTAATCAAGGTATTATTGCAATACATTCACTGTAAGTAATTTCAATCATATAAACATAACTAAGAACAAAATTTTAGTAATGTTAATACACGAGCTATTGCTTATATGACAATCGATATTAATCGACGTTTATTAATTTGGTATGGTTTTATAAATATATTAAATACAATAACACAATTAAATCAACAATTACCAATATGTCTAATGAATGAAGTATGGTTACATAGGGTAGTTGTTGCGATATTTTATGGAAAGTTTGAATCTTCTAACACACTGTCAGTGGCGGATTTAGGGGGGGGGGAGCGATGGGATCGATCGCCCCCCTTCCGAATTTTTTTTGGATTTTTTACAGAAAAAATGAACGAAAAAATAGGTTCACATTACTTCGGTTGGACTCAAAAAATAGCTTTGAACCAAAATCGCCCCTCCCTTCCAAAATCCTAGATCCGCCACTGCACACTGTTAAGATGTTCTCCGAAGTAAACTATAGGTATAAAATTGGCATGCTTGCATAACGTTGGATTTTATTAGGTTTTTGGGTCCTCAAAAAATTAGAGAAGTTCTTGATTGTATGACATCCGAGTCATTATTTATCAGATGCTGATTCTTATAGTGAGAAATGTTTAAATTCACAAATAAAAAATTTATCGAATAAAAAAAGCATTACCATGCTGTTTTTAGCAACATGTGAAACAATGTCATTATCTCCTTCAAAGCGAAAGGAATGAAGCTACAACTCATCTCGGAATAGGCTTCCAGAAACTTAGTTTTTCTGGTTTATTCGACATAGACTAAATAATCACCAGCTACAATAAGCTAGCAGGGGGTTTTATCTAGGCATGTTAATTATATACCTTTTTGTAATATATGATGCAGAAAGATAGATGAAATGTTGTTTCTGTGAATAAATATAGCGAATTTGCAAAACTTTTTAACTACGGTATGTAAATAAATATTTTTTGTTAATTTAGCATATGTTAATTGTTATTTATACAACAATTTTATATCTTTCAACTTGGAATTATTCAACTGAAACAACAACATTACAAGCATTAGATCATCAAATAAAAAGTTTACTACGAAATCGATTTGCACAATTTTATCATAATCCATTATTGGATCAATTCCACGTAAATATAATAAGATTTTAAACATTAAAATTAATTTGTATTTTTCTGTTTTAGACTTTTATTAATAATAGTTTGAAAGAACTTGATGCTATTATTCCATCAAGTATGTTTAAAATAAAAAAAAATCGAAATTTATTGTAATTTATTCTATTTAGGAAATCCTTATTTGCCAGTTATTATTGATCATAATATAATTTATTTTATTGATGTAAGTAAAATTTATTATTGAAAATATTTTTTCGTTAATCTTAATTTAATCAAAGAGTTATATTCATTCAAATGTATTTATATTAACAATTGGTCAAAATTCTGATAGTATATTAAAAATTATGTTAACATATAAAATTCAACATTGTTTTTTATTTCAACAAAATAGTCATCAAGTAAAAACAAAAAGTAATTTTTTCAGAAATATTTTCATTTTTTTTTCTATTAGAATGTTGATTTAATCGATAAACAACAATTAAAATTTGATAGTAATTATCTTGCAAATGATTTTCGACGTTATTTTAATACTGATATTTCTATTTATCAACCGAGTAATTCTATTCGAAATATTCCATTATATAAACTTTCTCAATATATTGCAAATTTTGATCAAAATAATTATATACCAATATTAATTTGTATTGAGTAGGCAAAATCTTATTCTAATAGATTAATTTTATTCTTAAAAATTTTTTTTCTAGTGATATTCGAGAAGGTGCTATTGTTTGTCTTATTGCGAATTTAATGGAACAATTAATGATTGATAATGTAGCAGATGTTTTTCATCAAGCAAGAAAAATTGCATATTCATGTTCGGCTTTTCAATCCGAAGTCATATATAGTTTGCTTGTTTCTCTAAAATGATTTCTTTTATTTATTTAGGATGAATATAAAAATATGTACGAATGGATCGGACGATGGACATCAAATGATCTTAATAATGAATTAAATTAAATATTTCTACCTGTGATATTCTCCTTTCGAACAATCAAATTTAAATAAGAGAATTGTGCGTGTGTTTTTATAATAAAATTTTTTTTAAAGAGACAGCTGTTTAATTTATTCTTTATTGATTTTTCAATTATGATTTAAAAGATTTTTTAATCATCTTTTCTTTTTCGCTCAGTTAATTGTATCATTTCTTTTCAATTGAATCATCAGAACCTAAAACAGAGAATAAAATTAATATGCGAAAAGAAAATCTATGTTTTCTCAAATGAATTCATCAATTACAATATTCACGTACCAAGATCACCACGAGCCGAATAGCATGTTGTCATGCAAACGTTACTGCATAGGTCAGGAGGAATACCACTTTGCGAATCATTTGTACAATAATCCAAACATGTTGCAAGACATTTTCGATCGGTTTGTGCTTGCTCAGTATAAGTCACAAATGATGATACTATTAAATATATATATATAATTTTAGTATTTTTGGTAATGTGATTACTTACAGAAAAGAAGTACAATAGTAAGCCAAAAATAACATGATTGAAAGTTCATCTTAGCAAGAATATTAGAGAGAAAAAAATGTTTGCCAATAATTTGATTATCTATATATTTTTTTAAAATAGACGTAGAAAACAAAAAAATAACATATGGTTTTTATACTCATAAGCAAAACAAAAAGAATACTTGATTTATCATTATCAATAATAATCTCAAAAATAATATCATACGATTTTAAGAAGTTTTGAGTTTTAAACTTTTACTATTGTAGTAAGAAAACGATTTAAGTTATAGAAAAAATATTCGATGTATAGTATTCTTTATAAATTGTCTTTTATACAGCTCATTTCATAAGAAATAAAAATATCTCTTATTGGACATGATATAAATATGTCATCTGTTAAGTATTAACGAACAATTAATCTGTAATATGTTTGGATTAGTTGAAAATCGTTATTTCAATAGATTATTATATTTGTGATGATTCATGGGTATTTTATCTCGTGATATATCAATAGAATATTATATGATAAGAAATAAAATGAAATTTTCAATATTAATTGTAAGACTGATCTGATTCATACGTGTTATAGTATGAATGCATAAGCAATTCGAATGCTTTTTTGGTTTCAAGACAAATACTTAAATAGTTATTCTTGTAAATGTAGAACTATGTAAGAATTTAGCTTATAAATAAAAAAAGTTTACAAATGTTAAAGCAATGTCTGCTATAGAGAATAATAAAATATCATTTGATAATTCAAACGAAAGCTATAACAGCTATTTCAAGATATATACTATTAACACGATTACTCTTCTGTGAGTTCATATCATCTATTAGTAATATAAAAGTATTCGCTATGTAGAATATTATTTCCAGTAAAAATTGGTACATCGGCTAATGAACTATTCACTATGGGAGATTGTACTGAATCTTACAAATTTGAATTTTATTTATTTGTAATAACTTTATTTTGTTTTGTAAATTCTTAATCATCAATAAGTTATTTCTTAGTAAATTCTAAATTTAATAGAGCAATAAACAAGTATATCATTTGGATGGATTTTATTGATCGTTTAGAAAAAGACAGGACCATTTAATTTGTATCCTTGTGTAATGTTCATTATACTATTCCAACACAAAAGAAAATGCTGCGAGACTTTTAACGTGTTTTATTTAAAAAGAAAAGATGTTTTTTTTCTGATAGTCTGGATATTATCTCTTATCTATAAAGAAAGTTGAAAAAAATTAATTCTTTTTTTCTCGTTCTTTGCCGATACCTGGCTCTATAACGTACATGATAAGATACCGAGGACAAATTTTTATTAGGATTTATCTACATAAACATATAAAGATGCTTAAGAGCGTCATATAACTTTTTAGATAAAGACATTCGCTTCTCATATAAATAATCAAACTTATTCGTCTCCTTCACTATTATCAATTCAATCGAAAAATTCATACAGTTGCCGCTTTATTCTTAAACTACACGTGAAATGGACTCAATACATCCAGCAAAAAATTTCAAATCGTCTGAAACAGCAGCAGTATCTAATAGTAACCAACGACGGAGACGTATGGTACAAGATCATTTACTCATTTGGTTAGATGAGTCTATGGACGAAAAAGACAAAAATTACTAACATATTTTGACGCAAATACAAACCCGTACCGACAATGTCACCATCTTTACACAGAGAGATGAATGCATCGACTTTTTCTCCGATAGTGAAGACATCAAGTATTTTCTTCTGGTCAAGAACACTATTGCTCAACAAATAATGCCCCTCATCAATGATATTTCTCAGCTGGATGGTATTTATATCTTCAATGATATTAACACCCTACATGAAGAATGGACAAAAAAATGGCAAAAGATCAAGAGCGTTCATACCAACACCGATGATCTATGTCAACGATTACAAATGGATATTAAACAATATCAACAAGACTCTATTGCCATGAGTTTTATCACGGTAACTGAAATGACTTCGGCGAATAGTTTGAATCAGTTGGAGCCAGCTTTTATGTATACCCAGATTTTCAAGGAAATCCTTCTTGATATGCAACATGATGAACAGGCCGTAAAACAATTTATTACATACTGTAGACGTTATGATTGTGTGTCCTCAATTAATATTGATCGTTTTGAGAGAGAATACCATACTCAATCTGCTATTTGGTGGTATACATTCCCATCTAATATCTATTCTATGCTCAATTATGCTCTTCGAACACTGAACGCTGATGTAATTATTACTATGGGTTTTTTTATATGTCATCTGCATCAACAAATTCAACAGCTGCACGAACAACAGGTCAATAGTTATGAAAGAAAACCTTTTATAGTTTATCGGGGTCAAGGTCTTATGAAATCAGACTTTGAAAAACTTCAAAAAGCAAAAGGTGGATTAATGTCATTTAACAATTTTTTGTCTACCAGTAAAGATAAGGAAGTCTCTCTCGATTTTGCCCGATGTGCTTCAACAAAGCCAGATATGGTGGGCATTTTCTTTATAATGTCCATTGATCCATGTATTAAATCAACACCATTTGCTTCCATCGAAGACGAGAGTTACTTTAAAGATGAAAAAGAAATTCTATTCTCAATGCACACTGTCTTTCGCGTGAATGCAATTCAACAAATGGACAATAACGATCAGCTTTATCAAGTTGAACTACGATTAACATCCGATGATGATCAACAACTACGATTACTTACTGATCGAATACGAGAAGAAGCTGGTAGTGGTACGGGATGGCAAAGATTATCTATATTATTGCTTCACATTGGTCAATTCAATAAAGCCGAAGAACTTTCTAACATATTACTCGAACAGACATCTGATGCGGGTGAAAAAGCATATTACTTTGATTCACTGGCATATGTTAAAAATGACCCGGGTGTCTATGAAGAGGCTATTTTATATTTCGAAAAAGAACTGCAAACTCGAGAAAAAAGACTTCCTTCGAATCATCCTGATTTGGCTACTTCATACAGCAGCATCGGTATGATGTATGCTAACAAGGGAGAGTACTCGAAAGCACTTTCATATTTCGAAAAAGCACTCGAAATTCGAGAAAAAACTCTTCCTTCAAATCATTATGATATTGCGTACTCATACAACAACATCGGTTTGGTATATGGCTACAGGAAAGAGTACTCGAAAGCACTTTCATTTTTCGAAAAAGCACTTGAAATTGGACAAAAAGCTCTTCCTCCAAATCATCCTGACTTGGCTACTACATACCACACCATTGGTTTAGTGCATAATTGCGAGGGGGAATACTCGAAAGCACTTTCATTTTACGAGAAAGCACTTGACATTCGAGAAAAAACTCTACCTTCAAATCATCCTGGTTTTGGCCAGTCGTACAACAACATCGGTCTGGTGTATGAAAACATGGAAGAGTACTTGAAAGCATTTTCATTTTACGAGAAAGCACTTGAAATTCGAGAAAAAACTCTTCCTTCAAATCATCCTGATTTTGTGCAGTCATACAGCCACATTGGTTTGGTGTATGAGAACATGAGGGAGTACTCAAAAGCACTTACATTTTACGAGAAAGCACTTCAAATTGGAGAGAAAAGTCTTCCTTCAAATCATCCTGATTTTGGGCATTTATATAACCACATGGGTTTCGTGTATGACAACATGAGGGAGTACTCAAAAGCACTCACATTTCACGAAAAAGCACTTGAAATTCAAGAAAAAACTCTTCCTTCATCTGATCCCTCATTGGCTACTTTATACAACAACATCGGTAGTGTGTATCGTAACATGGGAGAGTACTCGAAAGCACTATTATCTCACGAAAAAGCACTTGAAATTTGGCAAGAAACTGTGCCTTCGAATCATTCTTCATTGGCTGCTTCGTACAACACCATCGGTTTTGTGTATGACAACATGGGAGAGTACTCGAAAGCACTTTCATTTTACGAAAAAGCATTTGAAATTTGGCAAGGAACTCTTCTTTCGAATCACCGGCTTTTTGGTATTTCATACAGCAACATCGGTAGTGTGTATGACAACTTGGGGGAGTACTCAAAAGCACTTTCATGCCACGAAAAAGCAATTGAAATCTACGAAAAGACTCTGCCTTCAGACCATCCTAATTTGGCTACTTCATATAACGACATCGGTTTGGTGTGGAACAACATTGGAGAGTACACGAAAGCATTATCATCGCACGAAAAAGCACTTGAAATCTATCAAAAAACTATCCCTTCAAATCATCCTTCATTGGCTACTATATACAACAACATCGGTAGTGTGTATGACAAGATGGGAGATTACTCGAAAGCATTTTCATTTTTCGAAAAAGCATTTGGAATTCAAGAAAAAAGTCTTCCTTCGAATCATGCTGATTTTGCGCATT